CTGACCGATGTTAGTTTTTAATATATATTTTAAGCACATATTCACCAAAAGTAAGTAAATTAAAACCTAAACTTAACAATAAATGACTGTTTTATTTTTTTTTCTCTTTGAATAATCATCTACTCATCAGTACTTTCCCCACAACACTTCATCTATAGGTTCGCAGGGAGCGTCAACCTTACTCCTCTCTTCATCAGTTCAGAGGCGGGGCAGCCACAGGTCGCCAGTCCGGCATCACAGCACACAGAGACACAACCATTCAAGGCTCATTCTCACCTAGAACAATTTAAAGTTTCAGAATAACCTGGGATGCACAAATTTGGTCAGAGAGATCAAACCGGAGTCGCTGGAAAAAGCCACGCTAATGCATAAATGCCACAGCTGAGATTAAAACATTTAAGCCTAAATAATACTTCTCCGTCCCACACATTCTCACTCCCAGCGCGTCAAAAACAAACGCTTGGCCAGCCACCCTCTGCGTCACACCCCCCTGACGCCAAAAGTGCCATTTTTCGTCACTTATATGGGTTTTCCCTTTTCTGACTGCAGATCCCCATGCAGCGTAAACCTGACGCAATGGCATGTCCGCAGCCGGGGCACCAAACGAGCTCATTGTACCGCACCCGAACCGTATCCTCTTGTTATTTAACCCTTCCCTCACCCCTTTCCTAATCTTGCTATCTAACACGTTACCCTTACAGTGACCAAGCATTTGCTTCCCACATAAAATTAATTGGGTTTGGGCCGAGGCAACGCGAGGAGGAGGTTTCAATTAAGGTGGAGGTTAGAATTAGAGGGTTTTTGTAACCTTCCCCTCGCCAAATGGTATGTTCTAAGGTTCCCTTGCCTGGGCGGAAAATCCGAAAATTCACAGTCAGAATGCATGGGAAACAAACGCTTGGTCACTGTGAGAGTAACGTTTTAGGTAGAAAGAGGGTTAAGGTTAGGGTGAGGGGAAGGTTATAAATGGCAAGACGTTAAGGTTTAGGTGCGGTTAAATGAGCTGGGTCGGTGCCGCATCAGTGGTAATCCCATCGCGTCAGTCAAGGATCCGTTCCACAATAGAGTATATACTTTTGTGTTTACATTGCTTGGGTGTGTTTCAGATTTTTTTAATTCACTTCTTCGTGCGATCAGCACCTATAACGTCATGTTTCTTGTCTTTTCCGTCCATGAATAAAACATGTGTTGCATGTCTTTGTACTCCGTCATTCACGGGCTAAAAACGTTCATATTTTTAGACTTTTTCCGTGATGCATTCTTCAGTCTGTTTTGTGTCTGCTGCTAAATATCTCTTTATTTTCTGAAGCGGCAAAGACGGTGCAGTTGACGAATGGCAACAGGAAGCAGCGTTCAACGCATAATGGCGTTGCGTGTGTCAGTCCCGACGCAGACGGAGAAGTATAATTAGGCTTTATGCTGTGAGGAAGCAGCGCTACAAACTGCCACACGAACTCCTTTCTAAAAATCAGTTAGACACAAATGTTACAAAATAATTTAATAAAGTGTGGTGGCATTTTATTCTTATCTATGAAAAAGCATTTACATATCTCACAAGAAAAACCAAGTGGTGCTCGCTGCAGAACCACAAAGGCGGAGCTGCACCAGAGTCAGCCCCGCCCATTCCATCAGAGTCCGTCCAATTCCTTCCAGTTGTCAGACTTGATAGCATTCTGGAACCAAAGAGGGTGTTAAATCATCTAAAATGCAAGATTGAGCACTGAGGACTGAGTTGAGAGGTTAACTGAACCGCTTTTGTAAAGGTTCTATTTAATTAAAAATCAAACTTTTAGAACTGTTTCTCATGTTATATTGTCATTTCCTCATAAGAAACACGCCAAAGCCATTTTTGGACTCATTCACACATTTTCCTCCCATCTCAGTTTCAATTTGGTCCTCTCCTCCGAAGCTGGTCTGGTCTTGGTTCTCAAATCTGGATATTCTGTGAATTTTCTGACAAATTATTTCTGAAACGACTTCTACTGAGATACCGCCGAGAAACCATACGTCCCATCTACAAAAACACACTGCATGGGACAATTACATGTGATGCCTCCAGCTTGTTGTCAGATGTAGTGGTGAAGTGTTTGAGCAGTCTGCATGGCATGTAGTTTTGCGCAGGTTCGCCTCCCGGTAGAGGCGCAAACTTTTTTCTCATAGCTACACTTGCCAGTACTATGTTTACAACCATTTATTGGTATACCGTTTAAAACATAATGACTAATGTGTTTGTTTTTTTATTTATTAGTTTATTTAGCCAGTGTGAGTCCATTTGTGAGCAGAGTTTCAACTAAAACGCTGTTTAGGAACGACCAAATTCAAAGAACTTTTAGATACATAAATATGTTGCAGAAAATAAGCATTACAACTAAATATAAATAAATTAAATGTTTCAGCTGGCTGAATAGATTGCTGCCGACCCCACCGAGAGTCGAACCAACATCAGCTGAGGGGAAAACAAAACTTAAATTAGACGATCATGAAACTGGACTACCACAATCCACTGAACAGTTACCCTTAAATGCTATAGTAGCCCGGTTCTGTTGGAGTGGCTATGGACAGATATTCGCTAAAAGAAACCTTTTCATTTCGGTATATATTCAGGCTTTGTCATGTAGCAAGTTAAATTTATCTTGCTTAATTGGAGCATATAGCATAGCATTAACATTTGCAAACTAGTAACAGTCGTAATTCATGTGGGTCAGATTAGTTTGCGATAAAATAAAATAAGAACTATAAAACTGAAGAAGTCAGTGGGCTAGGCTGTTTGCGTGAGTGGGCGGGGCTGACTCAGGCGCAGCTCCGCATTTGTGGTTCTGCAGCGAGCAACCTCGAGAGGCAGGAAACACTCTGGACCGGTCCCCCGTCTAGCTCCATCCCAAAATGAGACACAGAGGCTAACTTATATTTATAGAGACACTTGAAACTTTTCATCTCAAATGACATGTGTGTTTTTGGTCAGAGGGAGCTAACCGGAGTACACAATCCGCACATGCAGGAGGAGAACATGCTAGCGCGCATAAAGGCTGCAGATGAGAGAGACATGCTGTTTTCATAACTAATAAATTATTTGTATTCTAATCAATGAAAAGTTATTAACACATCTCAAAACAACAAAATTCGTTAGAGGTATGAGAGAGAAGTTGCGAGTGTTGCTTTCCAGCGTGCTGAAACAAGAAATAAAATGTGGATTTATCCGGGACAATGAGTGCGTAATTTAAATAAAGCTTGTATGAACGAATGGAAATGCATCACATTAGATTAAGGGGTTAGGTTAGAGCAATAACAGTGACTCTGTCCATGGTGCTGACTGCAACTGACTGATAATCAGCACCCCATATAATATAATTAAAAATGTATGTGGATCATTTTAACTAACCTCTAAAGGAGAGTCAGGCTCATCAAGGATGCTCTTCTCACCCTGCATCCTCTGCATGGTTCCTGTAGAACTGGGGTCCATTACCAACACGTTCTGACTAGCAGCTCTGCCGAACTTACAGTCACTCTTTCTGGAGTCAGTGGTCCTGCACACCTCGTAGTTGTACACATGTTGGAGAGTTCCTGTCCCCAGCGTGTCTGAGTAACGTGGTGGATAATATGGAATGACAGGGAGGCTGGAGTGATACAGGATGCGAGACTGTCTCCATCTGTAGATTTTCACTGAGATGATAACCACCAAACAGGTGATGAAGAGGAAGGAAACTACAGCCAGAGCCAAGACTAAGTAAAAAGTCAGGTTGTCATTGTACTCCTTGTCGTGTGTAGAGTCAGTGAACTCCGACAGCACTTCAGGGAAGCTGTCCGCCACCGCCACGTTAACAATGACTGTAGCTGAACGAGAGGGCTGGCCGTTGTCCTCCACTATAACAGTCAGTCTTTGTTTCACAGCATCTTTATCAGTCACTTGACGGATAGTTCTGATTTCTCCATTCTGTAAGCCCACTTCAAACAGCGCCCTGTCTGTGGATTTCTGCAGTTTATAGGAGAGCCAGGCGTTCTGTCCAGAGTCCACATCAACAGCCACCACTTTAGTCACCAGATAGCCCACTTCTGCTGAACGAGGCACCATCTCAGCCACCACGGAGCCTCCAGTCTGGGCCGGGAACAGGACCTGAGGGGGGTTATCGTTCTGGTCCTGGATCAGTATTTTCACAGTCACGTTGCTGCTGAGAGGAGGAGAGCCTCCATCCTGCGCTTTAACGTGAAACCGGAAGTCTTTGATCTGCTCGTAGTCAAAAGAGCGCACTGCGTGGATGACTCCGCTATCAGCACTAACGGACACATATGAGGAGACCGGAACTCCGTTAACGGAGGAGTCCTCCAGTATGTAAGAAACTCGGGCATTCTGGTTCCAGTCAGCGTCTGTGGCTTTCACTGTGAATATAGAGAGACCTGGTGTGTTGTTTTCTACAATGTAGGCCTCATATGAGCTCCTCTCAAAGACAGGCGCGTTGTCGTTCACATCAGAGATCTGTAAGGTGAGAGTGACGCTGCTGGAGAGGGAGGGCACTCCTTCATCAGAGCAGCTCACCGTGATGTTATACTCAGAGGCTCTCTCCCTGTCTAACTCGCTTTCTGTCACTAAACTGTAGAAATTATTTGAGGATGATGTTAAAATAAAAGGCATATTCTCATTGATAAAGCAATTTACTTTTCCGTTGTTTCCAGAGTCTTCATCATCCACGCTTATTATCGTAACAACTGTATTTAATTTGACATCCTCTGATATAACAGTGGATTTGGACATGATCTTTATTTCAGGGCTGTTATCGTTCATGTCCTGCACGTCAACGATTAATTTACAAGAATCTGTGAGTCCTCCTTCATCACTAGCAAGTAAATTTATTTGAAAACCTTGCGACTTTTCAAAATCTATGTTTCCATCTAAAGTAATTTCCCCGTTATTATCGTTAATTATAAACACTTTTCTGACATCATGTACCGTGTTTGTAATCGAGTATGTTATTTTACTGTTAGAGCCTTCATCTGCATCTGATGCTGTAACTGTAGCAACAACGGTGCCTTTAGGTGAGTTTTCAGTAACTGTAGCTTTGTATGTTTTCTGTGTAAAAACAGGAGCATTATCATTAACGTCTAAGACTGTAATAACAATCTGCATCGTTCCTGACATCTGCGGCTCTCCTCCATCTACAGCCGTTAACACCAGATTGATCTGCTCCTGCTTCTCTCTGTCTAAAGACTTCTGTAAAACCATCTCTACGTTTTTGTTTCCTTCAGCGCTGTTGTGGAGCTTCAGAGCAAAATTATCAGTTGGTTTCAGATTGTAGCTCTTCAGATTATTAACACCGACATCCAGATCCACAGCTCTCTCCAGAACAAAAGTAGCTCCGATCACCGCCGACTCACTGATCTTAAACTTCATTTCACTCCTTTCAAATATAGGTGGATTATCATTAATATCTGTAACCTGAATTGTGACAGTATAAAACTCCATGGGGTTTTCTAGAATAATCTGAAAATGTAACGCACAGGGCGTCGTCTGTTCGCAGAGCGCCTCTCTGTCGATCCTTTCTTTAACGAGGAGGACTCCTCTCTCTCTGTTCAGCTCCACGAACTCCTCGCTGTCTCTGGTAAAAATCCGCGCTTTTCCCGATTTTAAACGGCTAATTTGTAAACCTAGATCATGAGCTATGTTACCAACTAAAGATCCTTTTGACATTTCTTCTGGGATGATGTAGCTGACCTGTCCGAGCACAAAGCCAAAGGAGAGGAGAAAGACGAGCAGCGTCACTTGCCTTTCCATTGTTGTCTGAGTTTAAATCCAGAGCTTCCTTTTAAATAAATCCAGTAAGAAAAAAAAAAAAATCCCAGTCACACAATAAACGTGAAAAATGCTTCCTTTAAAAACAACGGAGCTTCAATCTTCCGTGTTTCCTTTTCTAAAATAAATCAGAGAACTGGAGCGGTCCTCGGATCGTGTCGTGTTCCTTTTCATAATGGCGATGCTTTGAGGTGCAGCAACAAACTGCTGTTATTAGACATCATGGTCAACAGCGGCACTACGAGTTCAAACAGAATTACTACAGAATCCAAGCACTTAGGAATTATTAAACTTCTCCCAGTTTATATTTGGGGTTTATATGGAAGTGATTTAGTAAATCTGACCGATGTTAGTTTTTAATATATATTTTTAGCACATAGTCACCAAAAGTAAGTGAATTAAAACCTAAACTTAACAGTAAATAACTGTTTTTTCTCTTTGAATAATCATCTACTCATCAGTACTTTCCCCACAACACTTCATCTATAGGTTCTCATGGAGCTTCAACCTTCCTCCTCTCTTCATCAGTTCAGAGGCAGGGCAGCCCCAGGTCGCCAGTCCGGCATCACAGCACACAGAGACACAACAATTCAAGGCTCATTCTCACCTAGAACGATTTAAAGTTTCAGAATACTCCAAGTGGTGCTCGCTGCAGAACCACAAAGGCGGAGCTGCGCCAGAAGGTGGAGCTGCACCAGAGTCAGCCCCGCCCATTCCATCAGAGTCAGTCCAATTCCTTCATATTGTCAGACTTAATAGCATTCTGTAACCAAAGAGGGTGTTATCATCTACAATGCAATATAGAGGACTTGAGTTGAGAGGTTAATTGAACCGTTTTTGTAAATGTTCCATATAATAAAAAAATCTAACTTTTAGAACTTTTTATCATGTTATATTGTCATTTCCTCATAAAAAATACGCCAAAGTCATTTTTGGCCTCATTCACACATTTTCCTCCCATCTCAGCTTCAATTTGGTCCTCTCCTCCGAAGCGGGTTGGGTCTTGGTTCTCAAATCTGGATATTCTGTGAATTTTCTGATAAATGATTTCTGATATGACTTCTACTGAGACCGCCAAAAAACCATACATCCCATCTACAAAAGCATTCTGAATGGCACAATTACATGTGACGCCACTAGCACGACTCCAGATGCAGTGGTGAAGTGGTTGTCCAGTTAGCCTGTCATGTAGTTTAGAGCAGGTTCGCCTCCCGGTAACGCCTCAAAGTTTTTCTCCTTTTCTAGCTACACTTGCCAGTACTATATTTTTAACCATTTATTGGTATACCGTTTACAATATAACGACTCATGTGTTTGTTTTTCTATTCATTTGTTTATTTAGCCAGTGTGAGTCCATTTGTGAGCAGAGTTTCAACTAAAATGCTGTTTAGGAACGACCAAATTCAAAGAACTTTTAGAGACATAAATATTTTGCAGAAAATAAACATTACAACTAAAATATAAACAAATTAAATGTTTCAGCTTTTAAATTGATAGCTGCCGACCCCACCGAATGTCGAACCAGCATCAGCTGAGGGGAAAGCAAAATTTCAGGGTGACGATGCTGCCACTAGACTATAACAGCCTACCAAATAGCTGTCCACAAATATTAAAATAGACTGGTTCTGTTGGAGCGGCTATAGATATTCGCTAGGAGAAACCTTTTCATTTCGGTATATATTCAGGCTTTGTCATGTTGCAAGTTATATTTATCTTGCGTAATTGGAGCATAGAACATAGCATTAACATTTGTAAAGTAGTAACAGCCGTAATTCATGTGTGTCAGGCTTTTTTGCGATAAAAAAAAAAAAAAAAAAAAAAAAAAGAAGAAGTAAGTGGGCCAGGCTGTTTGCGTGAGTGAGCGGGGCTGACTCTGGTGCAGCTCCACCTTTTTGGTTCTGCAGCGAGCACCCTCAGAAAAACCGGTTAGCAGAGATTTGAGATAGAGTGTTGCTGTCCAGCGTGCTGAAAAACAGTGAAGACAATACGGCTTTTCCAAACAGAGAAGGTATTTTATAATGGTTACGGCAAATGAAAATGCATCCAGAGCTGTCGGCTCAAACGATTAGGCCAGAAGTTGAAGGATAAAAATGATGTGTTCTTGAGAAACGACAAAATATTTGTTTTGTAGTAAACATCTTTAAATTCTGTGTTTTCGAAATTTCAAAACAACTGGAAAAAAAAAACCAACGGTAGAATAAATAATTATGAAGACACATTTCTAGACAGGTTTGTTAAGAGATGGGTGAAAAATACCTAATAAACAGATATGAATTATTAATTTTCTTCAATGCAAATGAAGAAAAATTGTTAAAAAAAGGCAGAAAACAACAGAAGAGTTATTTAGTGGTTTAAAATAAAGAACGCGAATCCAGAAAATTATTACATATTTCCTTTTCCGAAAATGATTTACATTATAACACAGTCAAAAGAATATGATCAAAGATTTCTAACCTCTAAAGGAGAGTCAAGCTCATCCAGGATGCTCTTCTCACCCTGCATCCTCTGCATGGTTCCTGTAGAACTGGGTTCCATTACCAACACGTTCTGACTAGCAGCTCTGCCGAACTTACAGTCACTCTTTCTGGAGTCAGTGGTCCTGCACACCTCGTAGTTGTACACATGTTGGAGAGTTCCTGTCCCCAGCGTGTCTGAGTAACGTGGTGGATAATATGGAATAACAGGGAGGCTGGAGTGATACAGGATGCGAGACTGTCTCCATCTGTAGATTTTCACTGAGATGATAACCACCAAACAGGTGATGAAGAGGAAGGAAACTACAGCCAGAGCCAAGACTAAGTAAAAAGTCAGGTTGTCGTTGTACTCCTTGTCGTGTGTAGAGTCAGTGAACTCCGACAGCACTTCAGGGAAGCTGTCCGCCACCGCCACGTTAACAATGACTGTAGCTGAACGAGAGGGCTGGCCGTTGTCCTCCACTATAACAGCCAGTCTTTGTTTCACAGCATCTTTATCAGTCACTTGACGGATAGTTCTGATTTCTCCATTCTGTAAGCCCACTTCAAACAGCGCCCTGTCTGTGGCTTTCTGCAGTTTATAGGAGAGCCAGGCGTTCTGTCCAGAGTCCACATCAACAGCCACCACTTTAGTCACCAGATAGCCCACTTCTGCTGAACGAGGCACCATCTCAGCCACCACGGAGCCTCCAGTCTGGACCGGATACAGGACCTGAGGGGGGTTATCGTTCTGGTCCTGGATCAGTATTTTCACACTCACGTTGCTGCTGAGAGGAGGAGAGCCTCCATCCTGCGCTTTAACGTGAAACCGGAAGTCTTTGATCTGCTCGTAGTCAAAAGAGCGCACTGTGTGGATGACCCCGCTATCAGCACTAACGGACACATATGAGGAGACCGGAACTCCGTTAACGGAGGAGTCCTCTAGTATGTAAGAAACACGGGCATTCTGGTTCCAGTCAGCGTCTGTGGTTTTCACTGTGAATATAGAGAGACCTGGTGTGTTGTTTTCTACAATGTAGGCCTCATATGAGCTCCTCTCAAAGACAGGCGCGTTGTCGTTCACATCAGAGATCTGTAAGGTGAGAGTGACGCTGCTGGAGAGGGAGGGAACTCCTTCATCAGAGCAGCTCACGGTGATGTTGTACTCAGAGGCTCTCTCCCTGTCTAACTCGCTGTCTGTCACTAAACTAAAAAATTTTTTAGATGTTGCTTTTATGAAAAACGGAATTTGTTCCTCTATTTCACATGCAACCTTTCCATTCTCACCAGAATCTGGATCTTGAACATTAAAAATAGTCACAACGGTTCCAGGTTTTGTATCCTCTGATACTGAATTTGTTTTAGACATTATGTTAATTGACGGGGCGTTATCATTTGTGTCTGTTACTTCGACAATAATCTTACACGAATCTGTTAATCCCCCGTCATCACTGGCTTGCACGTGGATTTCATAAATTTGAGTTTTTTCAAAATCTAAGTATCCAATTAGAGACACAACCCCGCTTTCTTCAGAAACTTGAAACACATTTGGAACATCATCTAGCGTGTTTGTTATTGAATACAACACGTTCCCATTAGAACCTTCATCTGCATCGACAGCATTAACTGTGCACATAATTGTTCCCTTTGGCACATTCTCCTTTACAGTAACCTTGTATACTTCTCGCGTAAAGACTGGGGCGTTATCATTCGCATCTAGTACTGAAATGTCCACTCTCATTGTTCCCGACAGCCGAGGCTCTCCTCCATCAGTAGCTGTGAGAATTAAGGAGATGTGATCTTTTGTTTCTCTATCTAAATGTTTTTGTAAAACCATCTCCACCTTTTTGCTCCCATCTTTCTGATTTTGAAGCTTTAAATTAAAATTGTCAGTAGGTTTAAGTGAATAACCTTGCAGTCCGTTGACACCGACATCTAAATCCATGGCTCTCTCCAGCACAAATTTCGCTCCAATCACAGCCGACTCGCTGATCCTAAATCTCATTTCCTCCTTTTTGAATGCAGGCATATTATCATTAATATCGTTAATTTCCACTGTAACTGAAAAGAATTCAATCGGGTCTTCTAGCGTGATTTGTAGATGTAAAGCGCACGGCGTTGTTTGTCCGCACAGCGCCTCTCTGTCGATCCTCTCCTTAACGAGCAGGAGCCCTCTGTCTGCATTCAGCTCGATGTATTCCGCTTTGTCTTCTGTATAAATGCGCGCTCGCCCGGACTTTAATCTTTTCACCTCTATTCCTAAATCCTGCGCTATGTTACCGACCAGGGAGCCTTTCGACATTTCCTCTGGAATGGAGTAAGTGACCTGCCCCACCACCGAGCTGAGAAACAAGAAAATCAGGAGCAGTACTTGCCATCTCATTGTTCTGTCCGACATTTTTCCTTTTCAGAAATCAAAAAATAAAAGCTCGAATGTTCCAAATCTTCGAATTTGCCGTAGTGTAAAATAACCTCCCAGACAAAAGCTTTGAATTTTCTGATCCAAAAATATTTGTAATCCACAGAAAGACCATCACCCGTCTTCATCACCAGGGCTTCTGAGCTGGGTGCGTGCTTTTCCCCTCTATTCAGTGACACATGAACACATTTCTACATTAGCCAACAGCGGCCCTGAGAGTCCAAACTTGTGCACTGCATAAAACGACTACATGCAGCAGAAAAAACAGGTCAGTTCTCTCCAAAGTCACCATAACACTAAATAAATGCTTTGTGTGAGCCCGAGTTTCAAAATCAAGTAAATAATGAATATTAATTAATTGACTGGGTGAGACTGCCTAATTAGAATATCTCCCAGCTTAAAATGAAAAGTAATTCACAAAAAAATGTAACAACGAACAAATGATGGGCGCAAAAAATGTTTTAGTAGACTTTTTGATTCAGTATTTGACATCTAAATATATATTTTTTCAAATTACAAACAAATCAGAAAATACTACACAAAAATAATCAACTACGATTCACTTTAACATTTTGATGACATTTATAACTATAAAGAATAAACGACTATTTTCTTCTGTCTTAAATGTTGAGAAAACACGAGGGACTGTTATTACCTATAATTAGAAAAAATATTTCATATATATATATATATGTATATAATATATATATATATATATATATATATATATATATATATATATATATATATATATATATACATTTACACAAAAATTATTGGGTTTTAAAATAAATATAGAATAAATAACATGAATAAATAACATGAATAAAAAAGGAAATATACTAAACCACTGAATACTCAAAAACAATATTTGTTTCTTAGAAAGTACTGAAACAACTGATTATTTGTTACAATTTAAAGGAAAGTCACTCTGTCCTAACGCAGCAAGTTACAAAAAATAAATGCATAAATAAAAAACAAATCCATCATCAATGAAGTCATTAACAACAAAACACAAAATCTCCTCTCTGTACCATTTGGTCCAAAAATCATTGAACAGACTCAACAAACTTCTACAAAACTGGACAAAGTCAACAAGAGCACTATAATAACCTATTCTATAGTATAAATGATTACCTGTGAATAGTCAGTTTTCAGAAAATAAAAAAGATGAGTAATACATATTATTGATAAAAAAAGACTGGTAACGGCAATGAAAACAGAACATTTCAAACAAAGATATGTCAGAGTAAGTTATTTTATAATGTAAAAAAAAAGAGGATATGATATTCGGGAAAGCATTTTTACTTGTTGCCATGCTTTAAACTTGAAATTAAAAACTATTCAGTGAATGATGGTCAACATTGCTGGAGGGCAACAAGAACAAGAGAACGGACCTAAGAATCCAGGGTGAGAGCTGGGTCAAAGGTCACACCATGATTCCACAAAGATAGTCTGGTGTGAGAAGCAAGCTGAGGAAACCATTTTGACTGGGGCACAGAGGAGGATCTCAGTTTTGATTTAATTCAGCTGTAGAAAGTTCACAGCTATCCAGGTTTTAACCTTCTCAGGCTCAAAATAAGTTTTAATAAAAGGACAAACAACTAAGTCCTTCAGCGGTACTTCTGAGTAAAAAAATGCTCATGAAATACGTATGTGCAGTAACCAGGTAGGTAGGTTTTAATGTTGCAAATCTGCAACACCTGCCTCCAGAGGGTTAACCAGGTGAAGCTGCAGTTTAGACATCTCATGGGGCTTAAAGGTATTGGCCAGACTGGCATTAAAATTGTAGAAATTCAGTATAACTACACTTTACCATCAATATAAATATAAACTGGGTTCAGTTTTTCATTTTGTTAGGAATTTCGCCATGAATCATTACTGAAAATCTAAATTCTCTCCTTCAGAGAGTAAGGAACTGTTTCACATACGTCAATCCAACACGTAAAACAAGGTAGCTGCTGTTGCTAGTATTGTGAATAACTGTTATTTGTTTACTTTGCTGCTGTTATATATTACAGAAAATTGCTTTTACAGCTGCAGCAAAGGTCTGCACCATTTGTCCATGTCCTACACACATTTTTAAATAACATAGACCTGATCTTAAAAGATTAACCTACATCTATAAATCCATCTAGAGCCGCACCGGTACTTCCGGACTCCGGAGAAGTCCCGTTAGCATGACTGCAACAATGCTGCTTCTCGTGTTAGCTCCGGTAAGGAAAAAACAAGTCTTTTGGGAAAGCTGCAACACACACACACACACACACACACACACACACACACACACACACACACACACACACACACACACACATGCACATGCAAGTATGCACGCACGCACGCACGCACACACACACAAGGTATAATCTAAAAGATGATCTCCATATTTCAACAACAAATCACCCGTGGACTGGTAGAACCTCCGTGCCATCTTGGCTTAGTGCAAACAATGAGCCAAACTAACAAGTTACTCCAGCATCTGGAAGATTTATTCTAGTAAGCAATTGGTTAAATACTTTCCGGAATTATATCAGCATATACATGGAGTGGTAATACTGGCAGCACATTATTTTATTTATCTGTAGATTATTGAATTATATTGGGCCAGATAATGGAGCTAAGACCAGCTGAGAACTCATTCGGTTAGAGCTCTCGGTGGAGCACAGAAATGAAATATTTTTTTAAAAAGTAAACAAACTGTACTGATTTTGGTTCTAAAGATGAACAGTATCCACCTCGATGCTCAAATCGGGTCACGGGTCCTCTGAGTCAAATGGTCTAAAACATGTCTGCACCTCCAGTAGTGACATCTAGCTAGCGGGGTTGGAGTTCGGTTGAACTACTCCGGTAATCCAATATCCGTTCTTGTTGCCATAACCCAGAGAAAAAACAAATCTGACCGACTAGCAGAGGCTTCAGAAGCTACATCTGACTGCTGACACATTGTTCTCTGCTGTAACGCTACCGCAGAAACACCGGAGTCGGAGGTTGTTTCTATAGCTGTTTCAGCAGATTTCCTTGTGAAACATCACCAGCTGCCCAGGGCTCAGACCGGACATTATTGTTTGTTTTCCTGCACCAGTAAAAAACATCAGATTTTCTTAAAATCCCAGCTGGGAAAATCCAAAAACATTTTTCACCTGAGGTTTTAATAATTTTTTTGCCTCTGGCCAATATCTTTAAAGTAGTTGTACAGTTATGGTAACATGATTAATGACCTGTATTTGCATAGTGCCTTCTTAGGGTTCTACAACACCCCAAAATGCCTCACAATACAATCAATCGTTCACCCATTCACACACACATTCCCACTGGTGGGGATGGGCTACACCATAGCCACAGCAACCACCATAAGCAGGCAAGGTGGGTTGTGTTTTACCCAAAGACACAACAGCAGCATTCTCTGGTCAGAGCGGGATCGAACCTGCAACCTTCACTTACTGGACAACTTGCTCTACCTCTTGATCTACTGCTGTCCCATTGTTTATGATATTGTCCAGTTGATCAATAAAAATACTTCCATTACTTCCAGATTCCATTAAAAGAGCGCTTACAATGTGAAATAGAGAGATCAGATAAAGGAGGAACAATAGAGGCCCCAACATAGAACTTAGTGTGACACCATGGGTGAGGAAGGAGGGCCAAAATTTAGAGACAGCCACAGAGAAGGAACACTCAGATAGACAAGAGGAAAACCACTCCAGAGCTGTTCCTGAGAGGCCTACCCAGTTTTTTTAGCTAATCAAGTAGAAAGTAATGGTCAAAGGTGTCCAAAGCTAAAGCCAGGTCCATCAGAACCAGAACAGAACGTTTCCCTGCATCACTGCAATGTTTTAAAAGTGATTAAAAACTGATGGTGTTAACACAACTGTGTAACATCCTAAAGGTTTAAAATGTTGCATTTCATTTGCAAAATCATACAACATCTTTTACATAAATTATTAAAAATGTATCTTTTAATATGCACTTTAGATGGTTTCATTGATTTTTAAAATCAACATGGCTTTTATCTGATTTTTGCAAATAAACTCTTCGTATGATGTGCAGTGGGGGTGTTCGGTAAACATTCAAACACAAAGCCTTTTTGGTTGAGTGCTTTATGACAATAATATGTCTAGGTTTGCTCTCAGAAAATTTAAAGTGAAAAATGATGATCTTATCAAAATAGAAATTCTACATTTTGTGGGTAGTTTGTTTAATAGTCCAACCCAGAGTTATTCAGTGCTTGTTCTCAAGAGCCTGTGACTGTATGTTTTCTATGCCTATTTTTAAACAACAGACCTGGTTTGAAACAATAGGTGATAAAGAGGCTCCTTTAAAATTTGCAAACTTATTTATATGGTGAACAAATACATTTATCTTGTGTATTAGAAGAGTTAAACAACAAAAAATGCAGGGCAGTAGTCCTACAGGATAATAATTCAATAGATCAGTAAAATTGAATTAAATGTTTACAAAAACATAACGATGACTAAACGTGTCAAATTGCATGCATTTTCATCTGTAAAGAAAGCCATATAAGGATGATGCTTACAAATTGTGTTGACATTGTATAAGTGAAGATAGGTGAATGCTGAAGAAGAGAAAAATGATAAAAGTGATGAAGCTTGACTCTGAACATTTAAATAAAACAAAGATGTGGTCTAACCTCCAAAGGAGAGTCAGGCTCATCCAGGATGCTCTTCTCACCCTGCATCCTCTGCATGGTTCCTGTAGAACTGGGGTCCATTACCAACACGTTCTGACTAGCAGCTCTGGCAAACTTACAGTCACTCTTTCTGGAGTCAGTGGTCCTGCACACCTCGTAGTTGTACACATGTTGGAGAGTTCCTGTCCCCAGCGTGTCTGAGTAACGTGGTGGATAATATGGAATGACAGGGAGGCTGGAGTGATACAGGATGCGAGACTGTCTCCATCTGTAGATTTTCACTGAGATGATAACCACCAAACAGGTGATGAAGAGGAAGGAAACTACAGCCAGAGCCAAGACTAAGTAAAAAGTCAGGTTGTCATTGTACTCCTTGTCGTGTGTAGAGTCAGTGAACTCCGACAGCACTTCAGGGAAGCTGTCCGCCACCGCCACGTTAACAATGACTGTAGCTGAACGAGAGGGCTGGCCGTTGTCCTCCACTATAACAGTCAGTCTTTGTTTCACAGCATCTTTATCAGTCACTTGACGGATAGTTCTGATTTCTCCATTCTGTAAGCCCACTTCAAACAGCGCCCTGTCTGTGGCTTTCTGCAGTTTATAAGAGAGCCAGGCGTTCTGTCCAGAGTCCACATCAACAGCCACCACTTTAGTCACCAGATAGCCCACTTCTGCTGAACGAGGCACAATCTCAGCCACCACGGAGCCTCCAGTCTGGACCGGGTACAGGACCTGAGGGGGGTTATCGTTCTGGTCCTGGATCATTATTTTCACAGTCACGTTGCTGCTGAGAGGAGGAGAGCCTCCATCCTGCGCTTTAACGTGAAACCGGAAGTCTTTGATCTGCTCGTAGTCAAAAGAGCGCACTGTGTGGATGACCCCGCTATCAGCACTAACGGACACATATGAGGAGACCGGAACTCCGTTAACGGAGGAGTCCTCCAGTATGTAAGAAACACGGGCATTCTGGTTCCAGTCAGCGTCTGTGGCTTTCACTGTGAATATAGAGAGACCTGGTGTGTTGTTTTCTACAATGTAGGCCTCATATGAGCTCTTCTCAAAGACAGGAGCGTTGTCATTCACATCAGAGATCTGTAAGGTGAGAGTGACGCTGCTGGAGAGGGAGGGCACTCCTTCATCAGAGCAGCTCACCGTGATGTTATACTCAGAGGCTCTCTCCCTGTCTAACTCGCTGTCTGTCACAATGGTGTAAAAGTCATTTGAAGATGTTTTTATAATAAATGGAATATTTTCATTTAGTCTGCAGTTGACTCGCCCATTGTTTCCAGAATCTGGATCAAGCACACTGAACAGAACAACAACTGTGTGATAGGGGGAATTTTCTGAAATAGAATCTGATTTTGACATTACACTGATTACAGGTTTGTTATCATTAACATCAATAATGTCAAGTATAATCTTGCTGGAGTCAGAAAGACCTCCACTGTCCTTAGCTTTAATATCTATTTGATAAGACTTAGCTTTTTCAAAATCCACTTCACCAACTAAAATCACTTCACCCTTCATATTCAGTTGAAATATGTCAGATACACTATCAATAGTAGAAGACACTGAGTAAGCTATTTCTTGATTTAATCCTTTATCTGCATCAGAGGCACTCACCTGTGTCAGAGTGGTCCCTTTCTGAGAATTTTCCTTTATGGCTGCTTTGTAAACTGACTGTGTAAAAACAGGAGGGTTGTCATTTGCATCTAGAACAGTAACATAAATCTTTACTGTTCCTGACATCTGAGGTTCTCCTCCATCTACAGCTTTCAACATCAAATATATTTGCTCCTCTTTCTCTCTATCTAAAGGTTTGTGTAAAACCATCTCAACCTTTTTATTCCCATCGGGCTGATTTTCTAATTTTAGCACAAAATTATCTGCAGGTTTTAAACTGTAATTTTTCAAACCATTTCTCCCGATGTCTAAATCCACTGCTCTCTCCAAGACAAATTTTGATCCCACAACTGCAGATTCGCTTATCTCAAAGTGTTGCTCGGTACTTTTAAAGGTGGGGCTGTTATCGTTGATGTCGCTGATCTCAACTGTTATTCGAAAAAGCTCCATTGGGTTTTCCAAGATGATCTGCAAATGTAAAGCACAAGGCGTCGTCTGCCTGCAGAGCGCTTCTCTGTCGATCCTTTCATTAACCAGGAGGACTCCTCTCTCCCTGCTCAGCTCGATGTATTCTGAACTGTCACTGGTAAAAATGCGGGCTTTACCCGATTTTAATCTGTTCACATCTAAACCTAAATCCCGTGCTATGTTTCCCACAACAGAGCCCTTTACCATCTCTTCTGGAATAGAGTAGCTGACGTGACCGACAGCTGGAGCGACAACGAACAGGGTGAAAAACAGTACTTGCCGTTCCATTGTTCTATCCGCGGTTTGCTCCGTTAAATACGGGTGATGGGTTGTTTGCCAAGAAGAAAAAAAATCCCAAGAGTAAACAAACAAAAACAACCTTAATATCCAGCCGCAATGAAAATGATAGTGAACGCTTAAAATGACTCAAAACGGAGTCAGAGAGACTCGAAGCAGCCGAGTGTCCTCTCCTTTCTTTCTCTAAACGTCAATGTGGTAATGGAGTCTGTGCTATAAATGCTGTTCATATCAGCAACAAATTGACCAACAGCGGCCCGTTGAGTTTAAAAAGTAAAACTACAAGAGTTTTAAAAACAAGTGAATTGCTGCTTAATTTAGTTAAACCACAAAGTAATAAACTATTCAAACTAGTGTATTGAAATGCATCATATAGGCAAGTAAAATGGAGAAAGATGTGCATAAGGTGAAGAAAACAGCACAACTAAAACAGTTGCTTTTTTAAGCGTGGAAAAAAATGAGAGAGGAAGGACAGATGCAGGAAGGAGAAGCTACGACCTGGGTGTCTCTGTCCAAGGTTCTGATTTTGTTTCCACAATCAGCAATTAAAAAGGCGCAAGTAATAAGATTTCTAAAAATAGCTAATTTAACGAGAAACTGTGAAATGAGGTTTAAATGTGTAAAACACTTTGGAGCAATATCTACATTGTATAATAATAAATTTATGTAAAAAGAGAAACTTTTATGAACGTGAAAAAGATTACCACTATCAATGATATAGAAGTCTCATAACAATAAATAAACACACCAATTCCATGAAAAATAAAAACTTGCACGATTTAGATATGGTAAATATTCTAACCTCTAAAGGAGAGTCAGGCTCATCCAGGATGCTCTTCTCACCCTGCATCCTCTGCATGGTTCCTGTAGAACTGGGGTCCATTACCAACACGTTCTGACTAGCAGCTCTGCCGAACTTACAGTCACTCTTTCTGGAGTCAGTGGTCCTGCACACCTCGTAGTTGTACACATGTTGGAGAGTTCCTGTCCCCAGCGTGTCTGAGTAACGTGGTGGACAATATGGAATGACAGGGAGGCTGGAGTGATACAGGATGCGAGACTGTCTCCATCTGTAGATTTTCACTGAGATGATAACCACCAAACAGGTGATGAAGAGGAAGGAAACTACAGCCAGAGCCAAGACTAAGTAAAATGTCAGGTTGTCATTGTACTCCTTGTTGTGTATAGAGTCAGTGAACTCCGACAGCACTTCAGGGAAGCTGTCCGCCACCGCCACGTTAACAATGACTGTAGCTGAACGAGAGGGCTGGCCGTTGTCCTCCACTATAACAGTCAGTCTTTGTTTCACAGCATCTTTATCAGTCACTTGACGGATAGTTCTGATTTCTCCATTCTGTAAGCCCACTTCAAACAGCGCCCTGTCTGTGGCTTTCTGCAGTTTATAGGAGAGCCAGGCGTTCTGTCCAGAGTCCACATCAACAGCCACCACTTTAGTCACCAGATAGCCCACTTCTGCTGAACGAGGCACCATCTCAGCCACCACGGAGCCTCCAGTCTGGACCGGGTACAGGACCTGAGGGGGGTTATCGTTCTGGTCCTGGATCAGTATTTTCACAGTCACGTTGCTGCTGAGAGGAGGAGAGCCTCCATCCTGGGCTTTAACGTGAAACCGGAAGTCTTTGATCTGCTCGTAGTCAAAAGAGCGCACTGCGTGGATGACTCCGCTATCAGCACTAACGGACACATATGAGGAGACCGGAGCTCCGTTAACGGAGGAGTCCTCCAGTATGTAAGAAACACGGGCATTCTGGTTCCAGTCAGCGTCTGTGGCTTTCACTGTGAATATAGAGAGACCTGGTGTGTTGTTTTCTACAATGTAGGCCTCATATGAGCTCCTCTCAAAGACAGGCGCGTTGTCGTTCACATCAGAGATCTGTAAGGTGAGAGTGACGCTGCTGGAGAGGGAGGGCACTCCTTCATCAGAGCAGCTCACCGTGATGTTATATTCAGAGGCTCTCTCCCTGTCTAACTCGCTGTCTGTCACTAAACTGTAGAAATTATTTGAGGAGGATTTTAACATGAACGGTATATTTTCGGTTACGTAACAAATAACTTTTCCATTTTCTCCCGCGTCTTTGTCATCAATATTTATCATTGTAACAACTGTATTTACGTCAGCATTCTCAGATATCACGTTTGATTTAGACATTATGTTAATTTCAGGTTTATTATCATTAATGTCTTGAACTTCCACAATTAATTTAGACGAATCTGAAAGTCCTCCGTCATCACTAGCAAGCAGACTGATTTTATAATCGCGAGACTTTTCAAAATCAATAGTTCCAACCACAATTATTTCACCATTTTCTCTATTAATCTCGAATACTCCACTGTCTTCATCGTTTTCGTTCTTAATTGAATATGTTATTTTACTGTTGGAGCCTTCATCTGCATCTGATGCTGTAACTGTAGCAACAACGGTGCCTTTAGGTGAGTTTTCAGTCACTGTAGCTTTGTATGTTTTCTGTGTAAAAACAGGAGCATTATCATTAGCGTCTAAGACTGTAATAACAATCTGCATCGTTCCTGACATCTGCGGCTCTCCTCCATCTACAGCCGTTAACACCAGATTGATCTGCTCCTGCTTCTCTCTGTCTAAAGGCTTCTGTAAAACCATCTCTACGTTTTTGTTTCCATCAGCGCTGTTGTGGAGCTTCAGAGCAAAATGATCTGATGGTTTCAAATCATATCCGTGAACACTATTCATTCCTACATCCAGGTCCACAGCTTTGTCTAAAACAAATCGTGACCCAATTACCGCTGACTCACTGATTTTAAAAACAATCTCGTTTTTTTTAAATGTTGGTGCGTTATCATTAACATCTGTAATCTGGACTGTAACCGTGTAAAACTCCATAGGATTTTCCAATATAATCTGGAAATGTAACGCGCAGGGCGTCGTCTGTTTGCAGAGCGCCTCTCTGTCGATCCTTTCTTTAACAAGCAGGACTCCTCTCTCTCTGCCCAGCGCCACGTATTCTCCACTGTCTCGGGTATAAATCCGAGCTTTACCCGAGACAAAACGTTTAGTATCCAAACCTAAATCATGAGCTATGTCTCCAACTATAGATCCCTTTGTTTTTTCTTCAGGAATAGTGTAACTGACCTGTCCGATTACAGAACCAAGCGAGAGGAGAAAGACGAACAACGTCACTTGCCTCATTGTTCTATCCGATGTTTCATCCATGAATTTCAGCCTTTTAATATTCCATAAAACGAAAAATAAATCCACCTATAATAGCTTTATGTCCTGACGTTTCCACAGAAAAATGAGAAGTGCAAATTTCCACGTCACGTTCCCCCAAAAAACATATTTCCCCAGCGAGCCTTTTTACTCCATCGAGGTCTTTCTTTATTATGCCGATGTTATGGAGGATGTGCTGATGCCCAGCCACTGTCTGTTTCCACACTCTGGTCAACAGCGGCCCTAAGAGTTCATATATAAAAACTGCACCATCATACCAGGAATTAAACTTTTACACGAGCTTTTGTGATGTTTTAAAATGTGTTTTAGGTTCTTTAGATGTGTAAAAACAAAAACTAAAATAAATAATCTGCATTTAGGGCTGCATACATATTAGTACACATGTTTAGGTTAACTTCAATCATTTATTTTGAAAATTGCAATTTTATGATTAAATAAATTGTCCCAAAGTTTACGAAAAACACACAAAAACCCTAAATGATATAGGTATAATTATAATTGAAGACAAATTACCTTTCATTAGATAAGAAGCAAAATAAATAAGCTTTTTTCCTCATAAATTAAGCTTAACAATCCAATTAAATTGAACCGCAAATAAACGTTAGGCCCAAGATGAGGAAGTGTCGCTGTCCATGGTGCTCAGACATTGTGAAAAGGGCAGTTAGAATTTATAGTTTTGTTACAAACTAATGCTCTTAAAGTTTAAAAAGTTCCAAACTTTAACAAATGACGTAATTAATGAAAAAATAACCGAGGGATTCTGAAGAAAAACAGTCAGTTAAGCCATTTAAAATCTGAATAAACAAATAAACATTAGTTTTAAAAATGTTAGTCAAGACTTTGATCGTTTAGGAGACGAAAATGATTTCTGTGGGTTTAAGTTAATTCTAAAACGGTGTGCACAAAAGAGGGAGGTGGACACCAGAATCAAAATGATTGAAAATGACAGAAATAAATTAACAAACAGATATGTTTGATACTTTAGAAAAACAAATACATATGATAAAAATGCGATCTCTCAAGAATCGTCACCAGACGCAAACCTGAAGCGAAAAAAAAAAACAGGTGCAATCATCTGGAAAGCAGGAATAAAATGTAAATAAGAATCTCAAATGGTACACAAAATAAATATATCACTGCCACTAGCAGATTCCAAAAAACTCTCTGAAAAAGGCTCCAAGGAAACAATTTTTCAAAATTAGGGTTAACAATGTGTGTGTCTGTCCGAGTTTGATGGTTTGTGAACAGAGGGCAACAGCAAAAAAAAAAAAAAAAAAAAAAAAAAGGTATACTGTAGTTGAGAAGCGATGAAAAAACTAAATATGCAAATATGGGTAAATGAATCCAAAAAACTAACCTCTAAAGGAGAGTCAGGCTCATCCAGGATGCTCTTCTCACCCTGCATCCTCTGCATGGTTCCTGTAGAACTGGGGTCCATTACCAACACGTTCTGACTAGCAGCTCTGCCGAACTTACAGTCACTCTTTCTGGAGTCAGTGGTCCTGCACACCTCGTAGTTGTACACATGTTGGAGAGTTCCTGTCCCCAGCGTGTCTGAGTAACGTGGTGGATAATATGGAATGACAGGGAGGCTGGAGTGATACAGGATGCGAGACTGTCTCCATCTGTAGATTTTCACTGAGATGATAACCACTAAACAGGTGATGAAGAGGAAGGAAACTACAGCCAGAGCCAAGACTAAGTAAAAAGTCAGGTTGTCGTTGTACTCCTTGTCGTGTGTAGAGTCAGTGAACTCCGACAGCACTTCAGGGAAGCTGTCCGCCACCGCCACGTTAACAATGACTGTAGCTGAACGAGAGGGCTGGCCGTTGTCCTCCACTATAACAGTCAGTCTTTGTTTCACAGCATCTTTATCAGTCACTTGACGGATAGTTCTGATTTCTCCATTCTGTAAGCCCACTTCAAACAGCGCCCTGTCTGTGGCTTTCTGCAGTTTATAGGAGAGCCAGGCGTTCTGTCCAGAGTCCACATCAACAGCCACCACTTTAGTCACCAGATAGCCCACTTCTGCTGAACGAGGCACCATCTCAGCCACCACGGAGCCTCCAGTCTGGACCGGGTACAGGACCTGAGGGGGGTTATCGTTCTGGTCCTGGATCAGTATTTTCACACTCACGTTGCTGCTGAGAGGAGGAGAGCCTCCATCCTGCGCTTTAACGTGAAACTGGAAGTCTTTGATCTGCTCGTAGTCAAAAGAGCGCACTGCGTGGATGACTCCGCTATCAGCACTAACGGACACATATGAGGAGACCGGAACTCCGTTAACGGAGGAGTCCTCCAGTATGTAAGAAACACGGGCATTCTGGTTCCAGTCAGCGTCTGTGGCGTTCACTGTGAATATGGAGAGACCTGGTGTGTTGTTTTCTACAATGTAGGCCTCATATGAGCTCCTCTCAAAGACAGGCGCGTTGTCATTCACATCAGAGATCTGTAAGGTGAGAGTGACGCTGCTGGAGAGGGAGAGCACTCCTTCATCAGAGCAGCTCACCGTGATGTTATACTCAGAGGCTCTCTCCCTGTCTAACTCGCTGTCTGTCACTAAACTGTAGAAATTATTTGTGGAGGATTTTAGCGAAAATTCTATTTTCTCGAGAATAAAGCAATTAACTTTTCCGTTTTCTCCCGTGTCCTTGTCTTCAACATGGATCATTGTAACAACTGTATTTAGTTTAGCATCTTCTGAAATTACATTTGTCTTAGACATTATGCTAATTTCAGGCTTGTTGTCATTTACATCTTGTACATCTACAGATAATTTACAAGAATCCGTCAGGCCTCCATCATCACTTGCTCGCAAATTAATTTGAAAATTTTGTGACTCTTCAAAGTTAATATTTCCAATCAAAGATATTTCACCATTTTCTCTGTTAACGATGAATATTTTTCTCACATCATCTAAAGTGTTTGTAATCGAGTATGTTATTTTACTGTTAGAGCCTTCATCTGCATCTGATGCTGTAACTGTAGCAACAACGGTGCCTTTAGGTGAGTTTTCAGTCACTGTAGCTTTGTATGTTTTCTGTGTAAAAACAGGAGCATTATCATTAACGTCTAAGACTGTAATAACAATCTGCATCGTTCCTGACATCTGCGGCTCTCCTCCATCTACAGCCGTTAACACCAGATTGATCTGCTCCTGCTTCTCTCTGTCTAAAGGCTTCTGTAAAACCATCTCTACGTTTTTGTTTCCATCAGCGCTGTTGTGGAGCTTCAGAGCAAAATGGTCTGATGGGTTTAAATCGTACTTCTGGAGATCGTTTGTCCCCACATCCAGATCAACAGCCCTCTCCAGCACAAATTTGGACCCGGAAATCGCTGATTCACTAATTTTAAATTCGATCTTCTGTCCCTCAAACGTAGGTGCGTTGTCATTAATATCTGTAATCTGGATTGTAACACTATAAAACTCCATCGGATTCTCTAGAATAATCTGAAAATGTAACGCACAGGGCGTCGTCTGTTTGCAGAGCGCCTCTCTGTCGATCCTTTCTTTCACGAGCAGGACTCCTCTCTCTCTACTCAGCCTCACGTACTCGTCACTGTTCGACGTATAAATCCGAGCCTTACCTGAAATAAAACGCTTTGTTTCTAAACCTAAATCATTTGCTACGTTCCCCACTAACGATCCTTTAGCCATTTCCTCTGGTATGGTGTAGCTCACTTGCCCGCTTCCCGATCTAAAGAAAAAAAGAGCAAAACACAGCAGCGTCTGTCCTTCCATTGTTAGATCCGTGCGTTTTCCCATCGATGCAACAGAATGTTTGTTTGCCCTTCCGAAAAATTCTGGTTATTCCAATCAAGTGTGAGCATTACTTTTAATATAATCCACAAAATAAATCGAAGAGGGTCACAAATCTTCGTCTGAATTCCAGAAAATAAAATGCGATGTTCTCCTTCTTTGCCTCGTCTTTATGATCTCGATGTAACAAGGGAGGTTCTGCTTAAATCCTTCACACACTCATCCACACACTGGTCAACAGCGGCCCTAAGAGTTCATATATGAAAACTGCAGCAATAACAATCTACATTATTTATTTGTATAAGCTCTGCTTAAACACCTTGTTGAAAATACTAATACTTATATTTAAATACTATTATTGCAGGTCTGGAATAAAAAAACACATTTTACAGTGATCTAAGATACATATTGCCAACAACTGATTTTGTACATTGGTGAATATTTAACTCAGAAAACATCTCAGTATATTTTTGAAAAGTTAAATGGTGTGTTACAAATTTTCAAGCCAGAATGGAGGAAGGAGAGTTTTAGAGTTTTATAAATAGCAGCTAAACGAAAAGACAGAAAAAAATGAATAAGAAAACAACACTTAAAAAAGTTAAATAAAATAATAAACAAACAGATCCTGTTAGGTACAACTAGCAAAGAAATGTAGAGTTCATGTCTAGTTTACCAAACTTAACTAAATCAGAAAAACAACCAAGTTCACCAAACGCTTTATGGAAGACAAACGTAAGTCAAAACAAATATTCCCGTACCTTTTTTTTAGATTAGTGAAAAATTATGTCAAGTTTAGTTAGAAATCGCTCATTTGATCTTCTGGAAACCTCACAACAGCAATGCGGGAGAAATAAATATTAACTATTAAAAACATAATAATATATGGCTTGTTTGTGGTAAAACTGAAGATTGTCTCAGACCAAAGAACATAACACAGTTTCAGAAAATGAGAGAGCGAAAGAGAAAGAAACATGCCGATTGAAACTTTCAGAACACACATGCTGATGAACTTATAAAATGATAATTTCTCTTTTTTTGTATATATTGCTTTATAAAATTCAAAAATTAAACACTTGATTTAGTCATTATGATTAAAAGGTTAAGCACGCAGTGAAAAGGCGAAGTTTAACAAGACACATAAAGGTTGGTACTACTACTACAATGAATGTTGCTGTCCAAGGTCCTGAAAGAACCAACAAGCTGAATGAAAACTGTTTAGGAGCCGACCACAAACAAACAAGCAAACAAGCAATAAACTAACCAAAACTATATATTATAATCATGATAGTTAGGTTGTAGGAATGTAAAATTGAATTTGTTACTCTACTGAAACTTATGTAAAGCTATTCCCTCTAACAGGACGCTTTTGTTTACATACATTTTTTAAAGGAGATGAATTTAGATTCTATCATGAACAGAAAAGAGAAAATAAACTGGCTGAACACCTTATTTAGGGAAGAGAAACTCTTTCAAAATTGACCTCTCTAGGAGAGTCTGATTCATAAAAACATAACTAATGTACCATTTGAAGTAGAGTTATGCTAATTAAAGAGGTTTTATATATATATTACAAGTTCAAGGAAGTGATCAACCTGTGTCTGATCACTGGAAACTTGTCTAAAGAAAGCCCAACATTGATTATAAAAAAATGCTAAATGAATACTTCAGTTTATATGCTAGAGACCTTGTACAGATTTCAGGAAGATTACAGTACTCACTCAAGTTCATCATAACTGCAATGAAAACATAAAATTATTTAAGCACTGGATTCTGTCCTACAAACATGCCAAACAAAATATGTGTAAAATATTATTTAAAGACACCAAACAATTGAATTCAAGTATCTTGTGTTTGTTTTACAGATACTGTTAATTAAACAACATGTTACTATTATGAATGATAAAGGACTTGTTTCTGTATGGTGCCTTCTAAGGTTCTACAACCCTCCAAGGCAGTTCACAACGATAAGTCATCTACACACTCACACGCTGCTGCTGATGACTTAAAATATAGCCCCAGGTTCCCTGTGGTGCAATGATGGAAGCGAGGCTGCCAAACACTGGCCCAACCAGTTCCTTCAACCACCACCAGCAGGCAAGGTGGGTTGTGTCTTACCCAAGAACACAACCGCAGCATTCTCTGGCAGGAACCGGGATCGATCCGACAAAGGTCTGATGGACAACCCCCTCAACAAATTGAGCGTACTATGCATGAGATATGGATGTCAGTTTGGAAATGACCTAATGATTGTAGCATGTGATTTATATTTTGATTCCAAAGGTTTAAATAAAACAAACCCTCCAAATGGAAGAAAAAAAGCATAGTCGTCTAACCTAATATAAAATATTGTAGGTGGAATGTTTAAAGACAACTAACCTCTAAAGGAGAGTCAGGCTCATCCAGGATGCTCTTCTCACCCTGCATCCTCTGCATGGTTCCTGTAGAACTGGGGTCCATTACCAACACGTTCTGACTAGCAGCTCTGCCGAACTTACAGTCACTCTTTCTGGAGTCAGTGGTCCTGCACACCTCGTAGTTGTACACATGTTGGAGAGTTCCTGTCCCCAGCGTGTCTGAGTAACGTGGTGGATAATATGGAATGACAGGGAGGCTGGAGTGATACAGGATGCGAGACTGTCTCCATCTGTAGATTTTCACTGAGATGATAACCACCAAACAGGTGATGAAGAGGAAGGAAACTACAGCCAGAGCCAAGACTAAGTAAAATGTCAGGTTGTCATTGTACTCCTTGTCGTGTGTAGAGTCAGTGAACTCCGACAGCACTTCAGGGAAGCTGTCCGCCACCGCCACGTTAACAATGACTGTAGCTGAACGAGAGGGCTGGCCGTTGTCCTCCACTATAACAGTCAGTCTTTGTTTCACAGCATCTTTATCAGTCACTTGACGGATAGTTCTGATTTCTCCATTCTGTAAGCCCACTTCAAACAGCGCCCTGTCTGTGGCTTTCTGCAGTTTATAGGAGAGCCAGGCGTTCTGTCCAGAGTCCACATCAACAGCCACCACTTTAGTCACCAGATAGCCCACTTCTGCTGAACGAGGCACCATCTCAGCCACCACGGAGCCTCCAGTCTGGACCGGGTACAGGACCTGAGGGGGGTTATCGTTCTGGTCCTGGATCAGTATTTTCACAGTCACGTTGCTGCTGAGAGGAGGAGAGCCTCCATCCTGCGCTTTAACGTGAAACCGGAAGTCTTTGATCTGCTCGTAGTCAAAAGAGCGCACTGCGTGGATGACTCCGCTATCAGCACTAACGGACACATATGAGGAGACCGGAACTCCGTTAACGGAGGAGTCCTCCAGTATGTAAGAAACACGGGCATTCTGGTTCCAGTCAGCGTCTGTGGCTTTCACTGTGAATATAGAGAGACCTGGTGTGTTGTTTTCTACAATGTAGGCCTCATATGAGCTCCTCTCAAAGACAGGCGCGTTGTCGTTCACATCAGAGATCTGTAAGGTGAGAGTGACGCTGCTGGAGAGGGAGGGCACTCCTTCATCAGAGCAGCTCACCGTGATGTTGTACTCAGAGGCTCTCTCCCTGTCTAACTCGCTGTCCATCACTAAACTATAGAAATTATTTGAGGATGATTTTAAGATAAATGGTAAATTTTCTCCAATGAAACATTCAACCTTTCCATTGTTTTCAGAATCTAAGTCCTCTATGTTTATTACTGTAACAACTGTATTGATCTCAACATTCTCCGAGATTATATTTGATTTTGACATTATGCTAATTTCAGGCTTGTTGTCATTAACATCTGTCACTTCAACAATAATTTTACATGAATCTGTCAGCCCTCCATCATCAGTTGCTCCTATATTTACTTGAAAATGTTTATTCCTTTCAAAATCAATGTTTCCAGTTAAAAAAACCTGACCGTTTTCTGGGTTTATTTCAAAACTTTTTCTTACATTTCCTTGTGTGTTAGTGATAGAATATGTTATTTTACTGTTGGAGCCTTCATCTGAATCTGATGCTGTAACTGTAGCAACAACGGTGCCTTTAGGTGAGTTTTCAGTAACTGTAGCTTTGTATGTTTTCTGTGTAAAAACAGGAGCATTATCATTAACGTCTAAGACTGTAATAACAATCTGCATCGTTCCTGACATCTGCGGCTCTCCTCCATCTACAGCCGTTAACACCAGATTGATCTGCTCCTGCTTCTCTCTGTCTAAAGGCTTCTGTAAAACCATCTCTACGTTTTTGTTTCCATCAGCGCTGTTGTGGAGCTTCAGAGCAAAATGGTCTGATGGTTTTAAATCATACTTTTTTACCCCATTAATTCCAACATCGTCATCCACCGCTCTTTCTAGAACGAATGTTGCCCCAGTTACTGCAGACTCGCTAATTTTGAATTGAATTACCCCTTTCTCAAAAGTAGGCGGATGATCATTAATATCTGTGATCTGGACTGTGACCATGAAAAATTCAATTGGGTTTTCCAAAATGATCTGGAATTCTAGAGAACAAAGCTCCGTCTCTGCGCACAGCGCCTCTCTGTCGATCTTTTCTTTAACAAGGAGGAGTCCTCTCTCCCGGTTCAGCTCCACGTACTCGTCGCTGCTCCTCGTATGGATCCTTGCTTTGCCTGAAATAAAACGTTTAATATCCAGCCCTAAATCCCGAGCGATATTTCCCAGTAAAGAACCTTTTGGCATTTCCTCTGGAACAGAATAGATGATCTGCGCAAATGCTGCATTGATGAAAGAGAGAGAGAGAAAGGCCAGTACTTGCCGATTCATTGTCTCTTCAAATTTCCTCCGTTCAAAGATTCGCAGTTTATTCCATGAAAACGCAGCGCTTAAGAGTCTAAAGACGAGGTCTCACCTGACCGACAAAAAATCCGCCCAGTGGAGAAATATCATGGGATAAAAAAAAACAAACGATAATTTTATTTATTCTCCTCTTGATTTCTTCAAATACTGTCCATCGAGCTCCCTTTGTATAATGGCGACGGTGAGAATGTGTTGGCTTCATACACACACACAAGCTTCCAAACTAAAGCCAACAGCGGCCCTACGAGTCCACACCACACTACTGCAGAATGCAGTTCAGATTTTAAACTTGAACACCAGGGAAGCATGCATATATATATATATATATATATATATATATATATATATATATATATATATAAGTTGGTTTTTAAAAGTAGGACGATTGCTGACAAATAATCAATCAATTTTAAGCATGAGATTAACAAACATGATGCAGGTGCAGCGCATGAAGAGACTGTTTTCTCCCTTCTCCCCAGGTTACCTCAGTTACCATGACGATCAGTGAGGATAATAGTTCTATAACACGTCCAAAGAATCCTTTAAAATGACATGACATTTGAACTACCGGTATTAAAATTGAAAAGCCATAGTCCAGCTGTTTATTAAAGAGCAAGTCAACCCCTACCAGAGTCTAACTCCACTCCCACTTCATGTTTGAAAAATGCAACAAATGCTGTTGCCTGGCAGACCGAGAGGGCGGAGCCGCTAACAAATACACACACACTCAGGCTCATGACAGCATTGTGACATCATAATGTACCAGTTTACATCATAGCATACCTCTTAGCCAATAGCGGTGGCATATTTATATTAGAATACAGTGCAGAGTTTTTACCTGACAACGGCACAACACTGCCAGTTTTAGGCAGAATATTTAAATTTTAACTAAGATGCACTGAAGTGCCAAATTATTGACGACACATGTCTGCAGCACGATTAGACACTCGTTTATTTAGTTTATCAGAAAAAAAATGTTTATTTGGGGGTGACTTGCTCTTTAAACTATGAATAATTTAGTGTTATTGATTATATATATTACAACAGAGATGCTTGAACTGAGCCTTTTTATTATATTGCAACAAGATGAAAAGACAGGAAAAGTAAAACATTTTTCCAAGAAAATAAAACTACACCTGACATTCTAAAAAAGAAATAGCAAGATTTTGACTCAAAACAACCAAACGTGTATTTTAAATAATTACACACGAGTGCAGAATTGTTAATATCAATATTTAAAAACAGAAAAGTAAAGTTATAAATATTTGCTAGACAGAGTTTGATTAATATCTGTTGTCAGACTCAAGAAACCCTGGAATAAATGGTAGACATGCATGAAAGCAGTTAGGAAAAGAAAACGAATGAATGAATGAATAAATAAATGAACAAATAAATAAAAGTATAGTTGGCTGAACATGCAATCAATGGACATTCTTCCTAATAATAAAACCAGGTGTGTATGAATGTAAGTTCTCAAATCAAATATGATGTCAATTAAATAGGAAAATTGAGGACCCGAATAAGAACTCTTGACTCTTCCTTCACTGCTTTCACAAAGGAACACGGTTGTAGTTAAAGTTAATCTCTTGTGAACCATTTGTAGAACTGCCTGTTCGAGAAATTTGATTAAAAAAATTACAGGGTTAGTTGAAAATAATGTAAATGTTTAAAGTCCATGTCTCTTCACTTTATTGTTGTTGTCTTAAGGACTAAAGAGGACTAAAGATGAAAAATACCCTGTCTACATCTGGCATATTTACACAAAGGAACGGTACAGAGTGTTTATGTGCACTGTCCTCTCTAAATAAACCAATAAACACAACTAATTAAAACACATAAAGTGGTTAAGGGTGGTGAGGGCAAAGTGGTTATTTCCCTTGTTTGTTGAAAAAAAACAACAAATCCAAATTTGATGAAAAAGGAGTGAGTAACTGTTGTTTTCAAGTTACACGCTCACTAAAATGTATTGCTATAAAAATGCAAAGCGCTACTGACAAAAATGATAACCAAAAATACTGTATTTGAAAAATATCAAAAGCAAGGTTTTGCAAAAAGGAACATTAAAAAACAGGAATGATTAAACGAGCTTGACTGAAATATGATTAGAATTTCAATAAATATATTGCCTTTTACATAATTGTCTTTTTCTCAAGAACCTTAGAAAGAAATGGCAGTGTAGAAATAGGTCGATAATTGAATAATACCGAGACAACAAGATCCGGTTTCTTGAGAAGGGGTTTGATGACAGCTCTTTTCAAACTCTTCAGAACTTCCCCTGAGTGCAAACTAGAATTGGTTACACTATGGAGCATATTTTAACAGCTGGCCAAACGTTCTTAACAATAGAAGATGGAAAAATATCGAGGGCACAGCCAGATGGTTTCATGCTTCCAACAATTTAATCTAACATAACTAGAGATACAGACTCAAAATAATTCAAAATAGCTGAATCAAAACAGATATCATCAACAGTCAAACAAGATTACTGGGGAATTTGAGCATCGAATAGTTTCAGTTTTACCAATAAAATATGCCAGAAACCTCTCAACAGCATGTCGTAGAGGCTTCAAGTCCACCAGCAAATTCCATCCACCGAAGAAAAAAAGTGCTCTTAATTTATGCCCATAGTGCTAAAAATATCAGATAAAATAGTAGATTAATTCTTTTCTTTACAGCCTTTTGATATGAGCTCCATGCAAACCTCATGTCTTCAAAATAGACCAGCGACCTAGATTACTTCCAGATCCACTCACATTTTCTGCACTCTCTTCTTGCTGCATGAGTGCGACCATTCAGCCATGGCTTGCACTTACATTTAGCTCTGCAAGATTGATTGGGTGCAATTTGATCTAAAACAAAGACACAAGATGCATTGAGTCTCCAACAGCTCAGTAGTAGATATGTTTTCAAAAACAGCAACATCAGCAGATGAACACAAGTTATGATTAAGAAACTCCGTCAAAAATCGTGTAGCAGTGGAAGAATTTACAATTGTTCTGCTGCTAGACTGGGAACTACTTAATGCAGGTAAGAAAGGAACTAGAACTTCAAACAGAATAGGACAATGATCAGAAAAAACAGCATCTTGAACCAACAAATTAGTCACAGACACATCCCTCGTCTAGACAAGATCCAGCAAATGTCCATCAGAATGAGTCGGGCAGCAACAAGTTGATTCAGATCAAAAGAGTCCAAAATATTTAAAAATGCCCTCACAAGCAGTTTATTTGGACAGTAAAGATGAATATTAAAATCACCCATAATATGTCTATCATACCATTGTGATGCAACAAGCCAAAAAAATCAGAATATGCATCCATAAAATCCTTATTGTATCTTGGTGGTCTATAAATCCCTGCACAGAGAAATGGTTTAATCCGACCCAGTTCAAAAAGGCTGAGTTCAAAACTAGAGCAGGGAAAAAAATCTTCTTACAAAAAATGTCGTCCCTAAAAACAACTGCCGTGCCGCTCCCATGGCCCACTAGACAGGGGTTGCTAAAAAATGAGCATCCAGGTGGAACAAGCTCAGAAAACAAACTGGACTCCCCAGCTCACCCCCACATCTCAGTCAGATAGAGAAGAGAACGATTTTGCTCACCAAATAAGTCACTCAACATAAAAGACTTATTGGAAAGTAGTGTTGTCACAGTGTGAAAATTTAACCTCACGGTTATTGTGACCAAAATTATCACGGTTTTCGGTATTATCGCGGTATTTTTTTAAACGCGTTACATTTTCAGACAACTAAATAAAACCCTGTATGTCAGGAAATATTGTCCTCAGTTTGTGCCTAAATTTAGCCTAAAATGTGTTATTATGTAATTATCTTGTTTATTTGTTTACATTTTTTCCCTTTAGTCTTTAAAATACCAATATTTGCCCATAACTTCTTATTTTTTGTCTGTTTGATGTAATCATTTAAAAATATTAGATCAGATGATACTCAGTACTCAAGTAGCCTTCTAATCAGATACTTTTTTACCCTTACTTGAGTAATAAACCCTATATCAGGAAAATATTGTCCTCGGTTTGTGTCCTTCCAGTGAGCTTTGCAGATGTGGGAAAATGTCATCAGGCAGTAATCATTGTTAAATTCATAATTATTCTCAGAGAGAGATCAACTCTTATCTGCCCCTGGGAGCCCCGTAATGCATAGCGTCATTTCAACATGGCGGAGTCCGCGACACGGTTTATATGCAGGTAGCGGCGCTGCGGCTGCTTTATATAGCGACTCGTTACATTCTCCCTCAACCCAAATCCTCGGATCACACATTTTAGCTAAAACGCTAACGTTAGCTTGCCTTGCGTTGACTGTAGAGTTGTGGGTGATGGTCACGCAGATGTGTCATGAGATTTGAAGCGTTGCTGCCTTTCACAGACACTTTTTCTGCACGTGCTGCAAACAGGATAGCCGCCCGTCTTCTATAAACTGTCTCTCAGCATTCTTCAAATATCCAAAAGATGCCCGTACTTCCGACTTTGTCGTCTTTGAGGGATAAAAAATGTCCTCCTGAGCGCTGCCATCTCCTCCTTTGGCCATTATTTCAGCTTTAGCTTCAAGAAAGTTTTGGTTGTAAACAACAAAGCGCGCATGTGCCGCCGACAACTTCAGCAGATTATACGGTGGCTGGTAAGGGTCACCGCGCCTACACCGCAGCCACGGTAAACCCACCAAGATAATATAGTTTTTTTTTAAACAAGACGGTTATTATTATTGTCAACTTTTTTTACCGGGGTTTACCGCTACACCGGTTACCGTGACAACCCTATTGGAAAGGGACCTGGCATTGAAGCGAACTTTATGGAAGTACACTGAAATAAATGATTTTTTGGCCCTGTAATTATTATTTCAACTATCTATATAAATTCTACTAAACAACGTGAATTCACTATTTTTCATGTAGGCTAGTGCATTACTTGGCAATTGTTTGTAATTATGTTTCCTCAGTTTTGTATGTAAATGTAATCCTTCAATCCAAGTAATATTCACTTAATCAGTTCGTTGGCTTAATCAGTTGATATTTCTAAGTAAAATGTAATAGAGAGACTTAACTGAATCCGACAACCTTCTGTATTCAGAGCATGATGTCAGAGCCCCTCCCCACATTTCAGAGGCCTTTGTCAGACAGGTGCTGTTCGCCCACGAGCCACATTTCATATATGTTGGCGGACTTCATTGAGTGAGACGTGAAAGAACTTGCACATTGGAACCAATATGGTAAGTTTTAAGTGAAACAAACTTTGTACGTCCTCGTTGGCTCACTTAAGTTAGTCCTAAAGCAGCTGTGGTAGCAAATGGTACTCTTTCCTGCTAGCTAGCTAAGTTAACAGCTAACTAGCTTTGCTGACACGTGACCTTTTCACCTGGAAAGGCCCCATTAATTAAAGTTCATCTTTTATCAAAGCTAGATGTGGTAAAGATTATACTTGCTGGAACGAGTGACTTAAATAATTATAAACACATTTTACAGAAAAAGTTGTGCGCTGCCGGTGCACTGTTGTCTCTTAACTTTGCCCTCCCGTTACATGCCACATAAGTTAAGTTACCTTCCACACTGGGAGAAGTTCTGGTCAACCATAATGAGTGCTTTCCGGTTGACAGCTCCTGCCTGATAAACTGGCAGCAGCCAGATCTCCATGTGTAGCTCCGTGTCGAGTCTACACATTTAGATCTGGAATCTCTGCAGCAGAAACCATCTGAAAGAGGGAGGGTTCTCTGGTAGAATATATTGAACTGATTGGAGGATGTGCAAGGCAGTGCCTGGCTGGCTGCTGCCAAGTTAGGACGCTTGATACGATTGTCAAAACTAACTCCCACCCTACAGCACAGTGCTGACACACGATTGGTAGGTCTATTTTGGGTCAGAGGTCAGATGGTTTGAATTGGAGCTGTACAAGATGAACTCTCCTGAGTTCGGAAAACTCCAAATCTCACGAGAATTCATCTTGCAGCGCAATGTTACCAGCCTGAAAGGCTGGAGTGCTGTGCGCCTCTGTGCCCTGACCAGGGTAGTCACTGTGGCTGCGCTCGTTGTGGTTGTAGGTGTTGATTCCTGTCGGTCTTGATAGCCCCAAAAACAGTTTTTCTCTGGGGTCTCAGGGTCAGACTCTGTGAAGCATGTTGTGTAACTTTACATAAAAAAAGTGCCATGTGAATATTATTTGATTTGAGTATACCTCTTTTTTATTTTAACATTTTTCTTTCTTAACTGTTTCTTATACTTGGAAGCTGTTAATAGTTATTTCTAATTGTAGCTTTTTTTTTTCTCAGGATGGAAAAATTACAAGCACTTCCTGTGTGTAAATACTGTCCTAGCTTTTTTAAGTAAATGCCACTCCAAATTTTTTTCAGTGAGCATCAGAGCTATCCTTAATCCCAGGAATCTGCTCCACAAGTCATAGATTTGAGTGCCGATACCATGCTGAAAAATCCGGGAGCAGCATGGAAGAGACGATTGGGATAAATCCAACACTCGACACAGGAACCAGGCACGACCTTGGTGGATCCAAAGGTCATGGAGAAAAGGACAAACGGCAGCATCTATCAACACCACCCACGCCCAACATGGAGAACAACCAAGCTGACTTGAGCTTCACCTGCTGACCAGAACGCCTCCCCCTGCGGCAGTAATGTAGATGGATTTCTATCCATAATGATTTGATTCCACAAAGTCTAAAAATGAACAGCATACATCCAAAAGTGTCTGACAGTTGTACACTACTTTAGCATTTAGCGGGAGAGCACTCCATCAGAGCAGTTCACTGTGATTTTACTCTCAGAGGCTCTCTCTCTGTCTAAGTTGCTGTCTGTCACTAAACTATAGAAATTATTTGTGGATGGCTTTAAAATAAATACAAGGTTTTTGTTCAGAAAACATTTCACATTACCTTTCTCTCTAGTCTCGGTCCTCGATATTTGTTATGGTAACAACTGTATACATGTTGGAATCCTCTAATATCACGTTTGATTTCCACATAACATTATTTAAATTTCTCCATTTTCTGAGTTTACATTAAATATCTTCCAGACATGTTCCTGCGTGTCAGTGACAGAATATGTTATTTTACTGTCAGAGCCTTCATCTGCATCTGATGCTGTCACTGTAGCAACAACGGTGCCTTTAGGTGAGTTTTCAGTGACTGTAGCTTTGTATGTTTTCTGTGTAAAAACAGGAGCATTATCATTAAAGTCTAAGACTGTAATAACAATCTTCATCGTTCCTGACATCTGCGGCTCTCCTCCATCTACAGCCTGTTTCCATCAGCGCTGTTGTGGAGCTTCAGAGCAAACGTATCTGATGGTTTTAAATTGTACTTTTTTACCCCATTAATTCCAACATTGTCATCCACCACTCTTTCTAGAACAAATGTTGCTCCAGTAAAAGATGGCTAAATATTTCCCGATGGCTGTTCTTCGTGTTCTTTTAGCATTATGGCGGTGTTACAAAGGAGGTACTGCTTCATACATGCACACAATCATCCAGACTTAAGTCAGCAGCAGCCCTAAGGGTCAAAAACACCAAACTGCAGAATATAACTTGGAATTTAATCAGATGCATGAGACACAGGAATCATAAACCTTAAATATTAAATACATAATTAAAAACATACAGTTAAAAATTAAACATCTAAAGCCAGGACAGCAGAGACTTAAGTGTTAAACATGTATATATTAAAATATTATAGGGCACAACACACATCCTCAGATAGTGTAGTTTCACAGCTTCATGTTTGTTATTCAATAAATCTGAAGATCAACAATAATTATTCACACAGAGATAAAAACATGTCAAATTCTGAGTTGCCAAACTTGGCCAGAACTCATATCATTGCGGGTTATTAAAACATGATTTACTTCCCGATTAGTTCAGTTTCTTGCTGACCCTCGAACCGGCCAATTTGGGAAAGAAGCATTTTTGAAACCATCCTCTTCTTTGACCTCCTGTCAAAGCCTCTCTGCAACGCTGCGGATGATACCAGACAACCTGCTCTTCTAAGAGTCAAGCATTCATCAAACTTAGATGCAAATAAGCGTTCCTGCTTTCGACCTTCAACTTGAAGGATCTCAGACTTGACGGGTCTTATCGGAGCTATCTACGGGTTCCTGATATCAGAGGTTCACTCCATGGCAGTGACCATCGACTCCCCAGATCGAACGAGAACCTCCACACCAAAGGTGTAGACTTAGCACGGCAGATTGCATCTGATTCTGTTTTTAATAAACAACTCTCTAGGTTAGAACCAAACAACAAATTATTTTACACCCAGATTTCACAATTTCTCTCAGATACAAAGAACGGTTGCTACAACACCTCACATCCACCACATCACATCACATTATTCATATCTTGTCATGTATAAATAGTTAGTTTCGAAAAAATAATTAAATTATTTTATAAACCACATACCTGACTCTGTCTGAATTAATACGAAGTGTGTTTATGGTCCCTAAAGATGCAAAAAACCCTAGAATCTTCTGATGAAACTTTCAAAGATCAATCAGGTTCATATTTTATATTTACATGGAATAATCCCATCTTATTGGTCATAATTAATATGTACTAATTGCTACAGATGAAAGATGACATGGATTACCAATGTATTGCTTTTGAACTTTCATGACAAGCTGTTAAAATAATCTATAATATAAAATATTGTGGGTGGAATGTTTAAAGACAACTAACCTCTAAAGGAGAGTCAGGCTCATCCAGGATGCTCTTCTCACCCTGCATCCTCTGCATGGTTCCTGTAGAACTGGGGTCCATTACCAACACGTTCTTACTAGCAGCTCTGCCGAACTTACAGTCACTCTTTCTGGAGTCAGTGGTCCTGCACACCTCGTAGTTGTACACATGTTGGAGAGTTCCTGTCCCCAGCGTGTCTGAGTAACGTGGTGGATAATATGGAATGACAGGGAGGCTGGAGTGATACAGGATGCGAGACTGTCTCCATCTGTAGATTTTCACTGAGATGATAACCACTAAACAGGTGATGAAGAGGAAGGAAACTACAGCCAGAGCCAAGACTAAGTAAAAAGTCAGGTTGTCATTGTACTCCTTGTCGTGTGTAGAGTCAGTGAACTCCGACAGCACTTCAGGGAAGCTGTCCGCCACCGCCACGTTAACAATGACTGTAGCTGAACGAGAGGGCTGGCCGTTGTCCTCCACTATAACAGTCAGTCTTTGTTTCACAGCATCTTTATCAGTCACTTGACGGATAGTTCTGATTTCTCCATTCTGTAAGCCCACTTCAAACAGCGCCCTGTCTGTGGCTTTCTGCAGTTTATAGGAGAGCCAGGCGTTCTGTCCAGAGTCCACATCAACAGCCACCACTTTAGTCACCAGATAGCCCACTTCTGCTGAACGAGGCACCATCTCAGCCACCACGGACCCTCCAGTCTGGACCGGGTACAGGACCTGAGGGGGGTTATCGTTCTGGTCCTGGATCAGTATTTTCACAGTCACGTTGCTGCTGAGAGGAGGAGAGCCTCCATCCTGCGCTTTAACGTGAAACCGGAAGTCTTTGATCTGCTCGTAGTCAAAAGAGCGCACTGCGTGGATGACCCCGCTATCAGCACTAACGGACACATATGAGGAGACCGGAACTCCGTTAACGGAGGAGTCCTCCAGTATGTAAGAAACACGGGCATTCTGGTTCCAGTCAGCGTCTGTGGCTTTCACTGTGAATATAGAGAGACCTGGTGTGTTGTTTTCTACAATGTAGGCCTCATATGAGCTCCTCTCAAAGACAGGTGCGTTGTCATTCACATCAGAGATCTGTAAGGTGAGAGTGACGCTGCTGGAGAGGGAGGGCACTCCTTCATCAGAGCAGCTCACCGTGATGTTATATTTAGAGGCTCTCTCCCTGTCTAACTCGCTGTCTGTCACTAAACTGTAGAAATTATTTGAGGATGACTTCAAAATAAAAGGAATATTTTCATTGATGAAACACTTTACAAGCCCGTTTTCTTCGGAGTCTAAATCTTCAATATTAATCATTGTTACGACAGTATCTGGTTTAGCGTTTTCAGATATTACATTCGATTTGGACATAATTCTAATTTCAGGCTTGTTGTCATTAACATCCATAATCTCCACTATTAATTTTGAAGAGTCTGTCAGTCCACCGTTATCACTAGCAAGTACATTTATTTGAAAACGTCTCGCTGTCTCAAAATCAATATCATCAATCAGTGTGATTTGTCCAGTTTCCTCACTTATCTTAAACATTTTCCTCACATTGTCAAATGTGTTTGTAATCGAGTATGTTATTTTACTGTTAGAGCCTTCATCTGCATCTGATGCTGTAACTGTAGCAACAACGGTGCCTTTAGGTGAGTTTTCAGTAACTGTAGCTTTGTATGTTTTCTGTGTAAAAACAGGAGCATTATCATTAACGTCTAAGACTGTAATGACAATCTGCATCGTTCCTGACATCTGCGGCTCTCCTCCATCTACAGCCGTTAACACCAGATTGATCTGCTCCTGCTTCTCTCTGTCTAAAGGCTTCTGTAAAACCATCTCTACGTTTTTGTTTCCATCAGCGCTGTTGTGGAGCTTCAGAGCAAAATGGTCTGATGGTTTTAGTAAATAGTCTCGCAGACCATTTATTCCAACATCATGATCCACCGCCCTTTGCAAAACAAATACTGCTCCTGTCACTGCAGATTCGCTAATTTTGAATTTCATCTCATCCTTTTCAAATGTCGGTGTGTTATCATTAACGTCCGTGATGTGGACTGTAACCGTATAAAATTCCATAGGATTTTCTAGAATAATCTGGAAATCTAAAGCACAAAGCGCCGTCTCTGCGCACAGCGCCTCTCTGTCGATCCTCTCCTCGACGAGGAGGACTCCTCTCTCCCTGTTCAGCTCGACGTACTCCTCCCTGTTTCTACTAAAAATCTTTGCTTTTCCAGAGATCAACCGTTTAATCTCTAAACCCAAATCTTGCGCTATATTTCCAACCAAAGAACCCTTGGGCATTTCCTCTGGAATTGAGTAGCTGGCTTGCCCGGCCGTGGAGTCGAGAAAAAACAGTAAGATGAACAACAGGCCCACCTCCCGATTCATTGTTCCGTCCGATGTCCCCTTCTCCGTCTCCGTTATTATATAGAAAACTGCAGTGGGTTAGAAATCCATGGTCGATGTCCTGTAAATGCCCACGCTATTAAAACAATTGCTGAAAGGAGAATTCTCCGTTAAACGCTCCGGTGATCCACCGCGAGAGCAACCCAGTGTCGACTGCCAAGCTGCCTTTTTGTTATGAAGAAATTAAATGGGAGGTTTAACTAAATATGTGGATCCTACTTCAACACGCTGGTCAACAGCGGCCCTAAGAGTTCACAACAGAAAACTACACAATATCAGGTGACGTGCAGGGCAGCAGAAACCTCTAACTAGGAACTGAAACACATCTGCTGCATGACCTTATTATTGATATGGCTATAAGTCATTTTAATCTTCACTATATGTATTCTTTCACTGGACACAATGAAATCATAATAAAGAAGGAAATAAAGGTATTAACTCAATGGAGCTTGCATTAAAAAGGTCTTCAGTTATTTAAATACAGTTGAAGTAAGAAAACAGGAGTGTCATTTATGCGTTTGAGATGTATTGTGCAAATAAAAACATATAACATTAACATATATTACTGCCAAATTATTTATTCAGCAAGAAAAAAGACAGATCTTTACAGTTTTGCAGATTTTAGTCTATGAGACTCCCTTCTAAATTTAGAATTTAGTCCAATTATTATTATCATTATAAATACTACTACTACTACTACTACTAAATAATAATAATAATAATAATAATAATAATAATTATTATTATTATTATTATTATTATTATTATTATTATTATCATCATTATTATTATTTTAATGAATATAATATCACAAATATAAAATAACGTTTTTAACAACAAAAAATTTAATATTAAGTAAATAGTTGGTCTCACAACTTTAAAAAACACAGCTGGATTAATTGGACTTTATAATTATGCATTTTAAAAAGTAATATACTAACTGAAGTTTATTCATTTTCTTCCAAGATGTAAAATAAATACAATTTCATGCAATACCTGTTTGTCCTCAATCAGACTATTCTAAAAAAATGCAAAATAAATAAATAAATAAATAAATAAATAAATAAATAAATAAATAAATAAATAAAGGTGATGAATTAATACTTTGGTCAAATCATGGGTCTTCAAAAGTGGCTCGGGGGCCACATGTGGCTCTGTGGAAATTCTTAATAGCTCTTGATGAATTTGGCTAAAAAATGTAACAGTTGGTTTTAAAAATGATGTGGTTTAAGCTGCTTTCCAGTTTTCTTATTTCTTTTTTTGTGGATTATTTCTATTCAATTTGCAAAACGCAAAGACACAATAACGTTCCTATATTATTTTAGGTCTATTTATAATGATAAATGACCCACATTTGTATAGAGCCTTTCAGAGTCAGGGGACTCCAAAGCGCTTTACACTACAGTATATCATTCATCCATTCACACACATTATGTTGTTTCACATAATCTTCTGCAAATATCAACATTACATAGACAGACATGTCCATACCACTCTTGCAAATGTTTATTCTTTCTTAAATTTAAAACTTAGTAATAGAAACACGTTTTTTCATGTTGAAATAGTTGTCACAGTCTGTGGTGAGCCTCTTTGTGTGTGTGTGTGTGTGTGTGTGTGTGTGTGTGTGTGTGTGTGTGTGTGTGTATTTCTCTTCTTGACAATCCCTGTTTCCTCTAGCAATCCCAGCTTCTCACACCGACGTATAAAGAGCTGAAACAACCACCTCCTCAGTTAGTTCACGGCCAACAGTGTCTCTCTCTGTCCAATGGAACAAACTGCTCTGCTTCTAAGATGATTAAAAAGCTTAATAAATGCATTTTAATATACAAATGTTGCTCAAGAGGGGTCGTGGAATGCATTTAGGAGGTGGGAGTGTCCCTATGACATATAAGCAAAAAAATAAAAATAAAAAATACGTAAGAAAAACAATAAAATAAAAAATAAAATGCTCACCCTGTTCTTTGTGTCTAAACTTACGAACTGAAAGAGTTTTAAACTAATTGCATCAGCACAGCTGTCCATAAAACGAGACATGCAAAAGAGACTAAGAAAAATACATAGGATTCCTCAAAATCCAGCAATTACCGTTACACGACATTTAGGTGATGCAAACAAGTAAAAAATTGAAGAAATAGGCAAAACGTGTCTCTAAAACTGCATAACCAAATTGACAGGAAGGCATTTATGCAGACAAAACTAGGTCATGGAAATTTAAAAGAAAAAGAAAAAAACCAACAACTCGTAGTTGCATTGTAGATATTATTGTGATAAGAGAAACCTTGATCAGATTTATTTCCTTGCTCTTTTCAAGTCACATAAAATGATCAGCGAGACTCCAATGGTTGCAACTGTTTTCAGTGGTGAGCCACTTTATATCCACAACTGACCTGGCTGGGATACCAAAGGAAGTAAAGCTGCCATTCAGCCTCTGACGGTCACAAACAATATTTTATGGGAATAATGAAGGATCTGGATTCGAACCATCAACTCTCTGATTATTGAACGAGCATTTTACCTCCGAAGGCACCGCAACACCAACGCTCAAAAACGTAAAAAAAAAAAAAAAAAAACCAAAAACAACCACACACTTATCTTTAGTGATAAAACCTGACTGATGGCGATCATAATCTATTTCTTGGTTATCACAAAAAAATCAGTTCATATATTTTACGTAAAAACTTAAAAACTATAGGTTTCTGAAGATAATTAACATAAATGTAAGAATTTAGGGATTTGGTGAATCTATGTAAATAGTCAAATGTGCATTAAGTGAAAATGCAAGAATTTAATTCGCTCAGAAAGAAAACATCTCTGTCCATGGTGCTGAAAGTAGACAATGGACACAAAATACTGGATGAAAACGAACTAAAAATGCAGAACAACTTGACATGAGAAGTAAGAAAAAACAGCTAACCTCTAAAGGAGAGTCAGGCTCATCCAGGATGCTCTTCTCACCCTGCATCCTCTGCATGGTTCCTGTAGAACTGGGGTCCATTACCAACACGTTCTGACTAGCAGCTCTGCCGAACTTACAGTCACTCTTTCTGGAGTCAGTGGTCCTGCACACCTCGTAGTTGTACACATGTTGGAGAGTTCCTGTCCCCAGCGTGTCTGAGTAACGTGGTGGATAATATGGAATGACAGGGAGGCTGGAGTGATACAGGATGCGAGACTGTCTCCATCTGTAGATTTTCACTGAGATGATAACCACCAAACAGGTGATGAAGAGGAAGGAAACTACAGCCAGAGCCAAGACTAAGTAAAAAGTCAGGTTGTCGTTGTACTCCTTGTCGTGTGTAGAGTCAGTGAACTCCGACAGCACTTCAGGGAAGCTGTCCGCCACCGCCACGTTAACAATGACTGTAGCTGAACGAGAGGGCTGGCCGTTGTCCTCCACTATAACAGTCAGTCTTTGTTTCACAGCATCTTTATCAGTCACTTGACGGATAGTTCTGATTTCTCCATTCTGTAAGCCCACTTCAAACAGCGCCCTGTCTGTGGCTTTCTGCAGTTTATAGGAGAGCCAGGCGTTCTGTCCAGAGTCCACATCAACAGCCACCACTTTAGTCACCAGATAGCCCACTTCTGCTGAACGAGGCACCATCTCAGCCACCACGGAGCCTCCAGTCTGGACCGGGTACAGGACCTGAGGGGGGTTATCGTTCTGGTCCTGGATCAGTATTTTCACACTCACGTTGCTGCTGAGAGGAGGAGAGCCTCCATCCTGCGCTATAACATGAAACCGGAAGTCTTTGACCTGCTCGTAGTCAAAAGAGCGCACTGCGTGGATGACTCCGCTATCAGCACTAACGGACACATATGAGGAGACCGGAACTCCGTTAACGGAGGAGTCCTCCAGTATGTAAGAAACACGGGCATTCTGGTTCCAGTCAGCGTCTGTGGCTTTCACTGTGAATATAGAGAGACCTGGTGTGTTGTTTTCTACAATGTAGGCCTCATATGAGCTCCTCTCAAAGACAGGCGCGTTGTCGTTCACATCAGAGATCTGTAAGGTGAGAGTGACGCTGCTGGAGAGGGAGGACACTCCTTCATCAGAGCAGCTCACCGTGATGTTATACTCAGAGGCTCTCTCCCTGTCTAACTCGCTTTCTGTCATCACAGTGAAGAAATTATTGGTAGATAAATTAATTTTAAAAGGAGCATTTCTGTTTAAAACACACATGACTTTGCCATTTTCGTTTGCGTCTGGGTCTTGTATATTAAGCATTGTTACTATGGTACCAGGTCTCACATCCTCAGATAAAGCATTTGATTTAGACATGACATTAATGGTTGGAGGGTTGTCATTCACATCTGTTACCTCCACTATAACTTTACATGCATCAGACAACCCCCCGTAATCTGACACCTGAACATCTAACTCATATAGTCTCCTTTTTTCATAATCTACATTTCCTGTAAGTGTTAAAACTCCACTCTCTGTGTTAATCTGAAAAAGATTTGCAGCACCAGATTTCGGAATTGAGTAGATTACCTTTCCGTTATTTCCTTTATCCTTGTCAGTAGCTTTCACTGTAGTTACTGCTGTACCAACAGGGGCATTTTCTGCAACACTTGCTTTATATTCCGGTTTTGAACAAACTGGAGGATTGTCATTTGCATCCAACACTGTGATGATAATCTGCATTGTTCCGGAGAGCTGTGGTTCACCCCCATCCAGAGCTGTGAGTGTTAAAGACAAATGCTCATTTTCCTCTCGGTCTAACGGCTTCCGTAGAACCATTTCGACATGCTTGGTTCCATCAGCTCTGCTGCTCGTTTTCAAAACGAAATTATCTGTGGGTTTAAGGGTGTAGCTCTGTAAACCATTAATGCCGACGTCATCGTCGACCGCTTTTTCTAAAACAAATCGAGCTCCAGAGAGGGCTGATTCAGAAATTTCATATTTTATCTCACCTCTTTCAAATTTGGGAGGATTATCATTTACATCAGTAATCTCAACAGTCGCTGTGTAAAACTCCATCGGGTTTTCAAGGATCATCTGAAAGTGAAGAGCGCAGGGCATTGTCTGTCCGCACAACCATTCTCGGTCTATGCGGTCGTTAATAAGGAGCGCTCCTTCATCTCGATGCAGCTCAATATACTCTTCCGTGTTACCTGTATAAATCCGAGCCTTTCCGGTTTTTAATCTGTCCACTTCCACGCCTAAATCATGGGCTATATTACCGATCACGGATCCCTTCTTCATTTCCTCCGGTATGGAGTAGCTGACCTGCCCACACACAGCACCGAGGGAGAGGACAGAGAGCAACGGCAGCACTTGCCACCTCATCGTTCCAACAAAGACGAAAATTGAGACAATTAGAAATGTTGTTTCAGTTTACTGTCTCGATCCGATAATGAAAACGGAAAAAAAGAGTTGCAGTCCCAAAAACGATGTGCTAAATTATGAAACAAAATATTCTCTTTGTGCCGTTCTGGCGCTTTCTCTTCTTGTCAATCCCTGTTTCCTCTAGCGCTCCCAGCTCCTCACACTGACGTATAAAGAGCTGAAATAACCACCTCCTCAGTTAGTTCACGGCCAACAGCGTCTCTCTCTGTCCAGTGGAACAAACTGCTCTGCTTCTAAGATGATAAAAAAGCTTAATAAATGCATTTTAATATACAAATGTTGCTAAAGAGGGGTCGTGGAATGCATTTAGGAGGTGGGAGTGTCTCTATGACATATAAGCAAACAAATAAAAATAAAAAAGATAAAAAAATACATAAGAAAAACAATAAAATAAAAAATAAAATGCTCACCCTGTTCTTATGTGTCTAAACTTACAAACTGAAAGAGGAGTTTTCAACTAATTGCATCAGCACAGCCGTCCATAAAACGAGACATGCAAAAGTGTCTAAGAAAAATACATAGGATTCCTCAAAATCTATCAATTACCGTTACACGACATTTAGGTGATGCAAACAAGCAAAAACATTTGAAGAAATAGGCAAAATGTGTCTCTAAAACCGCATAACCAAATTGACAGGAAGGCATTTACACATTCTCACTCCCAGCGCGTCAAAAACAAACGCTTGGTCAGCCACCCTCCACGTCAGACCCCTGACGCCAAACGTGCCCTTTTTCATTACTTATGTGCGAAAAGGGGTTTTTCCCTTACTTGAGTGCAGATCCCAATGCAGCGTTACACTGACGCGATGGGATGTCCGCAGCCAGGGCACCAAACAAGCTCATTGTACCTCACCTTAACCTTATCCTCTTATTTAACCTTCCCCTCACCACCTATCCTAACCTTAACCATCTTGCTAGCGAACACCTTGGTGATGTGTCGATCACCCTAAAAGCCGGCTCTGTGAAGTGAACGGCGGGAGCCGCCTTGTGATTGGTCGAGTTTGGACCAAGCCAACGTGAGGGGGAGGTTCAACTATCACGGTGGAGGTTAAAAGTAGAGGGTATGTGTAACCTCTCCCTCGCCAGATGGTATGTTTTAACGTTCCCCTTGGGTGGCAAATACGAAAATTGACAGTCAGACTCTGACTGTCAGAGTCAGAATGCAGGGGAAACAAATGCTTGATCACAGTGAGAGTAACGTTTTAGGTAGCAAGAGGGTTAAGGTTAGGATCAGGGAGAGGGGAAGGTTATAAATAGTGAAACGTTAAGGTTTAGGTGCGGTTAAATGAGCTGGTTCTGTGCCGCATCAGCGGATATCCAATCACGTCAGTTTTACACTGCATTGGGATCTGCAGTTACAAAAGGGGAAAACCCCTTTTCGCACATAAGTAACGAAAAAGGGCACTTTTAAGTGTTATGTTCTGATGTTGTGTGTTTATGTGTACATGTGAGGTTTGTTCTTTTTATGGGCATGGAAAAACGGAAGTGACGTGTGTGTGTGTGTAACCTTTGACCTGTGACATTAGTAAATAAAAGCGAACTCCTGGTGAAAGATGGGCGTGTGAGCGGTACGCGGATGTAATGGACTGGCCGTCTGACGCCGAGCTCTAAAGCGGTGAATCTTTGAGTCCGTGTGAAATTCATGAGTTAACCTCCATAGCTGCAACACTTACACTTCAACTTACGTCTTGATTCCGCTGTGTTAAAACGACATCGGCTAACTTGTTATGGGCCCAGATGCTTCAAGACGGAGAAGATTGTAAAGCTAAGCTAACTGAAGCCATGAGTCAGAAGCGAGAATCAAACTCTCGCTGGTCAAGGCTGGTGTTCGATGGGGATGAGGACAAATATGAGTTGTGGGAAACTAAGTTCCTAGGCCATCTACGTCTACAAGGCCTGAAGGAAGTGATTTTGAAGCCTGATGAGGACGACGATGATGAGGAATACACGGATAAAAACGCTGAGGCATACGCGGAGCTGATCCAGTTCCTGGATGACAAGAGCCTGTCCCTGGTGATGCGTGACACCACTGACGATGGGCGGAAGGCTCTACAAATATTGAGAGACTACTACGCCGGGAAAGGGAAGCCCCGGGTCATAAGTTTATACACGGAGCTGACATCGCTATTGAAGGGCGACAGTGGAGGCGTGACGGACTACGTCCTGAGAGCGGAAGCCACCATTACTGCTCTAAGGAGTGCGGGTGACTCTTTGAGTGATGGCTTACTCATCGCTATGGTCATGAAGGGACTACCACATTCGTTTAAACCCTTCATTGTACCTGTCACTTAAAGTGAGACAACAATGACTTTTGCTGACTTCAAAGTAAAATTAAAGAGTTATGAAGACACTGAGAAAATAAGAGTTGCAACAGTAGCAGGAGGCGATAATGTGATGAAAGCACGAATTCAGACAAAAACTAAGAATGCACCGCCAGGTGTGGGAAGTTGGAGAACTGTTGATGCTGATGTGATCTGCTACAAATGCGGTCAGAAAGGACATAAAGCTAAAACCTGTTACCGCAAGAGATGGTGTTACTACTGCAAAAGTAACACACACCAGACTGAAGCATGCAGAAGGAAACCACAAAAGGATGTGGCTCGGGGAGCAGCTGACGAAGATGACGACAAGGAATTCGTATTTCGACTGAGGGATGAGGATCAGGAAATCCAGACAAATAGCCGGGTTACAGGGTTGATGGTGGATACAGGAGCAACATCACATATCATCACCAACTTGGATAACTTCCGGAGATTCGTTGAGGACTTCAAGCCTAAAACCCATCACATCGAGCTGGCTGATGGAACGAGATGCAAGGGTGTAGCAGAGAAAAGAGGAGAAGCTGTGGTTACTCTCACAGACAACAGAGGACGACGACACCGAGCAGTGCTTAAGCATGCGCTGTACATCCCATCTTATCCACAGGACATCTTTTCAGTGAAGACAGCCACTAGTAACTGTGCAACAGTTTTCTTTAAAGAGGCTGAAGACGTGCTAAAATGTGCTGATGGAACCAGATTTCCCATCATAGAGCATAACCGACTGTACTATCTACAAACTGTGAGTAATGATCAATGTAACGCCTCCTACGACATACAAACTTGGCATAAAATCATGGGTCATTGCAATTATGATGATTTAAGGAGACTACAAAATGTTGTTGAAGGGATGAATATCAAAGAAATGAACGATAAACAAAAAGGTCAATGTGAAACATGTATTAAAGGGAAATTCATTCAAATGAGAAACAGAAAACCAGATGCTAGAGCTAAAGCAGTACTCGAGCTGGTCCATACAGATTTAGCTGGACCGATTAGCCCCGTGACTAAGGAAGGCTACAGGTATGCCCCATCATTCACTGATGATTATTCTGGAGCTGTTTTTATATATTTCTTAAAACAGAAGAGTGACACTGTAAAAGCTACTGAGAAGTTCATAGCAGACACGGCTCCATACGGCAAGGTTTTATGTATAAGATCAGATAACGGCACAGAGTTCACAGGACAGGGCTACCAAATGGTGTTGACTAGAAATGGGACAAGACACGAAACTTCAGCCCCATATTCGCCTCATCAGAATGGCACCACAGAAAGAAGCTGGCGGACTCTTTTTGACATGGCAAGATGCATGTTGATAGATAGTAAGTTGCCTAAAACTTTGTGGGTTTATGCTGTGCAGGCAGCAGTTATAACAAGAAACAGGTGCTTTAACAACCGCACCGGTCAGACCCCCTACCAAACAGTTCGTGGTAAACAACCTGATTTATCTAGAATGCATAAGTTTGGTAGCACGTGCTATTCATACAAACAGGTGAAGGGTAAACTAGATTCGAGAAGTGAGGAGGGACTTTTTGTAGGATATGACAAAAACAGCCCTGCCTACCTGGTTTACTATCCACAAACAGGACAGGTGCAAAAGCACAGGTTAGTATGATTCAGTACAAGAACAAGGTAGGAAACCCAAACAAACATGGTACCAGAAGATGAGGATGACTTAGATATATACCCCCAAACCAGAAAAGGAGTGGCTGAGACTGCAGAAATGGAATCAAAACAGGATCCAGTCACCAAACCAGAGGACAGCAGTCAGATCAGCCCTAGCCTCAATGCAGAGCAAGCTGCAGCCCGTTACCCCACTAGGATAAGAAAAAAACCGAGCTATCTACAGGATTATGTGACAGAGGAGGAATATGATGATCAAGCTTCAATAAACATTGATTACTGTTACAGACTTCTATGTAATGTACCTTTAACATATGAGGAAGCTGTACACTCACAAATCGCTCAGGAATGGAAAGATGCAATGGAGGAGGAGATGTCGTCATTAAGAGAAAATGACACATTCACTCTAACGATCTTGCCTGAGGGCAAGAAAACAGTGGGAGGTAAATGGGTGTATGCATTAAAGAGGGATACAGAGGGAAAAGAGAGATTCAAGGCAAGATACGTAGCTAAAGGATTTACTCAAAAGAAGGGCATAGACTACGAGGAAACATTCTCACCAACTGCAAACCTAATAAGCATACGAGTATTGATGCAAAAAGCAGCCCAAGAAAACCTGATTCTACATCAAATGGATGTGAAAAGTGCTTATTTACATGCTCCAATAGATCAAGAGATATACCTAGAACAACCAAGAGGTTATGAAGAAAGGTCAGAAAGGGACAACATGGTGTTAAAATTAAACAAGTCATTATATGGTCTCAAACAAGCTGGTCGAAACTGGAACCACACATTGCATGTTTTCCTATGTAACAATAACGTTGTACAGAATCCTGTAGACAGTTGTGTGTGTACCAGACAATCACAAAATGACAAAATCATACTCATCATATGGGTGGATGATCTGATTATTGCAGCCACAGATGAGAAAGTACTAAAAGAGATCAAAGAAACCTTAACTTCAAGATTCAAAATGAAAGACTTGGGACAACTGACCTATTTTCTAGGCAATGATTTTAAGCTGGATAAAGACTATATTAAGATGTCACAAACAAGATATGTAGAAAGGATTCTAGAAAGGTTTGACATGCAGAACTGCAAGCCTAGATCTACTCCTTGTGAACTGAAGCTAGACTACAGTGGTGATTCTAAAAAGATGGACAATGTGAAGAAATATCGGGAGGCTGTTGGCAGTTTTATTTACTTGGCTACATGTACCAGACCTGATTTAAGTTTTGTCATATGTAAACTGTCACAATATTTTGCAGAACCTATACAGAGCAGCAGTGGGTCACAGTCAAACACGTGCTAAGATACCTGAAAAGTACCTCCAGCAAGGGATTGTGCTACAGGAAAAGCGAGGATGAGAAACTGGGAATACATGCATATAGTGATGCAGACTGGGCTACTGATGTAAATGATCATCGCAGCACATCAGGTTATTGTGTAAGTCTCTCTAAAAACGGACCAGTAGTCTCATGGAAAACAAGAAAACAACCCACTGTCGCACTATCAACATGTGAGGCTGAATACATAGCACTAGCGGCCACTGTGCAGGAGTGTTTGTATCTGATGCATTTTCTGAGGTATCTTGATGGATGTGAATACTCTTGTACACATGTTTATGAGGATAACCAAGGGACATTTGCAATAGCTAAGAACCCCGTACAAAGACAACGATGTAAACACATCGATATACGGTATCATTTTGTAAGATCAACCGTAAGGGATGGATTATTATGTCTGAGCTATTGTCCAACCGACCAAATGGTTGCAGATGTCATGACAAAACCTGTTACAACCTGCAAGCTTGTCAAGTTCAACCACTTTATGTTTGGTCAAGATTTTTAATGCTTCTGAGAGACAATGGGACAACAAAACCTCAGAACAAGTGGGAGTATTAAGTGTTATGTTCTGATGTTGTGTGTTTGTGTATATGTGAGGTTTGTTCTTTTTATGGGCATGGAAAAACGGAAGTGATGTGTGTGTGTGTAACCTTTGACCTGCGACATTAGTAAATAAAAGCGAACTCCTGGCGAAAGATGGGCGTGTGAGCGGTACCCGGATGTAATGGACTGGCCGTCTGACGCCGAGCTCTAAAATGGTGAATCTTTGAGTCCGTGTGAGTTTCATGAGTTAACCTCCATAGCTGCAACACTTACACTTCAACTTACGTCTTGATTCCGCTGTGTTAAAACAACATCGGCTAACAGGCACTTTTGGCGTCTGGGGTCTGACGTGGAGGGTGGCTGACCAAGCGTTTGTTTCCGACGCTTGGGGTGTGAGAATGTGTTGAAAAAATAAGTTATGGAAATGAAAAATAAATAAATAAAACTCGTAGTTGTGTTGTAGATATTACTGTGATAAAAGAAACTTTGATCAGATTTATTTCCTTGCTCTTTGCAAGTCACATAAAAAGGATCAGAGATACTCCAATGGTTGCAATCCAATCAACTTTTTTCAGTGGTGAGCCACTTTACATCCACAACTGACCTGGCTGGGATACCAAAGGAAGTAAAGCTGCCATTCAGCCTTCGACAGTCACAAACGATATTTTATGGGAAAAATGAAGGATCTGGATTCGAACCATCAACACTTTGATTATTGAACGAGCATTTTACCTCCGAAGGCACCACAACACCAACGCTCAAAAACGTAAAGAAAAAAACAACAACAACCACACACTTATCTTTAGTGATAAAACCTGACTGATGGCGATCATAATCTATTTCTTGGTTATCACAAAAAATCAGTTCATATTTTTTACGTAAGAACTTAAAAACTATAGGTTTCTGAAGATAATTAACATAAATGTAAGAATTAAGGGATTTGGTGAATCTATGTAAGTAGTCAAATGTGCATTAAGTGAAAATGCAAGAATTTAATTCACTCAGAAAGAAAACATCTCTGTCCATGGTGCTGAAAGTAGACAAGGGACACAAAATACTGGATGAAAACGAACTAAAAATGTAGAACAACTTGACATGAGAAGTAAGAAAAAACAGCTAACCTCCAAAGGAGAGTCAGGCGCATCCAGGATGCTCTTCTCACCCTGCATCCTCTGCATGGTTCCTGTAGAACTGGGGTCCATTACCAACACGTTCTGACTAGCAGCTCTGCCGAACTTACAGTCACTCTTTCTGGAGTCAGTGGTCCTGCACACCTCGTAGTTGTACACATGTTGGAGAGTTCCTGTCCCCAGCGTGTCTGAGTAACGTGGTGGATAATATGGAATGACAGGGAGGCTGGAGTGATACAGGATGCGAGACTGTCTCCATCTGTAGATTTTCACTGAGATGATAACCACCAAACAGGTGATGAAGAGGAAGGAAACTACAGCCAGAGCCAAGACTAAGTAAAAAGTCAGGTTGTCATTGTACTCCTTGTCGTGTGTAGAGTCAGTGAACTCCAACAGCACTTCAGGGAAGCTGTCCGCCACCGCCACGTTAACAATGACTGTAGCTGAACGAGAGGGCTGGCCGTTGTCCTCCACTATAACAGTCAGTCTTTGTTTCACAGCATCTTTATCAGTCACTTGACGGATAGTTCTGATTTCTCCATTCTGTAAGCCCACTTCAAACAGCGCCCTGTCTGTGGCTTTCTGCAGTTTATAGGAGAGCCAGGCGTTCTGTCCAGAGTCCACATCAACAGCCACCACTTTAGTCACCAGATAGCCCACTTCTGCTGAACGAGGCACCATCTCAGCCACCACGGAGCCTCCAGTCTGGACCGGGTACAGGACCTGAGGGGGGTTATCGTTCTGGTCCTGGATCAGTATTTTCACACTCACGTTGCTGCTGAGAGGAGGAGAGCCTCCATCCTGCGCTTTAACGTGAAACCGGAAGTCTTTGATCTGCTCGTAGTCAAAAGAGCGCACTGCGTGGATGACCCCGCTATCAGCACTAACGGACACATATGAGGAGACCGGAGCTCCGTTAACGGAGGAGTCCTCCAGTATGTAAGAAACACGGGCATTCTGGTTCCAGTCAGCGTCTGTGGCTTTCACTGTGAATATAGAGAGACCTGGTGTGTTGTTTTCTACAATGTAGGCCTCATATGAGCTCCTCTCAAAGACAGGCGCGTTGTCGTTCACATCAGAGATCTGTAAGGTGAGAGTGACGCTGCTGGAGAGGGAGGGCACTCCTTCATCAGAGCAGCTCACCGTGATGTTATACTCAGAGGCTCCCTCCCTGTCTAACTCGCTGTCTGTCACTAAACTGTAGAAATTATTCGACGTTGAAGACACTGAAAATGGGATATCATTATTTATTTCACACCGAACTTTCCCATTTTCACCAGAATCTGGATCCAGAATGTTGATTATCGTCACCACTGTGCCAGGCCGAATATTCTCTGTTAAAAGGGTTGACTTTGACATAATATTTATGACAGGTTTATTGTCATTTGTATCTAATATGTCAACTATAACTTTACTCGAATCAGTCAACCCCCCTTCATCACTTGCCTGAACGCGGATTTGATATTGCTTTTTCTTTTCAAAGTCAGCGGTTCCAGCTAAGGTGATGTCACCGGTTTCTTTCATTATGCTAAACATCTCAGATGCGTCATCAACAGTGTTTAGTATCACATAAGATATCTTGGCATTAGATCCTTCGTCTAAGTCTGAAGCACTGACCTTTATCACAGCCGTTCCTGCGGGGGAATTCTCTTTTACTGCGGCTTTATATACTCTTTGAGTAAAAAAGGGAGCATTATCATTACTATCGAGCACGTTTATTTTTATCTGAACCGACCCAGAGAGCTGTGGCTCACCGCCATCTACTGCAGTTAGTACAAGTGACAATTGGTCCTTCTGTTCTCTATCTAAAGGCTTTTGCAAAACCATTTCCACCATCTTGCTTCCGTCCACCTGATTTTGCAGCTTTAACACAAAATTATCAGTTGGAGTTAACAAATAATTTTGTAGACTGTTCATTCCGACATCCCAGTCTAACGCCTGTTCAAGCTCAAATCTCCTGCCTATTACCGCTGACTCACTAATCCGGAAATTAATTTCACCTCTTTTAAAAAATGGGGCGTTGTCATTAACATCAGTTATTTCGACGACAATGCTGTAAAATTCCATCGGATTTTCCAAAATAATCTGGAAGTGGAGGGCACACGGAGCCGTCAGTGCACACACAGTCTCTCTGTCGATCCTCTCTCTAACCAGCAGGACTCCCTTTTCTCTGTTCAGCTCGATATACTCGGCATTGTCTCCCGTGTAAATGCGGGCCTTTCCCGAGATCAGTCTTTTCACATCCAAACCCAGGTCTTGTGCAACATGTCCGACGAACGATCCTTTTGGCATTTCCTCGGGAATGGAGTAGCTGACCTGCCCTCTCACTGAACAGACGCGCAGAAGAGAAATAAAAAGCAGCACCTCTCCTTTCATTGTTCTGGTCGTCCTTCCCCCCACCGTGTAAAGTTATCGTTTAAAAAGTGTCCTTTAAGGCTTAATCCTTTGTCTCTTCGAATCTTCTTTTTATATGTTTCTCCTGCATAAGAGATCTAAAATAAACAGCATCCACAACGGAGTCAATCCCGTTACTGGTGTGCGTCCCAACCCTGTGCGTCTTTTGTGTCCTCCTGGACCAATGAAGACGGATCAGGTGGTTCCATGTCTTTACTCACAGATATTGGACAACAGCGTCCCTACGAGTCCATAATCCTGAACTACAGAAGGTTGCAAATAGAAGAAAATCAAATTCACATATTTTCTTGAGATTATTCGCTTTACTTTAAATAAAAATACTTACAATTAGAAGCTGCACCCGCTCATATCTGAAAACACATCTAAACGTTCACCTATATCGACTAACAACAGAAAATAAAAGACCATAGCACGAAAGAGAGAGTGGTAATATGTTGTAACACAAAAACACATCTATAATTTCCATATTCCAAGATATCAGAACATGTTTGAGTGCGTTTAGTGCACAGGACTTATGGAGACAAACGACTCGTTGTGGCAGAAACTGAATGGAAAGGTCAAATAAAAAGAAGACCCTATTTCAGTATACAACCAACTAAATCTTCATCAAACACCATAAACAAGTCTGAAAATACCGATCAACATTAAAAATACAAACGCGTTATATTCCACCATAAACAGACTACATGTTAGTTTCAAATTTTGTTTTGCTCAAATGAACAATAGTGTTTTATAATTTAACTTTCCTAAAAAATTAACGATGACTCATGTCAGTAGCATAGTTTCATGTTTTAGCATTTAAAATTTGTCATATGGCCTAACAGTTTAAATAAATTAAAATAACAAATGCCTTTTTGGAATATTTAATCGCCCAAACACACATGATGGACAGTTTTATACAAAACACACTACTAATAAAATATAGCCCTAAAAAAAGGAACGGGGGAGATGTACATGATGTTAAACTATATAAAAAAACGAAAAATAAAAACGTAATTTCAGGATTCTTTTGAATGATATTCCTAGACATTAAACTATCCTGTGATTTTACATTTTTAAAATAATCTTTGAAGATGAAAAGATTGTATTCTGAAAATAGAGTACAATAAAATTAATATAAAAAAAACTGCATGAACAATTGTTTATCATTTTAGTTTGGTGAACCTTAAGAGCATCATCAGCCATGTAAATAGAGCAAGAAAAATGGAAAAAATGTCAAAATAATTGATAAATGATAAATGACCCGCACTTGTATAGCGCCCCTCAGAGTAAGGACTCCAAAACGCTTTAGACTACAGTTTATCATTCATCCATTCACACACACATTCACACACTGATGGTGATGAGCTACGATGTAGCCACAGCTGCCTTGGGACGCACTGAGGTGTAAATAAAATTCATCATAATTAAAACGTATGAAAAAAGGAAATATTTTTTATGACCATTAGGTACAGAATAGCACTTCATACACACACACACACAGACACACACACACACACACACACACACACACACACACACACACGCACGCACGCACGCACACACACACACGTGCTGGAAAGTGAAATAGGATGTACTCTGTATAAAGGCAAGTAGGCAACATCAGTCTTGATAATATGAATATATCGGGAAAAATTATTATTGCGTACTCTCATTTGACAATAAACTTGTATTCAGTACTTCACAGTATGCTCTGACTTTTTGTCAAAACATATGGAAAAATGAGGAAGGAACCCAAATGAATCATTTGTAAGTAGAACAAACAGAGCCTGTTTCTGTGAAAAAAAAGATGGAACTGCCTGGGATGAAAACGGAATCATGGCTGGCCTCTAGAATTATATACAACAATCGTTGTGGTTAATCTTTCCACATCCGTCTTACATTATGAGTATCAAAATCAGGTACTGTTCCATTGATGAAAATTAGCAGTTGAATATGCATTGGTTAGCTCTGTTTGCCTCTTTCAAGCAAATTTCAATTAATTTGTTTCGCACTAACCTCTAAAGGAGAGTCAAGCTCATCCAGGATGCTCTTCTCACCCTGCATCCTCTGCATGGTTCCTGTAGAACTGGGGTCCATTACCAACACGTTCTGACTAGCAGCTCTGCCGAACTTACAGTCACTCTTTCTGGAGTCAGTGGTCCTGCACACCTCGTAGTTGTACACATGTTGGAGAGTTCCTGTCCCCAGCGTGTCTGAGTAACGTGGTGGATAATATGGAATGACAGGGAGGCTGGAGTGATACAGGATGCGAGACTGTCTCCATCTGTAGATTTTCACTGAGATGATAACCACCAAACAGGTGATGAAGAGGAAGGAAACTACAGCCAGAGCCAAGACTAAGTAAAAAGTCAGGTTGTCATTGTACTCCTTGTCGTGTGTAGAGTCAGTGAACTCCGACAGCACTTCAGGGAAGCTGTCCGCCACCGCCACGTTAACAATGACTGTAGCTGAACGAGAGGGCTGGCCGTTGTCCTCCACTATAACAGTCAGTCTTTGTTTCACAGCATCTTTATCAGTCACTTGACGGATAGTTCTGATTTCTCCATTCTGTAAGCCCACTTCAAACAGCGCCCTGTCTGTGGCTTTCTGCAGTTTATAGGAGAGCCAGGCGTTCTGTCCAGAGTCCACATCAACAGCCACCACTTTAGTCACCAGATAGCCCACTTCTGCTGAACGAGGCACCATCTCAGCCACCACGGAGCCTCCAGTCTGGACCGGGTACAGGACCTGAGGGGGGTTATCGTTCTGGTCCTGGATCAGTATTTTCACAGTCACATTGCTGCTGAGAGGAGGAGAGCCTCCATCCTGCGCTCTCACCGTGAACACAAGCTGTTTAATCTGCTCGTAGTCAAAAGACCTCACTGCATTTACAATTCCACTTTCAGCATTAATCGACACAAAGGAAGAAACTGGGCTACCACTAATCTCTGCATCCTCAAGAAAATACGACGTTCTTGCATTTTGATTCCAGTCTGAATCGTGTGCACTAACGCTTAATATTGACAAACCGGGCGAATCGTTTTCGAAAACAGACGCCAAATAATTAGTTTTTGTAAAAATGGGGGCATTGTCATTTACATCAGATATCTTCAGATGTAAAAATGATTGAGTGGAAAGTGGGAGAGCCCCTGAATCCGTAGCTGTTATGGTTATGTTGTATTCAGGTGTGGTTTCACGGTCAAAGGCTACATCTGAGAGCAAATTGTAATAATCCGTTAGAGAGGACTTGATTTTAAATGGAAGATTTGAATCAATAGAGCAGGTTATTTTTCCGTTTCTTTCAGAATCTGCATCCTTCACGTTAAATACAGCTACAGTTGTACCTGGAGCCACATCCTCTGAAATTATACTCGAAAAAGACATGATATTAATTACTGGTGCGTTATCATTAGAGTCAATTACTTCGATAACAACTTTGGACGCGTCACTCAGCCCCCCCTGATCTTTGGCGATCACCCTCATCTCAAATTTTTTGTCCTTTTCATAATCTATATTATCAGTTACGGTTATTCTTCCAGAAAAACTGTCAATTTGAAAAGTTTCAGCTGCTTTCCCTTTCACGTTAGAAAATGAATACGTAATTAGGCCATTAGAGCCGCTATCAGAATCTGACGCATTTACCGTTGTTATATGTGTGCCTATGTGGGCGTTCTCTAACACAGCAGCTTTGTACACCGATTGATTAAATATAGGTGGATTATCATTCGCATCAAGAACACTGATCTCAACATTTACTGTACCGGAGCGCTGCGGAGCTCCTCCATCCGCCGCTATCAGCTTTAAGGAGAGGTGCGGATTCAGCTCTCTGTCTAACGCTTTCTGTAAAATCATCACAGCAAATCTGACTCCATCCGCGTTGGAGTGTTGCTTTAAAACAAAATGATCGTTAGGAGAGAGGACGTAATTCTGCAGGCCGTTGATGCCCGCGTCGGGATCGTATGCGCTTTCCAAGTCAAAGTGAGATCCTATTGTCGCAGATTCACTAATTTCCAAACGGATCACGTTGTTCTTAAAGGTGGGAGCGTGGTCATTTACATCCAGAACCTCCACTGTGACTCTGTGCAGCTCGATCGGATTTTCTAAAATGATCTCCAAGCTGAAGCTGCACGGCGCTACCTCTCCACACAGCTCCTCCCGGTCTATTTTCTCACTCACAACCAAAATCCCTTTGTCTGCCTTCAGCTCCGCGTACTGACTCCTCTCTCCGCTGACGATGCGGGCCCGGCCCGAACGCAGCCGTCGCACGTCCAACCCAAGGTCTTGTGCAACGTTGCCGATGAGGGAACCTTTCTTCATCTCTTCTGGTATCGAATAACGAATCTGTCCGTTGGTGATGGAAGTAATCAGGAAAAGCACCAGGGGCGTCCAAAGCAACAGCCATTTTCCGCATAGATGCTGGCGTGTCTCCATTCTATTTCGATCAAAATACAGTTGGGAGAAATAATCCAGTAATACCTAACAGGGACGATAGAATTAAAAGTATCTGAGCCTATGCGAGAAAAAAACAATAGAAAACAAGCTACTGTTTGATGGGTCCGAATGTCTAATGAAGAGATGCTGAGTGAGAACGCTGTCTCTCCTTTTTCTCTCCAGCTCTCGCTTCACCTCTCGGCTCAGTTTTGCTGATCAACAGCGTCCCTTAGAGTCGAAATATAGGAAACAACTAAAACAACTGGTTTCTTCCCTTCCTTGTTGCAAAAGAAAAAAAAAGTCATAAGGTCTATTGTGCAATATGACGCGGGGGTGGGGTGGGGGTGGGGGGTGTAAGGGTGGGCAAAAAAGTCACTCCTCGTATATATATATATATATATATATATATATATATATATATATATATATATATATATCACTGTTTTTAAAGTTACATTAATTAAAAACGTTTAATTCTAGCCGTTTACTCTACACCAGTAAAATTGTCCAGCTGTGCTTACTTTAGGAGACACTGATTACAATTTTTAAAACAAGTTTTACTGAAAGACTAAGTAGGAAAAAAAAAAGAATAAATACTGAGAAGTAAAGAGGTTTGTAAAAAAATAATTAATTGTTTGATTAAATGTATTTTTCAGTCACTGCCCAAATTGTATTTAAATATCAGTTACTCACAATAAAAAAATGAAGTACTGCAAATGTTCTCAACCTTAAAATATGACCTGGCACCGTGATCACCTTTGATTTAATCATTGTAAGCATCAATGCAGTCTGCAGTATAAACGCCAGTTTTCTTTATAAAGCAGACAAGAATAAACATTTTATGGAAAATGATGGGAATTTGGGAAACGTGCTAAACACCTTCTAAAAAACATGACCAGATCTTATTAAGAAATGTATCAAATGAGATTGGAAAATATAAAAAAAAGAAAATGTGCCACTATAATTATTCGTACAGCAGTCAGAATAAATTTGGATGCTACAAAATATGACATGAAAAAAAAACCGTTTACAGGTGCATCAATAATTCTATATTTTTTCATGATGAATTGAAGATTCTAAAAACATTAGAGTAAGTCAAACATTCACTTACAAAGAAGCTAATTCTCAAATGGTCAATAAATTAAACACTGTAATATTGATCAGGCTAGGATGAACCACTTATCATTGGTAGGGCGAAAGGAAACTTCTGAAGCCAGCCACAAAACCACACTCACACACTCACTCATACTTAGCCACAATGACAGTCACCTAAAACGGACACTGCTAGTGTTTCTTAGCGCTACCAAATGCTAAACCTTAAAGCACCAGTTTACATTCCAAGCACCTAATTTAAATGTATGATTCCTTAGAAAATATACATGTTTTGTCACTGTTGCAATTAAAAACTAAATAAACGTTGTAACAAAAGAAATTAAATGGTTATCTGAAAAATATAAAACAATTTAATTATTTAAAAATACAGGAATTTATGTACATGAATACATTCGTTTTTATTTATTATTAATTTTTTTTAGAATAGATCTAAGTTTGAAAACAGCAGCACTACCACAAGTAGCAACGTGTGTCGCTCTCCGTGGTGCTGAACATCAGTGTGAAAGGGAAATGGTTCGTTCCAAACAAATTTGGTCACTTATAAATTTGATAAAACAACTACAACAACAACAACAATAATAATAATAATAATAATAATAATAATAATAATAATAATAATAATAATATAAAAATATATAAATAAATAAAGACTAACCTCTAAAGGAGAGTCAGGCTCATCCAGGATGCTCTTCTCACCCTGCATCCTCTGCATGGTTCCTGTAGAACTGGGGTCCATTACCAACACGTTCTGACTAGCAGCTCTGCCGAACTTACAGTCACTCTTTCTGGAGTCAGTGGTCCTGCACACCTCGTAGTTGTACACATGTTGGAGAGTTCCTGTCCCCAGCGTGTCTGAGTAACGTGGTGGATAATATGGAATGACAGGGAGGCTGGAGTGATACAGGATGCGAGACTGTCTCCATCTGTAGATTTTCACTGAGATGATAACCACCAAACAGGTGATGAAGAGGAAGGAAACTACAGCCAGAGCCAAGACTAAGTAAAAAGTCAGGTTGTCGTTGTATTCCTTGTCGTGTGTAGAGTCAGTGAACTCCGACAGCACTTCAGGGAAGCTGTCCGCCACCGCCACGTTAACAATGACTGTAGCTGAACAAGAGGGCTGGCCGTTGTCCTCCACTAAAACAGTCAGTCTTTGTTTCACAGCATCTTTATCAGTCACTTGACGGATAGTTCTGATTTCTCCATTCTGTAAGCCCACTTCAAACAGCGCCCTGTCTGTGGCTTTCTGCAGTTTATAGGAGAGCCAGGCGTTCTGTCCAGAGTCCACATCAACAGCCACCACTTTAGTCACCAGATAGCCCACTTCTGCTGAACGAGGCACCATCTCAGCCACCACGGAGCCTCCAGTCTGGACCGGGTACAGGACCTGAGGGGGGTTATCGTTCTGGTCCTGGATCAGTATTTTCACAGTCACGTTGCTGCTGAGAGGAGGAGAGCCTCCATCCTGCGCTTTAACCACCAGGTTAAGTTCTTTAACTTGCTCATAATCAAAAGATCGCAGTGCGTGGATTGCTCCATTTTCACTGTTTATGGAGACGTACAAAGATGCAGGACTGCCATTGATAGCTGTGTCTTCGAGAAAATATGAGATTCGTGCATTTTGATTCCAATCGTTATCTCCCGCTGTCACCGAAAATACAGAAACCCCAGGAGAGTTGTTTTCTATAAGATGTGTAACATAACTAATTTGATCAAATACCGGCGCATTATCATTCACATCAGCGATCTTCAAATGCAAAACTGTGGTGCTTGATAAAGATGGAGAACCCGAATCTGTGGCCTGGACAGTTATATTATATTCAGGGACTGCCTCCCTATCAAATGACGAGTCTGTTATTAATGCATAATAATTAGTTAAAGTCGATTTTATCTTAAAAGGAAGGAGTCTGTCTGTTGAACAGGTGATTTTCCCATTTTGGTCCGAGTCCGCATCAATCACATTAATTATTGCTACTGTGGAACCCACCGGGGAATTCTCTGGAACCGGACTGGAGAATGACATCACATTTATGACAGGAGCGTTGTCATTCACGTCTAGTATTTCAATCAGCACTTTACTTGAATCCGTAAGCCCCCCTTGATCCACAGCTTCAATCATGATTTCATATTTCTTATCTTTTTCATAGTCAACTTCTCCTGTCAGAGTTATGGTTCCTGTATATTCATTCAAACTGAATGTATCAGTCAAGTGTTTTTTTACATTTGAAAATCTGTAGGTCATCAATCCGTTAGACCCAGCGTCCGCATCACTTGCGTTCACAGTGGTGATATAAGTGCCTTTTATCGCGTTTTCCAAAACAGCGGCTCTGTATAAAGACTGGTTAAAAATTGGAGGATTGTCATTAGCATCAAGCACTGTAATATCTATATTTACTGTTCCAGATCTAGGCGGAGATCCACCGTCAACAGCGATGAGCCTCAGTGATATGCGCGGCTCTTTTTCTCTATCTAACGCATTTTGTATAACCAACTCTGCATATTTTTGACCGTCTGGGTTTGAGTGTTGCTTCAAACCAAAGGCATCACTGGCCGTGAGTAAATATGTCTGCAGGCCGTTGCTGCCCACATCTGCGTCCTCGGCAGTGGGTAGCAAAAACCGCGAGCCCAGCGCTGCAGACTCGCCTATTTCTAATTGAATCTCCCCCTTTCTAAACACCGGGAAGTTGTCATTTATGTCCGTTATTTCCACCGTTATTTGGTGCAGCTCCATCGGATTCTCTAAAATCACCTCGAAGCTGAAGCTGCAAGGTGTTACGTCTCCACAAAGCTGCTCTCGGTCAATCCTCTCCTTCACGACTAAAACGCCTTTGTCTGTTTTCAGCTCCGTGTACTGGATGCTTTGTCTAGTCACGATGCGGGCATGGCCAGAGCGCAGCCTTTCTACATTCAAACCGAGATCATGAGCAACATTGCCGATGAGAGATCCTTTTTTCATCTCCTCTGGGATTGAATATCTGATCTGCCCGGAAACAATGCTTTTGAAACAACACAAGAACAGCATAAACCAGCGGACTGACCTGAAACACAAACGCCATTTTTTACACGATGAAACCAGGGTTTCCACCATTGTAAAACCAAGAAAAAACGTGGTAAAAACTATTGTATGAAATCCAAGCGGAAAGAAGAAAAAAATATGCCTTTTTATTTGACACCCGTTGCTCTAAACCAGTTGTTGTCTGCTCTGCTCACGAGTCTCACCATTTGTGTTCTAATCCAGCAATGTGAAGAAGAAAAAAGACTCAGCCTCTCCCTGTCCTCTCTCACTGCGTGTTTTACTGACCTACAGCGTCCCTTACTGTCCAATTAATATATTTCATAGAAGAAAAGCAGTAGATATAATTCAGCTGGTAAAAAGCATTCAGTCAGAAGATAAAAGTTCCCATAAAAGTTAATTATAATGCAAAATAAGCATAAAGTAACAACAGTATTGTGCACCACATCTTAGACCTGTGTGTGTGTGTGTGTGTGTGTGTGTGTGTGTGTGTGTGTGTGTGTGTGTGTGTGTGTGTGTGTGTGCGAGTGTGTGCGTGTTGGGGGAGGGGGGGGGGTTCTCAAATCTTGAGGTTAACTTTCTAGATTACATTTTTTCTATGGAATAAAGTACTGCACACTGCAGTTGAAAAAGGAAACGTGACACACACACACACACACACACACACACACACACACACACACACACACACACACACACACACACACACATATATATATATATATATATATATATATATATATATATATATATATATGCAGGGTTATATGCATTTTCTATGTTTGGAATCAGAAAACTCAGTACTTTTACAAGGATTTGGCTTGCTCTTCTAAAGGTGTTTAAAAATTCATAAAAATCTACGACTTAAAAACAACTTTATATGTATATTCAAATCAAATAAATGTAACAAATAAGGAGAAAAAAACAAAACTAAGCAAAACAAAATAGCATGTAAAAATAAGAAGGTAATTTTGTAAATAAAACTTATGGGGATCCTACATGGCAGAATGATGATGTACACACACACACACACACACACACACACACACACACACACACACACACACACACACACACACACACACACACACACACACACACACACACAGAGTGCTATCAGGGGCTGTAAACGAGCTGTTTCTCCCCTCCCTGAAAGCACTCATCAGGTGATCTACGTCTCAACCATTGCAATCCGCTGCTGCATGAACACCTGTTTCCAATAAGCTGCACAGCATAAGTTTGGTGGCATAACTGAAGCGTCAGCCCTTGTGTCTCAGCCCCTCCGGGGTAAAGACATATGTGTCTACCTGCGCATGTCCACAGAGCAGGTACACAGAGCAAACAAACTCGACCCAGACGCTGCTCCGTCGACACCTAGTAAAATGTGCCATTATCCTATATCTGTGATCACTGGCTTCAGAGGAAGGTCACACACAGCAAACCACTTTCGCAACCTTCAAAACCTCCGCTCGCTAAAACCAACTCCCCCAAAGGCACCCTTTAAAGATGCTTTAAAGCTTTAAAGATCATGTTGCCTCTGTTGCTCATCCATGCCGCTTTGCATTGTATAACACACGAAAGATCAGACCATACCTAAAACAACATGCCACCCAGCTTCTGGTGCAATCTACTGTCATCTCCTGCCTCGATTACTGCAATGCCCTTCTAACTGGTCTTCCAGGCAGTACTGTGAGACCTCTTCAAATGGTCCAGAACGCAGCGGTGCATCTGGTCTTCAATCAGCCAAAAAGAGCACACGTCACCCCGCTGTTCATTGAGCTCCACTGGCTACCGCTAGCAGCACGCATCAAATTCAAATTGCTAACACTAGCATACAAAGTCCGAGATGGTACGGCTCCCATCTACCTGAATCCTCTTGCAAAGGCTTACATCTCGGCCCGGCCGCTCCGGTCATCACAGGATCGTCGGCTAGCAGTGCCTACACCACGCTCAGGACAATCCGGACTCTTCTCATGCATCGTTCCACAAATGTGGAATGACCTACCCAACACTACCAGAACTGCGGCTTCCTTTTCAATTTTCAAGAAACTCCTGAAGACCCTGCTCTTCAGAGAGCATCTTCTTAACTAGCACCCTCCCTGCACCCGTCCCCCATCTCTACTGTCCACTCCTTGTTCCCTCCTCTCCATGATTGATGTCAAGTTGTTGTTGTTGTTAGCCTCAAGGGCAACATGCCGATTATCACTTGTAAATTGCTTTGGACAAAAGCGTCTGCTAAATACATAAACACACACACACACACACACACACACACACACACACACACTCACACACACACACTCACACACACACACACACACACACACACACACACACACACACACACACACACACACACACACACACACACACACACACACACACACACACACAAATATGTGAACTAAACTCGATGATACAGATACCAAGTATAATGGGAAGCTGTCCGTGGTTCTGAGCACCCATTTACCCCCAAGCAACTACGCCCGAACAAATTGATAAAAAATAAATGAATCAAAAAAGCAGCAAGAGCTTTAAGGAAAACATTTCAACTAACCTCTAAAGGAGAGTCAGGCTCATCCAGGATGCTCTTCTCACCCTGCATCCTCTGCATGGTTCCTGTAGAACTGGGGTCCATTACCAACACGTTCTGACTAGCAGCTCTGCCGAACTTACAGTCACTCTTTCTGGAGTCAGTGGTCCTGCACACCTCGTAGTTGTACACATGTTGGAGAGTTCCTGTCCCCAGCGTGTCTGAGTAACGTGGTGGATAATATGGAATGACAGGGAGGCTGGAGTGATACAGGATGCGAGACTGTCTCCATCTGTAGATTTTCACTGAGATGATAACCACCAAACAGGTGATGAAGAGGAAGGAAACTACAGCCAGAGCCAAGACTAAGTAAAAAGTCAGGTTGTCATTGTACTCCTTGTCGTGTGTAGAGTCAGTGAACTCCGACAGCACTTCAGGGAAGCTGTCCGCCACCGCCACGTTAACAATGACTGTAGCTGAACGAGAGGGCTGGCCGTTGTCCTCCACTATAACAGTCAGTCTTTGTTTCACAGCATCTTTATCAGTCACTTGACGGATAGTTCTGATTTCTCCATTCTGTAAGCCCACTTCAAACAGCGCCCTGTCTGTGGCTTTCTGCAGTTTATAGGAGAGCCAGGCGTTCTGTCCAGAGTCCACATCAACAGCCACCACTTTAGTCACCAGATAGCCCACTTCTGCTGAACGAGGCACCATCTCAGCCACCACGGAGCCTCCAGTCTGGACCGGGTACAGGACCTGAGGGGGGTTATCGTTCTGGTCCTGGATCAGTATTTTCACAGTCACGTTGCTGCTGAGAGGAGGAGAGCCTCCATCCTGCGCTTTAACGTGAAACTGGAAGTCTTTGATCTGCTCGTAGTCAAAAGAGCGCACTGCCTGTATAGCACCACTTTCTGCATTCACAGAAATGTATGTGGAAATGGGGCTACCGTTCAACTCAGTATCTATAAGCAGGTATGAGATCCGCGCATTTTGTCCTGAATCAGAATCGTGAGCTTTCACAGAAAACACGTGTAGACCAGGTGGGTTATTTTCCAATATATTAGCTTCATAAATCATCTGTTCAAACATCGGAGCATTATCATTTACGTCAGATATCCTCAGAGTTATTGTCTTGTTCTCGGAGAGGGGTGGATTGCCCTCATCCACAGCAGTGAAGGTGATGTTATATACAGGGTGTTGTTCCCTATCCAAAACTCCATTTGTGACTAATGTGTAATAATTCTTTAGAGACGACTGGATAGCGAATGGGATATTAGGATTAACAGAACAATCAACTTTTCCGTTTTTACCCGAATCTACGTCCTTTACATTAATGATAGCTATTGTGGTTCCTGTAGGAGAATCCTCAGCGACAGTATTAGAGAAAGAGGTTAATGTTATCATAGGTGCGTTATCATTTACATCTATCACCTCAATTATGACATTTGTGGACGTGCTTTGTCCACCTTGATCTTTGGCTTGCACGCCTATCTCATACAATTTATTATCTTCATAGTCAATCACACCGGTTACAGTTAAATCTCCGCTGTTTCCATCCAGGTGGAAAAGCTCCGCTATTTTATTAGACATGCGGTTAAAATGATACGTCACACGTCCGTTCATCCCTTCATCCGCATCCGTTGCGCTCAGGCTCACCACTAAAGTCCCTTTTGGAACATTTTCTTTAACCGATGCTTTAAAAATAGGCTGTGTAAACACTGGGGCATTGTCGTTCGTGTCTCGGACAGTTATGTGTATTTTTAGAACCCCAGATCGCTGCGGTTCACCTCCATCCACAGCAGTCAGCGTGAGAAGCATCTTTTCCTCTTTCTCTCGGTCTAAAGCGCTGGAAAGATACAGCTGCGCATATTTATGACCATTTGGACTAGAGAGAACTTTGATGTTAAAATGCGTTGTAGGGTGTAACGTGTAACCGTGTAAAGCGTTCACGCCGACATCAGCGTCTGACGCGCTCACTTGCAATATTTCTGTTCCTGGAAGAGCAGATTCTAGGACCTCCACATGCATTTCTTTCTCGTGGAAAACTGGCGCATTGTCATTAACATCTAATATTTCCACAACAACGCTGTGCAGCTGCATTGGGTTGGTCATGATCATTTCAAAATTCAAGCTGCAGGGTGACGTCTGTCCACAGAGCTGCTCCCTATCTACTCTTTCTCCCACGACGAGAATCCCTTTGTCTACATCCAGCCTAATAAACTCGCTGCTATCACCACTAACGATCCGAGCACCACCTGATCTCAGTCTTTTAGCGTCGACACCCAAGTCCTCAGCGACATTTCCCACAAAAGAGCCTTTTCTCATCTCCTCGGGGACCGAGTAGCGAATCTGGGAAACCGTGTCCTCCATGAGAAAAACAAGGAGGAGGGCCTGTACTTGCCATTTAACCGTGCGCTCCGTGATGATGCAAACCATTATTCCGATTTAATCCGTCCAATTTACCGTAAAAGTGGATCTAAAAAGCATATATTGAAGAATCCAGAATCTTGCCTGATGTCTGCTTATAATCCAACCAGTTGAAATAAAAAAAATCTGAGAGTACACAGCAACTGTTCTGCCCTCCTTGGTACAATGTGATGAGGGATGGAGGTGTAGCTGTATTTTAAAAGCTTAATATTTGATGCAAAGGCAAACAGCGGTCCCTAGAGTCTGAAATGAAAATAACCAGTAAGAGAAAAAAGATAAACACCTCATCAGCAGGTGATTTTGACAATTTAACTACAAAATATTTGTATGAAGTAGTTTTATCAGAAAAAAATTGATTACAATATTGATATTTGCTTATATTTTTACAAAGTAAAGCAGTAGTCTGTCCATTTGCCCTCAAACGGCATAAAACAATGCAGTGCAAAGTAAAAAAAAAATGCATTATGGCTTCACGAAAAATCCTTGATGGTGCAAATATATTCTCAGAGTAAATTTTATTTTTAATGAAATTGTAGGTAATAACAATCACAAAAATATTTTATGTGGTGATAAAAATCTGAAAGTCTTATTATGTCGTTAGACTGAACAATATAAACGGCAGTAAAACACAAATAAAATATTAATTTTAAAAACGTTTATGAGGTGTTTCTTCTAAATCAACAAAATGCATTTGAACAAGAGTGATTTAAAAACAATGCTGTGAATCGGTAATTTAAAAATATCAAAAGGTAAAAGAGAGAAAGGAAGCTGCATAGAAACCTTCGTAATTATGTTTCTGCGTACATAGAAGTTTTAAAATAAATTTGTTTTTAATGTTTTGAATAAAATATTCATATTCACATTTAAGGATGACAATCTTCTTCGCCTGTACAAAACAGGACAAAATAGAAGAAAAATTACGTATAACTGTGTAACTAACTTGTAAAAGAGAGACTAGATCTTGATTTTAAATTGCAAGAGGCGTTGTCCATGGTGCTGAAGATAAAATAGCACGGTGCAGACAATTTGTTTGAAGATTTGAATAAAACTAAAACTAAAATCAACTAACCTCTAAAGGAGAGTCAGGCTCATCCAGGATGTTCTTCTCACCCTGTATCCTCTGCATGGTTCCTGTAGAACTGGGGTCCATTACCAACACGTTCTGACTAGCAGCTCTGCCGAACTTACAGTCACTCTTTCTGGAGTCAGTGGTCCTGCACACCTCGTAGTTGTACACATGTTGGAGAGTTCCTGTCCCCAGCGTGTCTGAGTAACGTGGTGGATAATATGGAATGACAGGGAGGCTGGAGTGATACAGGATGCGAGACTGTCTCCATCTGTAGATTTTCACTGAGATGATAACCACCAAACAGGTGATGAAGAGGAAGGAAACTACAGCCAGAGCCAAGACTAAGTAAAAAGTCAGGTTGTCATTGTACTCCTTGTCGTGTGTAGAGTCAGTGAACTCCGACAGCACTTCAGGGAAGCTGTCCGCCACCGCCACGTTAACAATGACTGTAGCTGAACGAGAGGGCTGGCCGTTGTCCTCCACTATAACAGTCAGTCTTTGTTTCACAGCATCTTTATCAGTCACTTGACGGATAGTTCTGATTTCTCCATTCTGTAAGCCCACTTCAAACAGCGCCCTGTCTGTGGCTTTCTGCAGTTTATAGGAGAGCCAGGCGTTCTGTCCAGAGTCCACATCAACAGCCACCACTTTAGTCACCAGATAGCCCACTTCTGCTGAACGAGGCACCATCTCAGCCACCACGGAGCCTCCAGTCTGGACCGGGTACAGGACCTGAGGGGGGTTATCGTTCTGGTCCTGGATCAGTATTTTCACAGTCACGTTGCTGCTGAGAGGAGGAGAGCCTCCATCCTGCGCTTTAACCACCAGGTTAAGTTCTTTAACTTGCTCATAATCAAAAGATCGCAGTGCGTGGATTGCTCCATTTTCACTGTTTATGGAGACGTACAAAGATGCAGGACTGCCATTGATAGCTGTGTCTTCGAGAAAATATGAGATTCGTGCATTTTGATTCCAATCGTTATCTCCCGCTGTCACCGAAAATACAGAAACCCCAGGAGAGTTGTTTTCTATAAGATGTGTAACATAACTAATTTGATCAAATACCGGCGCATTATCATTCACATCAGCGATCTTCAAATGCAAAACTGTGGTGCTTGATAAAGATGGAGAACCCGAATCTGTGGCCTGGACAGTTATATTATATTCAGGGACTGCCTCCCTATCAAATGACGAGTCTGTTATTAATGCATAATAATTAGTTAAAGTCGATTTTATCTTAAAAGGAAGGAGTCTGTCTGTTGAACAGGTGATTTTCCCATTTTGGTCCGAGTCCGCATCAATCACATTAATTATTGCTACTGTGGAACCCACGGGGGAATTCTCTGGAACCGGACTGGAGAATGACATCACATTTATGACAGGAGCGTTGTCATTCACGTCTAGTATTTCAATCAGCACTTTACTTGAATCCGTAAGCCCCCCTTGATCCACAGCTTCAATCATGATTTCATATTTCTTATCTTTTTCATAGTCAACTTCTCCTGTCAGAGTTATGGTTCCTGTATATTCATTCAAACTGAATGTATCAGTCAAGTGTTTTTTTACATTTGAAAATCTGTAGGTCATCAATCCGTTAGACCCAGCGTCCGCATCACTTGCGTTCACAGTGGTGATATAAGTGCCTTTTATCGCGTTTTCCAAAACAGCGGCTCTGTATAAAGACTGGTTAAAAATTGGAGGATTGTCATTAGCATCAAGCACTGTAATGTCTATATTAACTGTTCCAGATCTAGGCGGAGATCCACCGTCAACAGCGATGAGCCTCAGTGATATGCGCGGCTCTTTTTCTCTATCTAACGCGTTTTGTATAACCAACTCTGCATATTTTTGACCGTCTGGGTTTGAGTGTTGCTTCAAACCAAAGGCATCACTGGCCGTGAGTAAATATGTCTGCAGGCCGTTGCTGCCCACATCTGCGTCCTCGGCAGTGGGTAGCAAAAACCGCGAGCCCAGCGCTGCAGACTCGCCTATTTCTAATTGAATCTCCCCCTTTCTAAACACCGGGAAGTTGTCATTTATGTCCGTTATTTCCACCGTTATTTGGTGCAGCTCCATCGGATTCTCTAAAATCACCTCGAAGCTGAAGCTGCAAGGTGTTACGTCTCCACAAAGCTGCTCTCGGTCAATCCTCTCCTTCACGACTAAAACGCCTTTGTCTGTTTTCAGCTCCGTGTACTGGATGCTTTGTCTAGTCACGATGCGGGCATGGCCAGAGCGCAGCCTTTCTACGTTCAAACCGAGATCATGAGCAACATTGCCGATGAGAGATCCTTTTTTCATCTCCTCTGGGATTGAATATCTGATCTGCCCGGAAACAATGCTTTTGAAACAACACAAGAACAGCATAAACCAGCGGACTGACCTGAAACACAAACGCCATTTTTTACACGATGAAACCGGGGTTTCCACCATTGTAAAACCAAGAAAAAACGTGGTAAAAAATATTGTATGAAATCCAAGCGGAAAGAAGAAAAAAATATGCCTTTTTATTTGACACCCGTTGCTCTAAACCAGTTGTTGTCTGCTCTGCTCACGAGTCTCACCATTTGTGTTCTAATCCAGCAATGTGAAGAAGAAAAAAGACTCAGCCTCTCACTGTCCTCTCTAACTGCGTGTTTTACTGACCTACAGCGTCCCTTACTGTCCAATTAATATATTTCATAGAAGAAAAGCAGTAGATATAATTCAGCTGGTAAAAAGCATTCAGTCAGAAGATAAAAGTTCCCATAAAAGTTAATTCTAATGCAAAATAAGCATAAAGTAACAACAGTATTGTGCACCACATCTTAGACCTGTGTGTGTGTGTGTGTGTGTGTGTGTGTGTGTGTGCGAGTGTGTGCGTGTTGGGGGATGGGGGGGGGGGGTTCTCAAATCTTGAGGTTAACTTTCTAGATTACATTTTTTCTATGGAATAAAGTACTGCACACTGCAGTTGAAAAAGGAAACGTGACACACACACACACACACACACACACACACACACACACACACACACATATATATATATATATATATATATATATATATATATATATATATATATATATATATATATATATATATATATATATGCAGGGTTATATGCATTTTCTATGTTTGGAATCAGAAAACTCAGTACTTTTACAAGGATTTGGCTTGCTCTTCTAAAGGTGTTTAAAAATTCATAAAAATCTACGACTTAAAAACAACTTTATATGTATATTCAAATCAAATAAATGTAACAAATAAGGAGAAAAAAACAAAACTAAGCAAAACAAAATAGCATGTAAAAATAAGAAGGTAATTTTGTAAAAAAAACTTATGGGGATCCTACATGGCAGAATGATGATGTACACACACACACACACACACACACACACACACACACACACACACACACACACACACACACACACAGAGTGCAATCAGGGGCTGTAAACGAGCTGTTTCTCCCCTCCCTGAAAGCACTCATCAGGTGATCTGCGTCTCAACCATTGCAATCCGCTGCTGCATGAACACCTGTTTCCAATAAGCTGCACAGCATAAGTTTGGTGGCATAACTGAAGCGTCAGCCCTTGTGTCTCAGCCCCTCCGGGGTAAAGACATATGTGTCTACCTGCGCGTGTCCACAGAGCAGGTACACAGAGCAAACAAACTCGACCCAGACGCTGCTCCGTCGACACCTAGTAAAATGTGCCATTATCCTATATCTGTGATCACTGGCTTCAGAGGAAGGTCACACACAGCAAACCACTTTCGCAACCTTCAAAACCTCCGCTCGCTAAAACCAACTCCCCCAAAGGCACCCTTTAAAGATGCTTTAAAGCTTTAAAGATCATGTTGCCTCTGTTGCTCATCCATGCCGCTTTGCATTGTATAACACACGAAAGATCAGACCATACCTAAAACAACATGCCACCCAGCTTCTGGTGCAATCTACTGTCATCTCCTGCCTCGATTACTGCAATGCCCTTCTAATTGGTCTTCCAGGCAGTACTGTGAGACCTCTTCAAATGGTCCAGAACGCAGCGGTGCATCTGGTCTTCAATCAGCCAAAAAGAGCACACGTCACCCCGCTGTTCATTGAGCTCCACTGGCTACCGCTAGCAGCACGCATCAAATTCAAATTGCTAACACTAGCATACAAAGTCCGAGATGGTACGGCTCCCATCTACCTGAATCCTCTTGCAAAGGCTTACATCTCGGCCCGGCCGCTCCGGTCATCACAGGATCGTCGGCTAGCAGTGCCTACACCACGCTCAGGACAATCCGGACTCTTCTCATGCATCGTTCCACAAATGTGGAATGACCTACCCAACACTACCAGAACTGCGGCTTCCTTTTCAATTTTCAAGAAACTCCTGAAGACCCTGCTCTTCAGAGAGCATCTTCTTAACTAGCACCCTCCCTGCACCCGTCCCCCATCTCTACTGTCCACTCCTTGTTCCCTCCTCTCCATGATTGATGTCAAGTTGTTGTTGTTGTTAGCCTCAAGGGCAACATGCCGATTATCACTTGTAAATTGCTTTGGACAAAAGCGTCTGCTAAATACATAAACACACACACACACACACACACACACACACACACACACACACACACACACACACACTCACACACACACACTCACACACACACACACACACACACACACACACACACACACACACACACACACACACACACACACACACACACACACACACACACACACACACAAATATGTGAACTAAACTCGATGATACAGATACCAAGTATAATGGGAAGCTGTCCGTGGTTCTGAGCACCCATTTACCCCCAAGCAACTACGCCCGAACAAATTGATAAAAAATAAATGAATCAAAAAAGCAGCAAGAGCTTTAAGGAAAACATTTCAACTAACCTCTAAAGGAGAGTCAGGCTCATCCAGGATGCTCTTCTCACCCTGCATCGTCTGCATGGTTCCTGTAGAACTGGGGTCCATTACCAACACGTTCTGACTAGCAGCTCTGCCGAACTTACAGTCACTCTTTCTGGAGTCAGTGGTCCTGCACACCTCGTAGTTGTACACATGTTGGAGAGTTCCTGTCCCCAGCGTGTCTGAGTAACGTGGTGGATAATATGGAATGACAGGGAGGCTGGAGTGATACAGGATGCGAGACTGTCTCCATCTGTAGATTTTCACTGAGATGATAACCACCAAACAGGTGATGAAGAGGAAGGAAACTACAGCCAGAGCCAAGACTAAGTAAAAAGTCAGGTTGTCGTTGTACTCCTTGTCGTGTGTAGAGTCAGTGAACTCCGACAGCACTTCAGGGAAGCTGTCCGCCACCGCCACGTTAACAATGACTGTAGCTGAACGAGAGGGCTGGCCGTTGTCCTCCACTATAACAGTCAGTCTTTGTTTCACAGCATCTTTATCAGTCACTTGATGGATAGTTCTGATTTCTCCATTCTGTAAGCCCACTTCAAACAGCGCCCTGTCTGTGGCTTTCTGCAGTTTATAGGAGAGCCAGGCGTTCTGTCCAGAGTCCACATCAACAGCCACCACTTTAGTCACCAGATAGCCCACTTCTGCTGAACGAGGCACCATCTCAGCCACCACGGAGCCTCCAGTCTGGACCGGGTACAGGACCTGAGGGGGGTTATCGTTCTGGTCCTGGATCAGTATTTTCACAGTCACGTTGCTGCTGAGAGGAGGAGAGCCTCCATCCTGCGCTTTAACGTGAAACTGGAAGTCTTTGATCTGCTCGTAGTCAAAAGAGCGCACTGCCTGTATAGCACCACTTTCTGCATTCACAGAAATGTATGTGGAAATGGGGCTACCGTTCAACTCAGTATCTATAAGCAGGTATGAGATCCGCGCATTTTGTCCTGAATCAGAATCGTGAGCTTTCACAGAAAACACGTGTAGACCAGGTGGGTTATTTTCCAATATATTAGCTTCATAAATCATCTGTTCAAACATCGGAGCATTATCATTTACGTCAGATATCCTCAGAGTTATTGTCTTGTTCTCGGAGAGGGGTGGATTGCCCTCATCCACAGCAGTGAAGGTGATGTTATATACAGGGTGTTGTTCCCTATCCAAAACTCCATTTGTGACTAATGTGTAATAATTCTTTAGAGACGACTGGATAGCGAATGGGATATTAGGATTAACAGAACAATCAACTTTTCCGTTTTTACCCGAATCTACGTCCTTTACATTAATGATAGCTATTGTGGTTCCTGTAGGAGAATCCTCAGCGACAGTATTAGAGAAAGAGGTTAATGTTATCATAGGTGCGTTATCATTTACATCTATCACCTCAATTATGACATTTGTGGACGTGCTTTGTCCACCTTGATCTTTGGCTTGCACGCCTATCTCATACAATTTATTATCTTCATAGTCAATCACACCGGTTACAGTTAAATCTCCGCTGTTTCCATCCAGGTGGAAAAGCTCCGCTATTTTATTAGACATGCGGTTAAAATGATACGTCACACGTCCGTTCATCCCTTCATCCGCATCCGTTGCGCTCAGGCTCACCACTAAAGTCCCTTTTGGAACATTTTCTTTAACCGATGCTTTAAAAATAGGCTGTGTAAACACTGGGGCATTGTCGTTCGTGTCTCGGACAGTTATGTGTATTTTTAGAACCCCAGATCGCTGCGGTTCACCTCCATCCACAGCAGTCAGCGTGAGAAGCATCTTTTCCTCTTTCTCTCGGTCTAAAGCGCTGGAAAGATACAGCTGCGCATATTTATGACCATTTGGACTAGAGAGAACTTTGATGTTAAAATGCGTTGTAGGGTGTAACGTGTAACCGTGTAAAGCGTTCACGCCGACATCAGCGTCTGACGCGCTCACTTGCAATATTTCTGTTCCTGGAAGAGCAGATTCTAGGACCTCCACATGCATTTCTTTCTCGTGGAAAACTGGCGCATTGTCATTAACATCTAATATTTCCACAACAACGCTGTGCAGCTGCATTGGGTTGGTCATGATCATTTCAAAATTCAAGCTGCAGGGTGACGTCTGTCCACAGAGCTGCTCCCTATCTACTCTTTCTCCCACGACGAGAATCCCTTTGTCTACATCCAGCCTAATAAACTCGCTGCTATCACCACTAACGATCCGAGCACCACCTGATCTCAGTCTTTTAGCGTCGACACCCAAGTCCTCAGCGACATTTCCCACAAAAGAGCCTTTTCTCATCTCCTCGGGGACCGAGTAGCGAATCTGGGAAACCGTGTCCTCCATGAGAAAAACAAGGAGGAGGGCCTGTACTTGCCATTTAACCGTGCGCTCCGTGATGATGCAAACCATTATTCCGATTTAATCCGTCCAATTTACCGTAAAAGTGGATCTAAAAAGCATATATTGAAGAATCCAGAATCTTGCCTGATGTCTGCTTATAATCCAACCAGTTGAAATAAAAAAAATCTGAGAGTACACAGCAACTGTTCTGCCCTCCTTGGTACAATGTGATGAGGGATGGAGGTGTAGCTGTATTTTAAAAGCTTAATATTTGATGCAAAGGCAAACAGCGGTCCCTAGAGTCTGAAATGAAAATAACCAGTAAGAGAAAAAAGATAAACACCTCATCAGCAGGTGATTTTGACAATTTAACTACAAAATATTTGTATGAAGTAGTTTTATCAGAAAAAAATTGATTACAATATTGATATTTGCTTATATTTTTACAAAGTAAAGCAGTAGTCTGTCCATTTGCCCTCAAACGGCATAAAACAATGCAGTGCAAAGTAAAAAAAAAAATGCATTATGGCTTCACGAAAAATCCTTGATGGTGCAAATATATTCTCAGAGTAAATTTTATTTTTAATGAAATTGTAGGTAATAACAATCACAAAAATATTTTATGTGGTGATAAAAATCTGAAAGTCTTATTATGTCGTTAGACTGAACAATATAAACGGCAGTAAAACACAAATAAAATATTAATTTTAAAAACGTTTATGAGGTGTTTCTTCTAAATCAACAAAATGCATTTGAACAAGAGTGATTTAAAAACAATGCTGTGAATCGGTAATTTAAAAATATCAAAAGGTAAAAGAGAGAAAGGAAGCTGCATAGAAACCTTCGTAATTATGTTTCTGCGTACATAGAAGTTTTAAAATAAATTTGTTTTTAATGTTTTGAATAAAATATTCATATTCACATTTAAGGATGACAATCTTCTTCGCCTGTACAAAACAGGACAAAATAGAAGAAAAATTACGTATAACTGTGTAACTAACTTGTAAAAGAGAGACTAGATCTTGATTTTAAATTGCAAGAGGCGTTGTCCATGGTGCTGAAGATAAAATAGCACGGTGCAGACAATTTGTTTGAAGATTTGAATAAAACTAAAACTAAAATCAACTAACCTCTAAAGGAGAGTCAGGCTCATCCAGGATGTTCTTCTCACCCTGTATCCTCTGCATGGTTCCTGTAGAACTGGGGTCCATTACCAACACGTTCTGACTAGCAGCTCTGCCGAACTTACAGTCACTCTTTCTGGAGTCAGTGGTCCTGCACACCTCGTAGTTGTACACATGTTGGAGAGTTCCTGTCCCCAGCGTGTCTGAGTAACGTGGTGGATAATATGGAATGACAGGGAGGCTGGAGTGATACAGGATGCGAGACTGTCTCCATCTGTAGATTTTCACTGAGATGATAACCACCAAACAGGTGATGAAGAGGAAGGAAACTACAGCCAGAGCCAAGACTAAGTAAAAAGTCAGGTTGTCATTGTACTCCTTGTCGTGTGTAGAGTCAGTGAACTCCGACAGCACTTCAGGGAAGCTGTCCGCCACCGCCACGTTAACAATGACTGTAGCTGAACGAGAGGGCTGGCCGTTGTCCTCCACTATAACAGTCAGTCTTTGTTTCACAGCATCTTTATCAGTCACTTGACGGATAGTTCTGATTTCTCCATTCTGTAAGCCCACTTCAAACAGCGCCCTGTCTGTGGCTTTCTGCAGTTTATAGGAGAGCCAGGCGTTCTGTCCAGAGTCCACATCAACAGCCACCACTTTAGTCACCAGATAGCCCACTTCTGCTGAACGAGGCACCATCTCAGCCACCACGGAGCCTCCAGTCTGGACCGGGTACAGGACCTGAGGGGGGTTATCGTTCTGGTCCTGGATCAGTATTTTCACAGTCACGTTGCTGCTGAGAGGAGGAGAGCCTCCATCCTGCGCTTTAACTACAAATATTAACTCCTTAATTTGTTCATAATCAAACGAGCGCACCGCCTGAATTACTCCAGTTTCTACATTCACAGAAACATATAGAGAAATTGGGGACCCACCAATGCTACTGTCCTCTGCAATATAAGACACGCGAGCGTTCTGGTTCTCATCAGGATCTTTAGCTCTCAGAGTGAGAACAGAGACACCTGGAGAGTTATTCTCAGGTAGAAACGCGCTGTAAAGACTTTGTGGGAAAACTGGAGCGTTATCGTTCACATCAGAAACCTTTAGACTAAAGGTTTTTTTAGCTGAGAGAGGAGGGATTCCTCCATCTGTCGCAACTACAGTGATGTTATATTCTGACACAATTTCACGATCTAACACAGAATCTGTCACCAGAGTGTAGTAATTCCTTAAATTGGACTTTATTTTGAAAGGAGCGTTTTGTTCTATTTTACATGAAACCTGTCCGTTATCTCCTGAGTCCAGGTCTTTAACATTAATGATACCGATAGTTGTACCAGGAGGAGAGTCCTCTGACACAGGACTAGTGAAAGACATCACACTGATGACTGGGGCGTTATCATTTACATCAGTTACTTCAATTATCACTTTACTAGAATCTGTTAAACCTCCCAGATCCTTTGCATCGACTCTAAGTTCATATTTTTTATCTTTTTCAAAATCAATGGTACCTGAAACAGTTACAACTCCAGAATATTCATCTATGGATAACAAATCAGCCACGTTAGCTTTTGTGTTAGAAATTGAATATGTGATGTGACTATTTGATCCACTATCTGCGTCTGTAGCATTAACAGTAACAACATGAGTGCCTTCTGCAGCATTTTCTGTCACTGTTGCTTTATACACAGACTGGTTAAAAACGGGAGCATTGTCATTAGCATCCAGAACATTTATATGTATATTTACTGTACCAGATCTTGGCGGATTTCCTCCATCTACCGCTATGAGCTTTAAAGAGAGACGAGGTGCGTTCTCTCGGTCCAGCTGCTTCTGCAGCACCATTTCTGCATATTTACTTCTATCTGGATTTATCTGCTGCTTCAAAACGAAATTATCACCTGGAGTTAGAGTGTAACTTTGCAGTCCATTAACACCAACATCAGGATCATCTGCGCTGTCAAGCACAAAACGAGCTCCGAGATTCGCAGACTCGCTAATCTCTAACATGATATCCGTTTTCTTAAAGACGGGAGGATGATCGTTTACATCCAATACCTCGATAGTGACCGTGTGCAGCTCCACGGGGTTTTCCAAAATCATCTCAAAACTGAAGCTGCATGGTGTTACGTCTCCACAAAGCTGCTCTCTGTCGATTCTTTCATTCACCACAAGAATCCCTTTGTCTGCTTTCAGCGCGGCGTACTGAACGCTTTCCCCTGTCACGATGCGGGCCCGCCCTGAGCGGAGCCTTTTAAGATCCAACCCGAGATCTTGTGCCACATTGCCGATCAGAGAGCCCTGCTTCTGCTCCTCTGGAATAGAGTAGCGGATATTTCCCGAGACTAAAATTCTCCACGAAAGAAACAAAAGAAATGTCGTCTGCAGACCAGAAAGCGGACGGAATTTGGATGAGGCTGGATGAAACGGCATTATGAGAGGAGGTTTTTCCGTTTTAAAAAAATAAAATAAAAAAGGTTAGATTCTCCAACTTCACATAAACGTTCACGCCTTTATGGGCCCTTGTACGATATTCTACTGGGTGAAAATCTGGAGACGATTGTAGGCAACGCAATCATCCGTCCCTGGAGTACGACATGTCCTTATGATTCAGCTGTTTGTTTCACTGCGGGTCTCCTCTCATGCAGACAATGAAAATGGAGGCAGAATTGAGGATTCCTTGGTACACAGCGTCACTTAGAGTACAAAAGGTGGTACACAGAAAATTTTATTAAACCTAAAAGTAGAATACACGCAGTTTAAACTTGTGTTGGCATTTTTGATTTGCAAAACTGTGAACAGATTATTATTATTATTATTATTATTATTATTATTATTATTATTATTATTATTGTTATTATTATTATTATTATTATTAATAATATTATTATTATTATTATTGTTGTTGTTGTTGTTGTTGTTGTTGTTGTTGTTTTGTTACTTTTTGGTTGTGGAAAAACAACGAATAACAAAAGTACATAAGAAGGACTCAACGTAACACAAAAAGGAGCTGTCCACAAGTTGGTTCTGAAAGAACAGCAAAACCTTTTCTAACAAAATGAGGAATCTATGGAATCAGTTTCGATGTAAAAATAATTACCAACAAAACCAAAGTTAAATCACATGAAACACATTCTAAAGCATCTCACCTCTAAAGGAGAGTCAGGCTCATCCAGGATGCTCTTCTCACCCTGCATCCTCTGCATGGTTCCTGTAGAGCTGGGGTCCATTACCAACACGTTCTGACTAGCAGCTCTGCCGAACTTACAGTCACTCTTTCTGGAGTCAGTGGTCCTGCACACCTCGTAGTTGTACACATGTTGGAGAGTTCCTGTCCCCAGCGTGTCTGAGTAACGTGGTGGATAATATGGAATGACAGGGAGGCTGGAGTGATACAGGATGCGAGACTGTCTCCATCTGTAGATTTTCACTGAGATGATAACCACTAAACAGGTGATGAAGAGGAAGGAAACTACAGCCAGAGCCAAGACTAAGTAAAAAGTCAGGTTGTCATTGTACTCCTTGTCGTGTGTAGAGTCAGTGAACTCCGACAGCACTTCAGGGAAGCTGTCCGCCACCGCCACTTTAACAATGACTGTAGCTGAACGAGAGGGCTGGCCGTTGTCCTCCACTATAACAGTCAGTCTTTGTTTCACAGCATCTTTATCAGTCACTTGACGGATAGTTCTGATTTCTCCATTCTGTAAGCCCACTTCAAACAGCGCCCTGTCTGTGGATTTCTGCAGTTTATAGGAGAGCCAGGCGTTCTGTCCAGAGTCCACATCAACAGCCACCACTTTAGTCACCAGATAGCCCACTTCTGCTGAACGAGGCACCATCTCAGCCACCACGGACCCTCCAGTCTGGACCGGGTACAGGACCTGAGGGGGGTTATCGTTCTGGTCCTGGATCAGTATTTTCACAGTCACGTTGCTGCTGAGAGGAGGAGAGCCTCCATCCTGTGCTTTAACTACAAATATTAACTCCTTAACTTGTTCATAATCAAACGAGCGCACCGCCTGAATTACTCCAGTTTCTACATTCACAGAAACATATTGAGAAATCGGGGACCCACCAATGTTACTGTCCTCTAAAATATAAGACACGCGAGCGTTCTGGTTCTCATCAGGATCTTTAGCTATCAGAGTGAGAACAAAGACACCTGGAGAGTTATTCTCAGGTAGAAACGCGCTGTAAAGACTTTGTGGGAAAACTGGAGCGTTATCGTTCACATCAGACACCTTTAGACTAAAGTTTTTTTTAGCTGAGAGAGGAGGGATTCCTCCATCTGTCGCAACTACAGTGATGTTATATTCTGACACAATTTCACGATCTAACACAGAATCTGTCACCAGAGTGTAGTAATTCCTTAAATTGGACTTTATTTTGAAAGGAGCGTTTTGTTCTATTTTACATGAAACCTGTCCGTTATCTCCTGAGTCCAGGTCTTTAACATTAATGATACTGATAGTTGTACCAGGAGGAGAGTCCTCTGACACAGGACTAGTGAATGACATCACACTGATGACTGGGGCGTTATCATTTACATCAGTTACTTCAATTATCACTTTACTAGAATCTGTTAAACCTCCCTGATCCTTTGCATCGACTCTAAGTTCATATTTTTTATCTTTTTCAAAATCAACATCACCTTTTATGTAAATTGCACCAGTTTTCTCATCCATCACAAAAACATCATGAAGAGCACGGCTATCATCTGAGAAATAATAGCTAACCATGCTGTTTGACCCTGAATCTGCGTCAGTAGCATTAACAGTGGTGACGTAGGTTTCTTTGGCAGAATTTTCAATGACTGTAGTTTTATAAACAGACTGATTAAATACAGGAGCATTATCATTAGCATCTAGAACTGTCACGTCAATAATTACTGTACCAGACTTCTGAGGAGTTCCTCCGTCCACAGCTATCAGCTTTAAAGACAGACTTGGGTTGGTCTCTCGATCTAAAGGCTTCTGAAGAACCATCTCTGCGTATTTCTTTCCATCTGCATTTGAATGTTGTTTAATAACAAAATGCTCGTTCTCACTTAATAAATATTCTCTCAGTCCGTTCACACCCACATCTGCGTCCTCTGCGCTTTTTAACGAGAAACGAGCGCCCGTTGTAGCGGATTCACTGATTTCAAAGCGGATGTTATCCTTTTCAAACCTGGGAGAATGATCATTTATATCTATAATCTCAACAGTGATCTGATGCAGCTCCATCGGGTTTTCTAGAATCATCTCAAAGCTGAAGCTACACGGGGTTGTGTCTCCACAGAGCTGCTCCCGGTCGATCTTCTCTTTCACCACTAAAATCCCTTTGTCCGCCTTCAGCTCGGTGTACTGAACATTTTCTCCGCTAACGATTCGGGCCCGACCAGAACGGAGCCTTTTCAGATCCAAACCCAGGTCCTGCGCCAAATTACCGATCAGAGAACCTTTCTTCATCTCCTCTGGGATAGAATATCTGATGTGTCCGGTGGTAAAATCACAGAGAGAACAAAGGAGAACAACTCCCAGCAAATACCGTCCGCATCCAAAACGCCATTTCATCCACCTGCTTTTTCGTGTTTCCCATTCCATCATAAACACAGACAATATAATGTTTACATTAATCTGAACTGGATTTCGTGAAAAATTATGGTAATCTATGCAATCATCATCTTTAAATCCACACAATCAGCCGAGCAGGTCTTCCGTCGTCAAAATGTCTTTCTGCAAACGCAAACTGATCATTTTCTTCCCAGCCTGTAAGTTGGGAGGGGATTGTGTGAAACAGTGAAATAATATTTTTACCTTGACCAACGGCGCCTCTTAGAGTCTAATAGCAGTAAAACAAGAAACAAGTCAGTATGGAATGATTTTTTTTTCAAGACAAACGCAGACGGATTTTTGACAGGTAAATTAAAGTCGGGAAATATTATTTAAAAACAAACGTTTATTTTAAGAAGAAAAAGGAATAAAGAAATACAAAAATATGTATTTAACCATTTGATGCATAATGGTCACCACAGTGGACAGGTGCTCAAAATTGTTTTTATTTATTTATTTATTATTTATTTTTTGTTATTAAGCACAGCTGTGGAAGACTTTACTGCATTTGAGCTCCTCCATTTGGGCTTAAGTAAGCCAAGCCAACATATCTCATGTTCAGAATGCACGCAGTCCACTGAGGTGTACGTGTAATAAATTATTTGTAAATTTTTAGATGTTATAAAAATATTTGTTGAAATTTGTTTCATTCACACCGGAAGATGAATGAAAACACCTGTTAAAAATCGTGGTTGAAGATATCATAATTTATGCATCAAAGGGTTAATTGTCAACATGAAAATCTAAACAGGAATTTCAATGTTAAAATAGGAGCTGGTGGTCAACAAATTCAATAATTCTGAAGTTCTTCTTTTAATTATTTGATTTTTCATAAAAAGAGTTCTCAAAAACCACAATTTTCACCTTTGGTGTTTACGTCTTGAAAATATCAATGGATTCCAAAAGTACTAGAGTTGAATTAGCATGTTTTTTCTGCAACTCTCTTTGTTGATACTTTCATAAATTGAATAATTTCTTAAAATGAGATAATTTCTGATTTCCATAAGTTTTCAATGCAAATGTAAGAAACACAATAAGACAATTTCAAAATATCAAACTGAACAAAAGTGATCTGAAGTGTCAAATTCATACAAGAAAAAAGGACAAAATATATATTTCTTCCACCATAAATTTAACCCCATTTCTGGTCCAGCACCAGTCAAGTGTCGCATTGCTACTCCTATTGAACAGTCCAGAAAAACACAAGCACCAAATATTCAACCAAATGTATCTGGTACCAACCACGAATTCTAAAAAGTTGACTGAAAGACGCTATCCATGGTGCTGAACAACAACAACCAACAAGCAGCGAATTTGTCTTAACTATTGGGAGGGCAAGGAAATTGAAATTGAACGTATTAACTGCCATCAAAAGGGGAGTTTAATTATAATAACATGTATAAATTGATTTAAAAATGTATATTAGAACAAGCACACAAAAATACATTAAATAAGGGCAACTAACCTCTAAAGGAGAGTCAGGCTCATCCAGGATGCTCTTCTCACCCTGCATCCTCTGCATGGTTCCTGTAGAACTGGGGTCCATTACCAACACGTTCTGACTAGCAGCTCTGCCGAACTTACAGTCACTCTTTCTGGAGTCAGTGGTCCTGCACACCTCGTAGTTGTACACATGTTGGAGAGTTCCTGTCCCCAGCGTGTCTGAGTAACGTGGTGGATAATATGGAATGACAGGGAGGCTGGAGTGATACAGGATGCGAGACTGTCTCCATCTGTAGATTTTCACTGAGATGATAACCACCAAACAGGTGATGAAGAGGAAGGAAACTACAGCCAGAGCCAAGACTAAGTAAAAAGTCAGGTTGTCATTGTACTCCTTGTCGTGTGTAGAGTCAGTGAACTCCGACAGCACTTCAGGGAAGCTGTCCGCCACCGCCACGTTAACAATGACTGTAGCTGAACGAGAGGGCTGGCCGTTGTCCTCCACTATAACAGTCAGTCTTTGTTTCACAGCATCTTTATCAGTCACTTGACGGATAGTTCTGATTTCTCCATTCTGTAAGCCCACTTCAAACAGCGCCCTGTCTGTGGCTTTCTGCAGTTTATAGGAGAGCCAGGCGTTCTGTCCAGAGTCCACATCAACAGCCACCACTTTAGTCACCAGATAGCCCACTTCTGCTGAACGAGGCACCATCTCAGCCACCACGGAGCCTCCAGTCTGGACCGGGTACAGGACCTGAGGAGGGTTATCGTTCTGGTCCTGGATCAGTATTTTCACAGTCACGTTGCTGCTGAGAGGAGGAGAGCCTCCATCCTGCGCTTTAACTACAAATATTAACTCCTTAATTTGTTCATAATCAAACGAGCGCACTGCCTGAATTACTCCAGTTTCTACATTCACAGAAACATATTGAGAAATCGGGGACCCACCGATGCTACTGTCCTCTGCAATATAAGACACGCGAGCGTTCTGGTTCTCATCAGGATCTTTAGCTATCAGAGTGAGAACAGAGACACCTGGAGAGTTATTCTCAGGTAGAAACGCGCTGTAAAGACTTTGTGGGAAAACTGGAGCGTTATCGTTCACATCAGACACCTTTAGACTAAAGGTTTTTTTAGCTGAGAGAGGAGGGATTCCTCCATCTGTCGCAACTACAGTGATGTTATATTCTGACACAATTTCACGATCTAACACAGAATCTGTCACCAAAGTGTAGTAATTCCTTAAACTGGACTTTATTTTGAAAGGAGCGTTTTGTTCTATTTTACATGAAACCTGTCCGTTATCTCCCGAGTCCAGGTCTTTAACATTAATGATACTGATAGTTGTACCAGGAGGAGAGTCCTCCGACACGGGACTAGTGAATGACATCACACTGATGTCTGGAGCGTTATCATTTACATCAGTTACTTCAATTATCACTTTACTAGAATCTGTTAAACCTCCCTGATCCTTTGCATCGATTCTAAGTTCATATTTTTTTACTTTTTCATAATCAACATCACCTTTTATGTAGATCGCACCAGAGTCAGTAATTCTAAATAAATCACCAAGAGGACTGTTGCGGTCAGAGAAATAATAGGTTATAATATTGTTTGCTCCATAATCTGCATCAATAGCTTTAACAGTGATGACGTAAGTTTCTTTAGGAGCATTTTCCATTACTGTGGCTTTATAAACAGACTGATTAAATACAGGCGCATTATCGTTTACATCGAGAACTGTAACGTCAATGATTAATGTACCAGATTTCTGAGGAACTCCTCCGTCTACAGCTATCAGTTTAAACGACAGATTTGGGGTTTTCTCTCGGTCTAACTGCTTCTGAAGAACCATCTCTGCGTATTTCTTACCATCTGCATCTGAATGCTGTTGAAGAACAAAGTGATCGTTCTCGGTCAAGATATATTCTTTTAATCCATTAATTTCGACATCTGCGTCATCAGCGCTTGTCAAAGAGAAACGCGCGCCCGTTGTGGCGGATTCACTGATTTCAAAACTAAGATTGTGCGTTTTAAATGCTGGAGAGTGATCATTTATATCCGTGACTTCAACCGTAATCTGATGCAGCTCCATCGGGTTTTCTAGAATCATCTCCAAGTTGAAGCTACACGGGGTTGTGTCTCCACAGAGCTGCTCCCGGTCGATTTTTTCTTTCACCACTAAAATCCCTTTGTCCGCCTTCAGCTCGGTGTACTGAGCGTTTTCTCCACTCACGATTCGGGCCCGACCAGAACGGAGCCTTTTCAGGTCCAAACCCAGGTCTTGCGCCACATTACCGATCAGAGAGCCTTTCTTCATCTCCTCTGGGATAGAATATCTGATGTGTCCGGTGGTAAAGTCACAGAGAGAACCAAAAACCAAAAGAAGGAACACTTTCTGGACGAATCCATTACGCCCTTTTTCCCATTGCATCAAGCCTTGTATTCTATGCGCCATGGTAAAATAAAATAGAGTAACACTCTAATTGAAACCTAAACACCGATCCTGAAAAAGATCACTCATAAAACAATATGAAACGGTGATGTCGTTCCCGAAACATCCACTGATTTTTCTCCACAAACAAAGCAAGAGTCTTTTTTTTCTCTCAGCTGCAATATTAGTAGGGAGGGGGAGGCATGAACACCAAATATCTTGCCTTAACCAACAGCGTCCCTCAGAGTCCAAAACCCGCAAAACAGAACAGCAATGAAGATATTTCAATTTCCAATGGTTTTGCTTGTTTAAACAAACAACTATATTTAAAGATAACTATTTACATAATTTTAAATATTTTTTTAAATAACACATTCATGAAGTTCTTTGCACAAAGTCCCCATAACATGAAATGCTTTCACGATCTTTATTTCTGACAAGTTCAGTACCTTCCACAACAAGCCGTTTCCACATTCTGTTTCTTTAATGAAAAACAAACTGCTGCCAGCCACGCCCACCCATTCCCTGCTAAGGCTGAGGGACTCGAAGCAGAACTGATGCTCCTTCAGGTGAGGGAAATTTCTGTATTGTCACGTGACACTATCTGACTGATATCTGACTAAAGTCAGTTGAAACATAGATTGCCGGTTCAACCTACGTTTAGAATATATACTGAGGTAGCGGAGAACCAATAAGCAGCCCGAAATTATATGCAAACAGTGTGTTTTGCTTAATATTTCCAATTTAATAAATAAAACTTGTAAATAGTCATTCATGGTGACTTTAAAAATGTTAAACTTCAACAAAACTGGTAAAACAACACATTCTACGAATATCAAAATTTCACCTTTAATATTTTTCATATTGTGAGGTTAATATATAAAAAAACTATCCAAGAAAATCAACATGTTTGGCAAGATAAAAAAATGATTGGTTGAAAAAAGGAAACAATATTGTAAAACAGTAATGCTCTAGAAAGAAAAACGTTATCTTTCAATAGCATCACAAAATAATTATTTACAACTACCAACAAATAATATAAAGTGACAGTTTTTTTTTCAATTGTGTAGGAAATCAAGTTTTGCTAAATTGCTATGTTGAGCAAATGTGTTTGATTTTAGTGATGCGGTCAAATGATTTCTATGTTTCTGTTATACAAAAAGCTGATTGGCTATTAATTTGGTAGATCATGAAATATTCATAGTTTCTGAGTAATAAATAATTCCAGGCAGACAATTTGTCTTTACACTAAGCAAGAAAAAAAGTTTATAAAATGTATTTAAACTAACCTCCAAAGGAGAGTCAGGCTCATCCAGGATGCTCTTCTCACCCTGCATCCTCTGCATGGTTCCTGTAGAACTGGGGTCCATTACCAACACGTTCTGACTAGCTGCTCTGCCGAACTTACAGTCACTCTTTCTGAAGTCAGTGGTCCTGCACACCTCGTAGTTGTACACATGTTGGAGAGTTCCTGTCCCCAGCGTGTCTGAGTAACGTGGTGGATAATATGGAATGACAGGGAGGCTGGAGTGATACAGGACGCGAGACTGTCTCCATCTGTAGATTTTCACTGAGATGATAACCACTAAACAGGTGATGAAGAGGAAGGAAACAGCCAGAGCCAAGACTAAGTAAAAAGTCAGGTTGTCATTGTACTCCTTGTCGTGTGTAGAGTCAGTGAACTCCGACAGCACTTCAGGGAAGCTGTCCGCCACCGCCACGTTAACAATGACTGTAGCTGAACGAGAGGGCTGGCCGTTGTCCTCCACTATAACAGTCAGTCTTTGTTTCACAGCATCTTTATCAGTCACTTGACGGATAGTTCTGATTTCTCCATTCTGTAAGCCCACTTCAAACAGCGCCCTGTCTGTGGCTTTCTGCAGTTTATAGGAGAGCCAGGCGTTCTGTCCAGAGTCCACATCAACAGCCACCACTTTAGTCACCAGATAGCCCACTTCTGCTGAACGAGGCACCATCTCAGCCACCACGGAGCCTCCAGTCTGGACCGGGTACAGGACCTGAGGGGGGTTATCGTTCTGGTCCTGGATCAGTATTTTCACAGTCACGTTGCTGCTGAGAGGAGGAGAGCCTCCATCCTGCGCTTTGACTACAAGTTCAAGCTGTTTGATTTGTTCATAATCAAAAGAGCGAACTGAACTAAGAACTCCAGTTTCAGAGTTTAGAGCCACAAACGTAGAAACTGGACTCCCACCAACCTGCGTGTCTTCTAAAATATAAGAAATCCTTGCATTCTGATTCCAGTCAGAATCTCGTGCTGTGACTAAATGTATTGAAACTCCAAGTAGATTATTCTCTGTTACATATGCAGTGTAGCTGCTTTGGCTAAAAACTGGTGCGTTGTCATTCACGTCGGATATTTTAAGATGTAATTGTGTTGAAGTAGACAGAGGGGGAGACCCAAAATCAGTGGCAGTTACTGTTATGTTAAATTCCGATACTGTCTCTCTGTCTAACTGTTCATCTGAAATCAAATTATAATAGTTTGTTAGAGATGACTCGATTCTAAATGGAAGCTTTCTGTCTACAGAACATTTAATCTGACTGTTTTGATCAGAATCTGCATCTTTTATGTTTAAAATAGCGATGGTTGTTCCAGCAGGAGCATCTTCCCACAAAGGGTTGGAAAATGACATCACGTTTATGACTGGGGCATTATCGTTGACATCATGGACATCAATTATAACTTTACTTGTCCCAATTAAACCCCCTTGGTCTTTTGCCTCTACCCTAAGTTCGAACTTTCTTAATTTCTCAAAATCTATTCCACCTGAAACATAGATGTCTCCCCTGTCCTTATCAATACTGAAAATGTCCTCAGCACTGCCTTTCATATTTGACAGAGAATACGTAATTTGACCGTTTGATCCAGTGTCAGCATCCGTCGCATTTACCGTGATAAGAATAGCGCCTTTGGCTGTGTTTTCCAGCACAGCTGCTCTGTAAAGCGTCTGGTTAAAAACCGGTACATTATCATTTGCATCCAGCACGGTCACATCTATGTTTACTGAACCAGATCTCTGCGGCGTTCCTCCGTCTACTGCGACCAGTTTCAAAGACAAATGAGGAATCTGCTCTCTGTCTAAAGGCCTCTGAAGTATCATTTCTACAGTTTTACTTCCGTCCTGATTCGAATTTTGCTTCAGTATGAAATGATCGTTTTGTGATAAGATGTAATCTTGCAGGGCGTTTTGGTTGACATCCAGATCTTTCGCTGTCTGCAGAGGGAATTTTACACCAATTGCAGCTGACTCACTCACTTCGAATTGGATCGGTTTGTCTTTGTTAGGAAAGACGGGTGCGTGATCATTAATATCCAAAACCTCAACGGTGATTCGGTGCAGCTCCATCGGGTTCTCTAGAATTAGTTCAAAGCTGAAGCTGCATGGCTCCACGTCTCCACAGAGCTGCTCTCGGTCGATCCTCTCATTCACGACCAGAATCCCTTTGTCTGCTTTCAGCTCGGTGTAGTGAACGCGTTCTCCGGTTACGATGCGGGCCCGCCCTGAGCGGAGCCGCTTTAGATCCAGACCTAGATCTTGTGCAACGTTACCGATGACAGAACCCTTATTCGTCTCCTCTGGTATAGAATAGCGGATCTGCCCACTTACCACGTTAACAACATGCAGTATCAGCACGAGCAGTCCGATTTGCTGTCTCTGTCCAACAAATAATCGCCATCTTGAAGAAAGGTTGCTGATGGGATTTACAGACGCCATTAAAACACGGAAAAATAAAATGTTATTTTCTTCATAAAGGTGTTACATCCACGTCTATTATTCGGATCTCTAGTTTTATTCAGGAAAAAATAAATGTATAAATTGTCTAAATGAATCCCATCAATATAAAGAAGACCGTCTTTACTCCAATCCTGCAAAAAACACTCTGAGCCTCCCTCAGTGCAGGAAATCAGAAAGAAACTGGACAACAACCTCCTACATATTTTTTTCATTGACCAACAGCGTCCCTTAGAGTCTAAAATGTGAACAATAAATAAGGCTCACTGCAATAAACTCTTATCCTGTAACACTGTTTGTTTTCTCTGTCATTAAGATCATCTGACTTGTGGAATCATAAAAAAACACTTAACACGTCAACAGTTTCATATTTGCACATCTGGTATGACACTAAATTTGACAGAGGCCATGGATAGTGAAAAGTATAAATATTTCACAGATAATCCGTTAAAAATGGACTGAAAATCAAACTAATGAGAAAAATATATGTATTTAAATATACAACAATTATTCAAATGTGTACTGCTCAAAATAAATCCTTAAAATACAAAATGGTGTAATTTTTCTTTGGTATAAAAAATAAAAAAACTAACAGTGAAATTGAAATCTCCACCTTGTCCGTAGGGTGTCAAATGTGCGGCCCGTGGGCCGGATCAGGCCCGCACACTGTTTAAATCCGGCCCGCGAGATGATTGTGTAAACCTTATTTTCAGACTTTATAATGTAAAGTCTGAAAATAAGCTTTCATTTTTCAATTCAACTGCTGGTGAAATCTAAAAGATGTCAGGTATCAGGAGTCAAAGACATGCATGAAACTGATATAGCCATGTGATCTGTGAATCAGTTATTTGAATTACTGAGGAATAGTCTGGGTTTTTGTTTTGTATTTCACATTTTCAAAAACACTTCAGGTGTTTTATTATTAATAGTGATGTTGTGCTTAAACTATTTTGGATACACTGTCCTCAGGCTCCAGCTTTGTTTTGTGTTGATCGTATTAAAACAAAGAAAACAATCTGAAGCAGTTTTTAATTTATACATACTTTAATTTTACTGGCCTGGCCCACTTGGGACTAGATTTTCCTCACTGTGGCCCTGAGCAAAACTGAGTTTGACACCCCTGCCATAGAACATTGTAATCAGTCACCATGAATGCTGGCAAATAGCAAATTAAAATTATTTATATAGTGGGCTCTTATACAAAATTTAAAGAGCAATATTGATTACAGTCGTGTGTTAACAACAATAAAACAAGAACAACAACAACAACAACTACTACTACTACTACTACTACTACTACTACTACTACTACTGCTACTCCTACGACTACTACTAATACTACTACTGCTACTGCTACTACTACTATTACTACTGCTAATAATAATAATAATAATAATAATAATTATTATTATTATTATTATTATTATTATTAATAATAATAATAATAATAATAATAATAATAATAATTATTATTATTATTATTATTATTATTATAAACCTCTGTTTATGGTGTTATTTTCAAATTGCAATTATTTTTGTCAAACAAATTCCTTAACTGCAGAATGAAGAAAGTTGGACAAATTAGTTAACTATAAGCTTCTATGTGTTTTTTTTTTCAATTTATAAAATATATTTTCCCCTTCTGGAAATTAAAACACATTGTTTTCCAATGTAATTGTCAAAAAAGTGTGGCTGTGGAGAAACAATGCAGTGTTGTGATGCTGGAGTTTGATTAAGAATATGTACTTTCAGAATATCAAAACATTTTTAAGATGAAACGTAATAATAACGCCAAATTATATATATATATATATATATATATATATATATATATATATATATATATATATATATATATATATATATATATATATATATATATATTTATATATTTATTTATATATTTATTTATTTATTTATACTAAAGTTTAGAGAGCTACCAACTCAGAGAGGAAGCGAAGCTGTCCATGGTGCTGAACATCAATTGTGACCTATGGCGAACATGACTGAATAACTTAAAATAAATGATTCAACAAAGCAGCAAAAGCTTAGCCTGGCAAGCCAGACTAAATAAATATATTATTTAGTCTGGCAACGCTCCATTGACGGCTCTCGGTTGTGGGAAGGGTTCTAGCGTTGTCTTTCAAATGATCTCCGCATTCCACTGGACAATGAATGTGACATACTCTTGTTTCAATCTGTTGCATCATCCCACCCACCAGGCATATAGAGTGCACTGATTGGCCCACAAAGCGGATAAAGCTCTGTGATTTGTTCACTAAGCAGATAGAGCACTATGATTGGCCCACCATTATGGACCAATCACAGCTCTTTATGTGCTCGAAACCCCTCTAGAGAGCCGTGATTGGCCAGCCAGAGTCATGGTAGGAGCTGCGGAGGTTCCAATGGAGCGTGCCTGGACCAAACTTCGCAAAGCAAGAATTTGGTCTAGTTCACTAGGCTAGCAAAAGGTTTAAGAAGGGGGAACTTTTTAACTAACCTCTAAAGGCGAGTCAGACTCATCCAGGATGCTCTTCTCACCCTGCATCCTCTGCATGGTTCTTGTAGAACTGGGGTCCATTACCAACACGTTCTGACTAGCAGCTCTGCCGAACTTACAGTCACTCTTTCTGGAGTCAGTGGTCCTGCACACCTCGTAGTTGTACACATGTTGGAGAGTTCCTGTCCCCAGCGTGTCTGAGTAACGTGGTGGATAATATGGAATGACAGGGAGGCTGGAGTGATACAGGATGCGAGACTGTCTCCATCTGTAGATTTTCACTGAGATGATAACCACTAAACAGGTGATGAAGAGGAAGGAAACTACAGCCAGAGCCAAGACTAAGTAAAAAGTCAGGTTGTCGTTGTACTCCTTGTCGTGTGTAGAGTCAGTGAACTCCGACAGCACTTCAGGGAAGCTGTCCGCCACCGCCACGTTAACAATGACTGTAGCTGAACGAGAGGGCTGGCCGTTGTCCTCCACTATAACAGTCAGTCTTTGTTTCACAGCATCTTTATCAGTCACTTGACGGATAGTTCTGATTTCTCCATTCTGTAAGCCCACTTCAAACAGCGCCCTGTCTGTGGCTTTCTGCAGTTTATAGGAGAGCCAGGCGTTCTGTCCAGAGTCCACATCAACAGCCACCACTTTAGTCACCAGATAGCCCACTTCTGCTGAACGAGGCACCATCTCAGCCACCACGGACCCTCCAGTCTGGACCGGGTACAGGACCTGAGGGGGGTTATCGTTCTGGTCCTGGATCAGTATTTTCACAGTCACGTTGCTGCTGAGAGGAGGAGAGCCTCCATCCTGCGCTTTAACTACAAAAATTAACTCCTTAATTTGTTCATAATCAAACGAGCGCACCGCCCGGATCACTCCCGTTTCTGCATTAATAGAAACATATTCTGATATCAGAGCTCCACCAATCTGGCATTCTTCTAGTACATATGAAACACGCGCGTTCTGGTTTTCATCCGGGTCGTTAGCTTTAACGCTCAGCACAAAGAAACCAGGAGTTATATTTTCTGCTACCGTCGCGCTATACATGTTTCTCGTAAACACAGGGGCGTTGTCATTCACGTCAGAAAGCTTTAGATGAAACGTTTTTTTAGTGAAAAGAGCGGGCGATCCTGTGTCTGTAGCGATGAGTGTTATGTTGTATTCTGGGATAAATTCACGATCCAAATCAGCTTCCGTTATCAATGCATAATAATTCCTGACGTTGGATTTGACCTTAAAAGGAACATTTCCTTCAATCCGGCATCTTACTTGTCCATGATCGCCGGAATCGAGATCCTTAACATTAATAATGCCAACTGTTGTACCTGGAGGGGAGTCCTCTGAGACCGGGCTGGTGAATGACATCACGTTGATGACTGGAGGATTATCATTCACATCGATAACCTCAATTTCCACTTTGCTCGAATCTGTGAGTCCTCCCTGATCTTTTGCTTCAATCCTAAATTCTATTTTTCTATCTTTTTCAAAGTCGATTTCTTTTGCAACAAATATTTTCCCTGTCGCTTCATCTATTTCAAACAAACCTGTAATTCCTGCTTTGGATTTGGAAAGGTAATACGTCACTAAGCCGTTTGAGCCACTGTCGATGTCGCTCGCATTAACAGTAACAACGTGAGTGCCCTTTGGCGCATTTTCAGTCACCACAGCCTTGTACACAGACTGATTAAACACAGGAGCATTATCATTAATATCCAAAATGATAATAGCAATATTTACTGTACCAGATTTCTGAGGGTTTCCGCCATCTACAGCCAGCAATTTCAGTGAAAGGCGTGGTTGCTCTTCTCTATCTAGGGATTTTTGAAGCACCATCTCAGCATATTTGCTTCCGTCTGGATTAACGTGTTGCTTCAAAACAAAATATTCATTGGAAGTCAAAACATAATTTTGCAGATCGTTTTGGCCCACGTCCGCATCGTCTGCACTCTCAAGGACAAAACGGGAACCGAGCGCTGCGGATTCGCTTATTTCAAATTCCAAGTGATTATTCTGAAACGTCGGCGCGTTGTCGTTCACGTCCAGAACCTCTATGGTGACCGGATGCAGCTCCATTGGATTTTCCAGTAAAATCTCAAAAGTGAAGCTGCATGGTGTCACATCCCCACAGAGCTGCTCTCGGTCTATTCTCTCATTCACAATTAAAGTCCCTTTGTCTGCATGCAGCTGCGTGTACTGGATATTTTCTCCGGTAACGATGCGAGCCCGACCAGAACGGAGCCTTTTTAGATCCAAACCCAGGTCCTGAGCGATGTTACCGACAAGCGATCCAGTCTTTAGCTCTTCTTGAATTGAATACCGGATCTGAGCTTTTGTTAGATGAAGGCAAAGAAATACAAACACGCACAGCTCTTTCAAATGTCGCATTCGCCATCTTTCTCCTCTGCCTCGGTGCTGTTCTTCCAACTCCATGTAAGAAATCCGTAAGAAAATCAAAATAAAAAAAATTCTATAAAAATATCTATAATGAAGAAAATCTTACTGGGTAATACAATGTTGAAGCTAATATTTAAAGTTGATTTGCTCAGATTTAACCACAGCTTTATGTGTGCCCAGCACGGTTCATCTGCTGATGTAAAACGCAATGAGGGAGGAAACAGCTTTCCAATAATACCCACATCATAACCTCCTTTATTCACCAGGCAACAGCGTCACTTAGAGGATAAAATACGGAACTCCTCATCAGGCTTCAAAGATTAACTTTATTCCACAAAACAATTACAAATAAAATTTGTGATTAAATTCAAAACATTTTGATTGCAGAAATATCCATTAATGATCTCTAAAACACACCGAACTCTGTTTGATTTACCATCACAATTTAATATGCTTTTAAATAACAGCAACACAACACGTACGTGCGCGAGCGCGCACATAATTATATGTATATATTATGTTATTAAAATGCACGGCAAAGGAAAGCCTGCCCGTCAGTTTGAGTCTCACGCTCAGAAATGACTCAAAACTCCTCGTTCAAATAATTTTGCTCTGTCAAATACATTCAAGTTAAATATAGTATATCTTAATAACTAAACATAAAGTTAAAGAAAAATAGACGAATACTTATCTTAAGTAATTTTGAAGGGCTCAAAAGGAAAGAGAAAAAAGGCAGTTAAATACTTTCAGCTAATCAGCACCCTGGACAGCGGCACACCCACAGCACTGACAGACTTCTCAACAGAATTACAACGAGCCTAATAAGGAACAAGTATAAGACCATTACGTATAGCTTAATTATGACAACATGATAACGATAGCTTGTTTAGAGGTGCAGACGAGTGAGGTTGTATGTCTACATGTTTTACTGCAAAAGCACATTTTTGCTTCAGTTCAAATCTGGTGGAAGAAAAATGAATGGATTTGTTGACCTAGTTTGGGAGAGTTTTTATATTTAATTAATCATAATAAAATGTATGATTTGTCAATGTTGTAAAAAATCTATTTAAAACAAACACCCAAACATAAATTAAATAAGGCTAACTAACTTCTAAAGGAGAGTCGGGCTCATCCAGTATGCTCTTCTCACCCTGCATCCTCTGCATGGTTCCTGTAGAACTGGGGTCCATTACCAACACGTTCTGACTAGCAGCTCTGCCGAACTTACAGTCACTCTTTCTGGAGTCAGTGGTCCTGCACACCTCGTAGTTGTACACATGTTGGAGAGTTCCTGTCCCCAGCGTGTCTGAGCATCTTTATCAGTCACTTGACGGATAGTTCTGATTTCTCCATTCTGTAAGCCCACTTCAAACAGCGCCCTGTCTGTGGCTTTCTGCAGTTTATAGGAGAGCAGGCGTTCTGTCCAGAGTCCACATCAACAGCCACCACTTTAGTCACCAGATACCCCACTTCTGCTGAACGAGGCACCATCTCAGCCACCACGGACCCTCCAGTCTGGACCGGGTACAGGACCTGAGGGGGGTTATCGTTCTGATCTGTGACCTGTACAATAATAGTAGCATTGTTGCTGAGAGGAGAGGAGCCTCCATCCTGCACTTTAATCCACATTTTGCACCCTTTTATTCTTTTCATAGTCAAGTGAATGTAAAGCCTGAACTTCCAGTATGAACAGAAAATTAAGCAGAGACAGGATTTCAGTTTATATCACTATCAACAAGAAAATATGTTATTTGTGCATTTTGTCCCTCATCTGGATCTGTAGCGTGGATCTGCAACAGAGAGACACCTGGAAAGTTATTTTCCATTACCAGAGTGCTGTAAAGATGTTGACTAAAACCTTGAGCATTGTCAATGACATCACTAATGTCCAAAATTAATATTCATTTGGTCGATAATGCTGGTAAGCCTTCATCAGTGGCAGTCAACATGATGCTGTACTTTGAGCTATTTTCTCGGATGAGGATTCCCTCCGTGATGAGTGTATAATAGCTTCTTAGAGATGATTTTATTTTAAATGGGATGTTTTCATCTAAGGTTAAATACACTTGCTCATTTCTCCCATAATCTTCAGCCTGAAGACTTATCAGAGCCACAACTGTGCTTGGAGAAGCATCCTCTGAAATATTTCCCGAGTATGAAGCCACTGTGATGACAGGGCTGCTATCATAAACATCCACCACCTATCATTAGTTTGCTGGTGCCTGCGACTCCCCACAGACCTTTAGCCTGGAGGGTTATTTCATAACATGGAGAAACCTCCAGCTGAGTTTAATCTCTCTGGTGTGTGGATTTATTTTAAAAGGAGAAGATGAATAATTCTCTAGATGAATGAGATAATAATCAACAGTCCCGTTATAACCCAGATCAACATCTACTGCACTGACTTTTATCATGCTTGAACCTGACAGAACATTTTCCAGCATGCATGGTTTTTAACGACTGCATAAAAATCGATGCATTGTCGTTTGCATCTAAAACTAACATGGATCTTTACTCTTCCTGACTTCTGCAGTTCTCTCCCATCCTCACCTCACCTTCCTCCCCTTATCTGGGGTCTGGGTTATGGGGGCCACATCCCAAGTAGGGCCTCCCAGGCAATAATCTCCCCGGTCAAATCCGCCAGCTCCTCAGCTGGGACATCCAGGCGTTCCCTGGCCAACCTAGAGATGTATTTCCTCCAGGTAGTCCTGGGCTGACCCGGGGGCCTCCCACAAGCAGGGCATGCCCAAAACACCTCCCGAGGGAGGCATTCAGGAGGCATCCTGACCAGATACCCAAAACACCTGAACTGGCTCCTTTTGATGCGGAGGGGCAGTGGCTCCATTCCAAGTCCCTCTTGGATGTCCAAGTTCCTTACCTTATCCCTAAGGCTGAGCACTGCCAAGGAAACTCATTTTGGTCACTTATATCTGCAATATCGTTCTTTTGGTCATTACCCAAAGCTCAGAATCATAGGTGAGGACTGGAATGTAGATTGACCGGTAAATTGAGAGCCTTGCTTTCTGGCTCAGCTCCCTCCTCACCACAGCAGATCGGTTCAGCGTCTGCATCACTGTAGATGCTGCCCCAATGCGCCTGTCAATCTCCCGCTCCCTCCTTCCTTCACTCATGAACAAGACCCCAAGATACTTAAACTTCCCCACTTGAGGCAGGACCTCGCTCCTGACCTGAAGTTGGCAAACCACCCCTTTCCAGTCGAGAACCGTGGTCTCAGATTTAGATGTGCTTATCCTCATCCTAGCCGCTTCACACTCGGCTGCGAACCTCCCCAGAAAGAGCTGAGGATTCAACCTCGGTGAAGCTAGGAGGACCACATCATCCGCAAAAAGCAGAGATGAGATTCTCCTGGCACTAAACTCGACACCATCCACATCATGACTGCACCTAGAAATCCTGTCCATAAAGATCATGAACAGGACCGGTGACAAAGGGCAGCCCTGGCTGAGTCCAACCCTCACTGGGAAAAGGTTAGATTTACTGCTGGCTATGCGGACCAAACTCACACTTCTCTGTTGCAGAGACTGAATGTCCCTTAGCTAAAGACCATCCACCCAATACTTCTGGAGGGCCCCCCAGCAGGGTGTCTCTGGGGACTCAGTCTTAAGCCATTTCCAAATCCACAAAACACATGGGGATTGGTTGGGCAAACTCCCATTACCCCTCCATCCCCCTAGCAAGAGCAAAGAGCTGGTCCACAGTTCCATGACCAGGACGAAAACCACATTGCTGCCCCTCTATCCTGGATTCAACTATCGACCAGGATTCAACTTCTCTCCTCTCCAGTACCCTGGAGTAGACTTTTACAGGGAGGCTGAGGAGCAAGATCTCCCTATAGTTGGAACGCACCCTCTTGTCACCCTTCTTAAAAATGGGGACCACCACCCTGGTCTGCCACTCCACAGGAACTGCCCCGATGACCATGCAATGTTGTAGAGACGTGTCAACCACGACAGTCCTACAACATCCATAGCCATGAGATACCCAGAACGAATCTCATCCACTTCTGGAGCTCTGCTGCTGTCTAGTTGTTTGACTACCTTAGCAACTTCTACCCCAGAGATCAGACATTCCGTTCCCAGGTCTCCCAGCTCTGGTTCCTCCTCAGAATGCGTGTTGGTGGGATTGAAGCGCTCCTCAAAATATTCCTTCCACCATCCAACTATTGCCCCAGCAGCTCCCCATCCCCACTGTAGTAGTGTGAGCGAGTTGCTGCCTTCCCCTCCTGAGGCGCCGGACAGTTTGGCAAAGCTTCTTTGAAGCAGATCAATAGTTATTTGCTTCTTTGGGAAAGTAGGAGTGTGATTGTTTATGTATTTAATTTTGATTGCAATGGAAAAAAGCTCAAGAGGATCTTCGAGGACTATTTCCAGACCAAAGCAAGGAGACTTCTTGGCGCACAGTTTCTGTCAATCCTTTCATAGACAACGAGGTGTCCTTTGTTCTGGTTCAGAGTGACATATAAGGATTCATCGTCAATAATGAGACAAGCTCGACCAGACACCAACCTTTTGACATCCAAGCCCACATCTTTAGCCACATCCTCAATAAACAGTCCTTTCCTCATCTCCTAAATAGCAAATTTGTCTGCTGACAAAAGCCACAAGGAAAAAAGAAAGAAATGGAAATTTTACAATCCATCGGAGGGCCTCTGCTCTTTAAACAATCCATTTAAAATAAGTCTCTCTGTACAAATATTACTAAATACCACAGCTGGACTAACTGCTATAATATGCACCATGCACATTCTGAAAATAATTTAAACCAAATCATAAAAATAAAAACAGGATTTGATCTGAAAGCTCACAGCTCTTCTTTTTCTATGAAAGACGGGCAGTGGCGTGTTTTATGGAGTTGGTGACACAATACTGAGTCTTCTTAGGCAACAGCACCGCCAGCAGTTATGAATAAGAACAATGTTTAACTGCAGGCTGAGTGGGTCTCAGCTTCACTGCATCTTCGGACTTCTTTCCCTGCATTTTACACACCCTATTCTGTTAATTGCCTCACAGACCTGACATAAAAAATACAATTTCCCAGCTCACAATCTCAAATATGTGTTTAACTGTCCACAGCTGACTAAAGTCATATCAGGACCCTTAATGTTATTCTGCAATACAATGCAAAAAAAATTATATATATATATATATATATATATATATATATATATATATATATATATATATATATATATATGTTACTTTTTATTAAATACATTAACGAAGAAAAACATAACAGCAGTTTGTTGGAAATAAAGATAAACAGAGACAGAAACAGATACATAGATTATCTACCCCCTCTCTTTAATCTAACTGATGAGTCCAGTGACCTACATTTGAGCAGTGGAATCAAAACCACACAGCATCCCTTCACATGCACTGACACACCAATGGCAAATTTAAATGCAGCATATGTTCTTCATAGCTCACAAATGTGTGCTTGTGTGTTTCAGATTGTGTCTTATACCAGAATTATTTCCTAAATGTACCTATGTTTGCATATAAAAGGTTATCTTGCACCAAAGCAGAAAGTGTGTGCATCATGAGGATGCATTATTTATTCCAAGACTGCACAGTGGAAACTGGGATAATAAATATGCATGTGATGCCTGAGGAAGAACCATATTGCAAAAAAGAAAAAAAAATTGCGGCATAGCAGCCAGCTGTTTCTGTTGCAGGGTGGCTGTAGCAGAAACCTTATTTTGAAACAATGAGCACTGACAATGCAAAGGAATGCAACTAAAACAAGAAGCCGATACAAACGTAAAGAGAAAGGGAACAAGGTTGTTGAGAACTGTTTTGAGGGAACTTATCTTGGTTGTGTTGGAGGTGTATTAACTGAATGATTCTTGTGTGAGTTTTAAAATAAAAGAAACATAAAAATTGTCTTACCTGTTGGGCCCAAGATGTGGAGTTTTGATCCAAGCAATCATAGAGGAAAGAAAAAAAGAAAACAAAGTTGATAAGTTTGAATCCTAAAACAAGGACATTGAAAAAATCATGTCTCACGTCATAAAAAAACAAATGCATTGATTGATTATGTAAAATTTAAAAAAGGATATGGACATGTAGCATGTCTGTGTTTCTCATGTGTTCACATTAAAATAGTTATCCAGAGCTTTAACTTGTAAATATTCAAACCCAAACTTCCGATTGTTTTTGTTTTCCTCCTACAATAAAACATTCAACAAAATCCTAAATTTTAGCTCAATATTGAGCAGAATATTTAACCCTCTGGAGGCAGGCGTTGCAGATTAGCAATTTTAAAACCTACCTACCTGGTTACTCCACAAACATATTTCATGAGCATTTTTTAACTCAGAAGTACCCCTGAAGGACTTAGTTGTCCGTCCTTTTATCAAAATGTATTTTGAGCCTGAGAGGGTTAAACAATTTCCTCTAAAACTTATTTAAAAATCTATATCTCAATAACAAAAATCTAGATGGCTAAAAGTCAGCTGTGGAGGAAAGAAAAGTTAAGTGCAAATACTTTCACCTGTGATAAAATACAACCTGATATTACAAAAATAAATTTGTTGTAGAGCTCCTCTTTAAATAATAATAAAAAAGTCGTATTACAGTAATGACTATTAAAAAGTGTAAGTGGTCATTTTTCTTTTTATTTATTCAACTTTTTTAACCCAATCTTGTTCAGGGTTAGAATAGGA